TATTCAAATTTTTATTGTATTTGTTGATTCCATATGAATAATATGGAAAATTATTTTTTTTTATTCAATCTAATCATTCTCTTTCTATTTAACTTTCTATTAACATAAAAATCTACAATGAAAAAAATTTCATTATTTATAATAAGATCGTTTATATACTCTGAATTTGATTTCTCATACTTTTCATACATCTCATAATCTCTTTCTCATACATGTACAAGATTCAAATAGGATACCTCATAATATTAGCAAATTATAATTTGTGCTGCTTTAAAAGAGAAATTTTTTCTTGATCAAAGATTTTATCTTGAAATCTACCCATGATACACATGTTACAATTATAATGAAATTGTTAAGCATCATTTTTTTATACGAGTTTAATGAGGGTATTTTTTGCAGATACCATTTTTAGTAGATGGCTTTATGTTTAAATATTTATTAGGAGTTATGACAGTGGTGTGTGCACTGGCAAATTTGTATTCCATATTTTCGGTGATTTTCACCGGAGGAGTGGGCAAGAATGGTTCCACTGTGGCTGTAAGTTCGTTAATTAGATTGATCTTTTGTTGAACATGCAGAAATGGGAGCAGCATGGCATGAGGAGCGGCGCTAAAATTACTTCTTGACTGCAAAATATTTACTGATTTTTAACACGCATTTTTACTATCATATCCCTTACTAAATTATATTTTCCTCTTCACCTTCGTTTTTGATAACTCCTACATCTCCTGCAATTTTCATAACGGACTGTATATGCCATTATATGACCGATATATGGAATAACTTTTAATAATGCAAATTCCTTTTATTTTTTAATATAAAAAATAAACTCAAGTCTGTGGTTATTTTGATATTTTCTTTAAAAACTATTTTGATGTTTTCTGGTAAAAAATCTCGTGGTATTAATAAATTTCTTTATTAAATGCATAACACAATGCTCTTTTGAAACAATTTCAAAAATTACATGGAGTATATTTTAAAAATGTTAGCAAAATTATAATTTATATAAATATTTGTATGATATAAATATTTATATTAATTTAAATGAATATTTATGTCACACTATATTTACATAAATATTTATATAAATATAGTGTGATATTACTTAAAAGATTTATGAAACAATTAATAAGACCGATTTTGCAATATTTGTTTGCATTACATGATCACGATAAATAATTTATATATTTCTATATAAAAAAATATATTTATTATCTTATTTATTTATTATTTTTTTATTACAACTATCATTTATTGATGATTTATAATTGATGATTATTGAAAAAAAGATATTTAAATGCACATTGTGCTAAAATTTTTATATTTTCAATAATGATTTATAACAAATATACATTACATTTTTTTCATATTTTCTAAAAAAAAATGTAGTGAGTATTTCTATATATATATATATATATATATATATATATATATATATATATATGCATGTATATATAGTATAGATAATATACTGAACTCTGTGGAACTTAAGTATGATGCAAAGAAGAACTAATTTTTCTTTATGATGGATACTGTGGTGTGCATTGAAAAAGTGAGTGAAAATCATGAAACATGATTCATTGTGCAATAACCAGCTGCTTCCTCGTGCCTTATAATCTTTTATGAATAATAAGAAAAGCATGTTTTATTTATATATTATATGCAGTAAATGTACGACCACAGATAGAACTAAGCCCATTCATAGCAGGATTATTGCAGCAATCTTCTATCAAGAGATATAACTTGTAAAGGTTTATAAAATATATATGTATACACACACACGAGAAAACAATGTAACGAACAATTTTCATCACGAATGAAGATCTTATGGCTTTGTTTAGATCCCTGTGCTCGGTGTAGGCACACTCAATAACTACATAGCAGTGCTCTTTTATGCAGGCTTCATTAAGGTGTTCCTTGAATTCTGTAAAGTCTTTGAATCTGGTGGGATTGGAAAAAATGGTTCCACAATTGCAGTAAGTCCCCAAAAAATGGCATTCATAATATACAACAATACATTCTTATATCTTTTGCCATTTTATATACAGTAGAAATGTTATCTGTTTCCTACATTTTTCTCTTCTTGCTTGCTGTTCTATCTATCGATTTCTTGTACTTTGAGAAACTTACATGCCGGATGTACAGTTATTATTACTGAAATATCGATGTATACCCCATTTGCATATTAAGCTATCAGAATGATATCTTGTGCAATTTATTTAAACGCTTTTTTTATTTAATATATTAAAAGCTTAACATATATAATTAACTCTTTAAATAATTTTTTTCCTCAAGAAATTTAATGTCATTTATTGTTCTCTGTTGTTAAACATACCACTGATGCAAAAAAATAATTTTAATCTGCATAAAAATTTTAAGTTACTAATTTTTGTGAAATCTTATGTTACATTTAATTATATGTTAAACAGACTTCTTAAATCATTTAAAGCATTTGAATGAATAGATAAATTATCATGTCTAAGCAAAAATGTGAATAGTTCACAAATGTTAATAGTTTATTGGAATCTGCTATATGTATTTTTTCCCGAGAGTAGCGATGCCTGCAAAGGAACGTATGATGTGTGTATTATATGTAAAACAAGAAGATAGCAAACACACGTTGTGAATGATCGAATGTCGCACAATGATAGAATTTCTCTTCGATTCTCTTGTTGGATCACGCGCAGAATTTGGGTCTCGCGCCACCGTATATTGTTCCTCGCACTTATCATGTCTTACATATTCCTGAAACAACAGCGGACTTTTTCATTATTTAACATCTTTAATTTTTATAAATAATTATTGAAAAAGTATTATATTTCTTTTCATATTTGATTGAGAGAATTATAAAAGATTACCCTATGTAGCATATTTCTTTTGATATAATAGAAAGAAAACTCTTTTTAAGTTTCTATTATATAAATTTTCCACAGATGGCTGTTACTCTACGTTTTTTGAATAACAAATAAAAGAGATTTATAAGTATTTATATGAATATATTTTTATATGAATTTTAAAATGAATTTTATATGAATATATTTATATGAATATACTTTATTGCATATGCAAAACAAATATAAAACAAAATTAGAAATCAGGGAAATAATAAGAGTGTATCGACATGTTCAGTTAATATATTTTAAATATGGAATTTTTTTATAGAAATTTTAATTATTCGTGAATATTCCTGTTGTTTTTTGTGATAACATTATAGATTGTGAGTTGATTAATAAACAATATGTTTAAAAACAAAATATGAAATTGTTTCAAAAGCGAACATATAATTCTTGATTTGTAACATGCCAACTATTAATAAACTAACATATCAAGAATTATGCGGAGTATTAGACAATCCTTGGTATGAGGGTGGTCTCTTTGACAGCTCTAATCAAAAGATCTTTCGTGTCGCTTATACAGTTGCCATACACTGGCACAGAGGTGAAGGTGTTTCCGTTATGGGCTGCTGTGGGCATCGCTATTTTACTTGCACAGAGCAGCATATCCGTCATTCTCGCCGGTGGTGTCGGAAAAAATGGCTCCACCGTCGCAGTAAGTCAGCTGAAAAAGTAGTAGGATCACATTGTGTAGTGCACTTTTTTTCATTCAGTATGTGATTTAGGTCCATTTAAATTAATGTATTTATATATTTTTTATTAATATGTGACAAATTGTATAACTTGAAAATAACAGTAGAATTTCATTCTTGTAGATGTGTATCACGATGGGCCTAAATCTAACAACATCGTGTAAAATTATTCATTAATTATTTTTATTTTCATACTTGCGTTGATATTTTTTTTATACTACATACTTCCTTACACAGATATCCTCACATACACACCTACCTGTCTTCCTTCATCATATTTTGCAGTTATATTAGACTATACATATATCAAATTTTATTGTGTCTCCAAGTTTTATCCAAGTTTTTTCCAGGCCTAACTCTCTTGCATGTATATGTTATAAAGCTGTAGAAGAAAATAGATGAGAAAAACTGATAATTAAAATTGTAACGCTTGGATATAATAGAACTTTATTTTTTACTATTAAAATATTAATCTTATAATATTTGGATATTGCAAGTTTTATTTTTTAATATTATATTGCATGTATATCGGATGAAGCTGATTTTTTATATTGTAATGATAACAAACTATGTTTTTCCTATATTGTACTTAATCCATCTTTTTCTTAAATATTTATCTAAATTGATTTATTTGTTGCATTAATATGAGTAAATACATATTAATTTTTACATATATTAATTTTTTTGGATTTAATATTATTTAACACATTTTATTTCCTTTATTTTCCTGTGCAACATTTTTTCTCGTTGAATGCAATAGTATTGCAATAGTATTTGTGCTGACAATATTATTGTACCAATTGTGTAGCATTAATGTATTACATTACATTTTATGAAAAAATTTTTTGGAATATAAAGTAATTTTATGTAGATATGTATATTTTTCCTCAATTAATACATTTTACAAATATATATTTAAGCAATGTATGAGATAATTTTCGTATCTATATTATATATATATATATATATATATATATATATATATATATATTTATTTATTTATTTATTATTTATTTATTTATGTATAGATATAGATAACATACCATTAGATGTTAACTGTAAAGACATTTTTAATTAATAAGTTTATTTGATAAAAACATATATTTTCTTGTCGTTTTTTACGAATATCAAATGTAATTTCTGTATAAATATAATTTGTTTTAGAATTTTTCTGCATAAGATCGATTTTATTTCAGGGAACATCTGTCTTATCGCCAATTATACCATTTAGTTTCGTGATAGTGCCAGCTTTTATAATATATAGAAAAAGCGCTGAGCACGTCTATGAAAATCATCCATCCTTGTATATACTTGCATTTGGGATGGTTGCAGCCAAAGTTACCAACAGATTAGTGGTATATATATATATTGATATCATTTGATTATATATCAAACTTTTGTGAATAAATATTCATATGAATATCATATTTCATATATATCTTATTCTTTTAACAGGTTGCTCATATGACCAAAAATGAGATGCAATATTTGGACAGTTCTTTATTTGGCCCAGCTATGTTGTTCCTTAATCAATATTTCAATTTTTTCATCAAGGAGTATTACGTTCTTTGGATGTGTTTCGTAAGTCGCGCGCTTTTCATATTTGTTAATGATTCGATTCTACACGAGATCTCGATTTTTAAGTAATGTACTATGTAATATGTGTTTAGATCTGGGTTACTTTGGATCTTTTCCGATATAGTGCTCAAGTATGCCTTGAAATATGTGATCACATGAAGATTAAGTTATTCAGGATACCATGCGATCATCATACAATCACTACTCAGATTTCTAACGTCACCGAGAAAAATGGTACTAATAGGTCACAACGTAACAGATTGCATAAGAAACATCACTAGAGTCAATTGGTGATAATGAATGCTCTGTATGTGATTCGTCTGATGCGAGTATTGTATAAAGAGGTCGTATTGTAACAAAGTATAAAAAAAGTATCCGACGAGTTCCGTGTATATAGATATTCGAATAGTACAGCTCATTTATTATCACGTTTAATTCATAATCTGTCGCGTTTCATAAACTAGTACGAATAATATTTAAGTCTTGATTGAACTGACTAGAGCAATTATCATGAACTTTCAGTATAGTGTACTGTACATCAAAATAAGAAAACGTCGCTCGAACGTATAATAAGAATAGCATTCGGTACTCATATAAGACAAGAAAGTGATAAATTATATAATCCATTGTGCAGGAAGAGAAGCACGATGTACATCTAAATGATGTCTATATGAGGATGTTATGAGGTTTTTTTATATCAATTGAATTATTAATTATTAATCTAAAATTTTTTAACATCGATGATTTCTGATTTCGATATGTCCTTTCTTCATTGCTGTAGAGTGCTCTAGTTATAGCATAATAGGAATTATGCTTCAAATGCACGATTAAGAATCAAAATGAAGAAACGAAATGAATAAATCATGATTCATAAATAACTCTAGTCGTTGGAAAATTAAGGATTGTTTTTTTGAATCGATAATTTAAATCGATAATTAAGATTTTTTTTATAATATAATGGGATTTATGGAATTATTTTCATTATAACAATTTTATATAATGTGTTTTTAAAAATATCTGGATACATTTTTTATTTCAGTTTATTAAAGAATGCAATTAATATATTTAAGGATATAAATTTATTTGTATTTGTTAACAAAAGTTGTAAAAGTCTACAGAAAAAAAAATTTTTCTTTCTAAAATATGTTTACCAGGACATAATGAATTGTATAAATTTTCTTTCAAAATCTATATCTTGATAACATGGAATGTGTGTCATGAACATTTTCTATTTCTGCTTTCATGTGTGTGTGTTTGTGTATTTGATAAAAAGAACAATTTAAAATGAAGATAGGATAAATTGAATTATATGAGATACGTCAGAATATACAAAGAGGCTACAGACAATTATAGCTTTGCACTAGATACGTTTGTTTACTTCTACATCGTATGACAATAGATATGATTAAGATAAATATTTTATTAAGAGATTCTTTATGTAAGTATATGTGACACATTCTGAGATACGCGCGTATATATATATATATATATATATATATATATATATATATATTTTAAATATATTACGTATATACATTTTACACGAAATGTTACAAGCAAATGGCAGATACATGCTTAATTATTATTTGTACATTACATTATATGTATAATTTTATTAGAATAATGTTTCCTCTTATATAAATAATAAGTAATTAAATTTTTATAATATACTATTAAATTTATTAGATATGAACTGCAAAAACTTAGTACATAATATTAGATATTTAGAGTGTTAATATTCATAATTTTTCTATTGTACTATTCTTAAAGGAATGTTGATGTAGGAGGACATAATATAACAAAAGGAACATTTTCTTATTGACACAATGTTTCAATTGCAGTATAACTTTTTTCGGGATATATTAAAATTTTTTTTAAAATCCTAATAAAATAAAATGCGCGGTCAAAAATAATTTTAAAATTACTTTCCATTTAAAAGAATTGTTATTGTAAATGGATGAAGTAGAGCAGATAAACTTTAGATTACTCTAACTGTAATTATATTTCTTTGAAGGCAGTACTGTAAATGTTATTTTAAATGAAGTGTAATTCTATCTTTTATCTGTACCGTATTTCTCGAGTTTTGTTTCTTCATTGTATTATATATTCTGGATAAATGAATTTATACTGTGATATATTATTCTTTATTTTAACCAGATTCATTAGAAATGTTTTTAGAAGAATCAATTTATTCAAATCTCGACACATCCAATAGTTGTATTGCATCATATTCAGAAAATTGTTATTTAGAATAAATTTTTAAATTTATTTGATAGAAGTATATCAACAAAAAAAGTTATATATTGCGATACATTCCATGCTTTAAAAAAAGAACGAATTAATAAAAATAAAAAAACGAATGTAAAATTATTTGCAAAATTTCACGTGAAAAGTTAATGTGTGCATGTTTTCTGCGTTTCTGCTTCATCTAAAGTCCTTGTTTTTTGTGCAAAACTTGCTTAAGACATAACATGAGAAGGTAATGTGATCATGAGAATCTATATTGGGATCGATCGATTTAAGTATAAATGTTTTCTACTATAAGAAAATGCATCACTAATATAAATATCTTGTATATTTGTATAATATCGTTATATATTACGTGTGCATGTTACAAACAAGTAAACTGTTACCAGTTTCTTGCACGTTTCCAAAGCGTCATTTGCATGTGCTGTTTAGTATTTTTACATTTATTTCTGAACGATTAGATTCAATTCATTCATACATCTGCAAAAATCATACAGCTTTTTATGTTTAATAGATATTAATATCTTTTCAAGAGGAAAAAAATACTAAAACAAATTTCAAATTAAAAATATTGTATTTTAAATTTGATGTTTGTGCAATTTTAATCTTGTAAGATGAACAATGTGTATATGGCAATTTCTTTAAACGCGATTATACAATGATAGTATGATAGTTATATGACAGATTTTTTTCAATTCTTTAATCAGAAGAGTTTTTTTGATATTACGAATAAATTGCAAATTTATACTTCGTGTAAAGATGCACGAAGGATTTTTGTTATGACTTTTTATTTATGTAGCATATGTCAGAATTATTTTTCGCATGTTTTTCTGCCTGCTGCTTGAATTTTGTTTTTAAGTTATTGCAAGAACAATGTATAAAAGATTCCAGAAATAATATATATTATTGATTGGCAGTAGAGTATATATATTTTCGTGTTTTTCGTAAAGAAATTGAACATTTAATTAGATGGACATATTTGGAAGTAAGAAATTTAGAAGCGCGCTAAAAAAGGAATTTGTGTTCTCCGATTTCATTGCATTAAAAAATATATTTCCTATTATCTGTATTATTTAATATTTTTCGCAAAAAAACGAGCTAATTATTCATTTATTATCATATAAGAAAAAAATTTTTGCACATGTGAAAACAATTTGCAACAATTTGCAATTTTTTCATAAACATGAAAACTGGAGAACATGAGTTTCTTTTTTGTACTCTTCAATTTTATCATATGTGAAAGTTCACAAATCAATTCAAATTTAAAAATCCAAAAATGCTGTTAAAGGTATTAGGTATAGAGAGCATTAGAACATATGTGTCGTATGTTTGTATTCGTTGGTATGCATGACAAGTTTTGTTCACAGTTCACATGATGGTGGAAGAAGAGCCGCTGTTAGATGAGGAACATCATAACGGATCTGATGCGACTGTCGACCTCTGATATTAGCGATAATATTAATATTGTTAGATCAGCCTTACACTCCACGACTCAAAACGCAATAACGCCAAATTGGTTGTAATAGGCGAGATAATAAAGCATCGCGTTAATTATCGTCCGATAATATTACGAAACAACAACTGCGGAAATATACGTGGCGATACATGAGGAGTAGTAATTTGTCTGTGTCGAATGCACGAGGATATCTTGTTGATGTGGTTGCGTATAAAAAAAGAGGTATCTCTCGCATTCTTTTTATAAGGTAATTATTAATATTATTTTAATAATGCGATCGAATATGTATATATATGCAAAGAATGAAAAAAAAACGGTACAAAAGTGTTAGCGATACAGTTGAATTGCCGTCGATGACAAAGATTCGATATGTTTGTAATAATTATCAGGGTGCATTTACGAGTAAAATCATTTTTTTTAATTACGTAATATTATACGTAAGCTTGTTATATCGGTATTATACTAAAGGATACTACTTAAACAGTTGCATAGAAGCGAAAAGATATATTTCGCCCTCTCGTGCTTTATTCAAAGAGATTCAATCTTTGAAATAGCGAATTTGAAGATACTTGTAAGAATGCTATAGTTGTATTCTGACAGAAATTCTTTGTACTTTGATATGAATGAATATAAATGAATTGTCGCATCGAGTTTGTCGAAAGAAAATATTTGAATCTTTGAGATAAGACATTGATATGTTTAATTTCTTAGGTGAATTAATAAGTATTAATTAAGTCTGATGAAATATAAGATTAGAAATAATGGAAATAATATTTGATTAAATATTAAAATAATACTGGATCTAATGGCTCGCCGTTTTAATATCGCTCGTAATAGGATTAATTTTTTTTACGCAGCAATATATATATATATATATATATATATATATATATATATATATATAGAGAGAGAGAGAGAGAGAGAGAACTATCAAAGAGAATCAGATATATATTTTATATAAAAATAGAATGATTTATACGTAAGGAGAAATAATTCCGAAAGCTTGCAAGACATTATTAAATATATGTATAAGCTAGTAAAATGAACGGACACTACAGTATTATAAATGTTAATTATATAGTGTTTTAATTCTCTTTTGCATCTTTATCTATATATACAGATATATTTATCTTGATGTTGATTGCTTGCATGTGAAAACTTTCGCTTTAGTCACAAAAATTAAATCTAGCGAATGAATATTAAGCTTTTATTTATTTTTCATGAATGTTTAAAGCAAATCGTTATTCTTTGTAAAGGTAATAAAATACTTGATTTAATCTGTGGTGTTCGCACAGCATAAAATAATTTGCTATCACGCTGTAAATATACAGGCATTAAGATATTTTTATCTTACGCAATCGTAATTTATTATTGATACGCTATTTAATAAAATTTGTACGAACGTAATAACGAATTTTCTTTTAATATAATAAGAATTTTCCTAAAAAATATTATCCCAAATTATGCGAAGAGAAAGCGGAAGAATATATTAATTTTTTATTAATTTTTAATATTATTTTCCTCGAAAAATTAAAAAAAAATCTTGTACAGAGAAATATTTTATTCCACTCTTTCGACACGTGTACTTTCATCTCTCTTTATATTATTCGTTACATGGAATGATATATTTGAATATGTTAAATTAAAACGGAGTCATCAATATTACATAAATGTCTGTCAATACACGTTTGTCACTTGTAGCAGAAATAAGACTGTTATTGCTCGTCCGCGTTATTTGCATAAGCTGCGGGTTTCAAAATGAGGCCACGAACCTCCTATAGATCATCTATGACCCTCCATCAAAGAATTTCCACGTGGAGTACTCTGGACATGGTCGAAAACAAACATAAAAAACGACAACCTTGTCCTTCGTCCTGCCTTCGGTCGGTCGCTTCTATGTATCGTTGGATTCGACCTAGTCGACGACGCCCTCAAGGTTCCGGCCCCGTTCTCATCCCCGCCCGTCTTCCTCAACGCACCCCCAGACATTCAGCTGAACCCGACGTTATTGATCCGGCTGGTGACGCCGTGCGAGTACGCCAACCGGGCCAAGGGACGTACTTCTGGACGCAGAGTCGAGTTGGGGAGCTTTAAGCTCTTAAGCTCTTATAATTGGAGATATTTAAAGCGATATCGAAAAAAAATGACACGTTTTTCCCCAACTCGTTATGAATCTTCTGACGTGTAGGACATAAGTATATTTTTTTCTTTTTTTCAAATAAATTGGATTTAACATAGATTTAAGGAATGATTTTAAGTAAGGGGAACAGAAGTAAAAAATTATTTGTTGATTTAAAAATTTTGTTAGAATGTCATTTTGTTCAATGGGAAAAGTTCTTAAGATATCAAGTAAAAAGATGATATGAAATGTTAGCTATCAATATAAGAGACACGAGAAATAATGATTTGTCGATTTTATTTAATCTTACGACCGAATCGAGATAAAATATTCTTAATAAAAATAATAATAAAAAACGAAAAACAAAATTATATTTCTGTTTCTTTGTGAAAATAATATAAACTTAAATTACTCTACTTGTAATTAATCCTGCATGGATAATTTTTTAATATTTTTTTAGATAATTATATGTATATAAATACAAAAACTAAGGATGTGTTAGCAACCTAGGATCATATAACAAAACTATTTTTTAAATCTTTAATATCACCGACAAATTGATAAAAGCCACGTTTTTTATATCCTTTATTTGAAAAAACATATGAGCACAATTTAATTTATTTTCTACATATTACGAAGAAATATACGGTCTGCATATTATGCATTCTATATATCATATACGAAAAAATCAATATGGTCTAATACGGTCTATATACGTAAAAGAGAGTTCAAGGCAATTCAGAGCTCAAAGTGTTGGCTGGAGCCAACGTGCCCTGTTCATTAATCAACCGCGCATCATCGACGGGCTCAGGAGACAAAACGGAAGAGGATACGCGAGGATAGTGCGTTCCAGCGAGAAAAGAAAAGGGAAAAAATCGAGAACGGAAATTCACTTTTGGAGGAGCGGATTCGGGACGTTTAGCGCCGTTACTGGAAGCCGGAGGCGTCTGCGCCTGCTCTGGCGAACGATCGGCGACGGCGCCGACGTCGTGACGGCTGCGGGATCTCCGGGGCGCGTCGGCCAGTGCGATATCGTCATTCGGCTGATACGGGCGGGACGTTGTCATCGGCCTGTCGTTCGCATGGCGATCAAACGAGGACGTGCGGTCCACGGTGTTCTCCACGTTAACGTGCACCCAAAAAATGTAAGTGCAAGCGCGCGACCGAGAAAACTCTTCCACTCCGCGACGATTATTTTCCGATCGAGAAAGACGGAGCAGAGCTCGATCCAAGGAATCTTAGACAATCTCTTTCTTTTCCTTCAAATTTGACATATCTCTTTTTTCTCTCGTATTCGAAATTGATTGAAATTTCTGTACGCGACTTGCGTTTTAGAAGAGCTTTCTCGAGGATAAACGCGTCAGGTAAAACTACTCCCGAGATAGAACTCGTTCGTAGTTTAGGATCGATGCGGCATTGTGTGTTTTCCGCTAATTTTCCGCAAATAATTAATTGGATTTTATCTCGCGCAAGTGATCGGAGTTGACAATAAACACAATTATGTAGGATACAGATTATGGTTGTTCATCAAAAGGAACTTTATCAATTTTTATTCTTTATTTATGTTTTATTGTTTATCTTTTTGTATTGCTTGATTTTTCCACTTTATGCATATTATTATTAATATACATTAAGCTCGTTTTTTCTATTGTTTATGTTAACAGACTTACTGAAGATGTCCCGAAAAAGATCGAACCGTTTAAAAAAAATTAACTATTTTTATTCTTTAAAAGGTTTTTTATTTTCGCTCTTATATTAAGCCCGCATTACTAATTTATATTATATTGATTGAGTTAAATTCTCCAAAACGATCAATATCTATTTTTCTCTTCAGATCGCGAGGTAAGAAATCATCTTCCATTATAATTGCGATTCTAAAAGTTCGAAACAATGCTTTTCTTGCTTTTTCAAAAATTATGCAGATTTTTCCCAAATTAATTAATCGAATTTTCTTTTTATAAATTGCGATTTTAAATTTATTAAGATCGATGTGCACTCCGAGTCAATATTACAATTGAATTCACTTCGGAGTAGCAGCTTGACAAGGTCAATATTATCGTGTGTGTCTTATCAAAACAGGTTGGCCGCAGATGGTATTATTTAATATCGCAGCTGAGCACAACTTTCCGATCTTCGGGAAATAATTCCGAATGTCATTATTCCCCGATATCTTCAATCTCTCGGTAATTCCATTCAGAAACGTGGATCGAGTAATTGTAATTGAAATGTGCTCGAAAAGTTGGAAAATTTTGCGAAATGTTGAATGTGAATTGTTCAACGCGATCTTCGATTTAATTACTTTCTGAGATTTTTCACCTTAATCAATTTTTTTATTGTCATATTTAAAACATTTTCTTCGCTTCATATCGATTTCGCTCGTAGAATTTTTCGTCTTGCATAATCTTTCCGATTAATGTGTAAAAGCTTGTAATCCACCTTTAATCATAAGATTGGAAATTTTTTTAGACGTATATCGATTTCGAATATTGCGAATAAATTTACATACTCGAAAGTCTATAAAACTGCGTACACAAATATGAAAAATTCAGTGTTTTGACGAGATTTGAACTTTAAAAATTGATTTTGTCAAGTTCTTTATTGTTCAATACGTTATTCTAAAACTGAGAGATCTATTGCTACAATGATGCAGTTTACCTTTAGAAACTCAAAAAGCGGATTTTAAACGTAACTTTCGGCTCTTTTAAGACTCTTAAACTTATATAAAGAAAAAAATTAACCCACTATCACACTAAATTCTCGAAATCGATCGCCTCTTGTGCACCTAGCTTAGACACATAGCGCAGAGAAACGTCTGAGAAGTATTTAAATAATGAAAAAAACTGAAAGAAAAAAATTTAACATCTTTAATCTTTAGCAAACTTTTCAGTCGAGTGTAATTCACTCTTTCGAACGCTCGAAAGATCGGAAGATTCTTCGGAGATTTTGTGTTGTCAAAGAGACTCTACGTCGAGTCCACGTATTGTTCCTGCCGTTAATCGCCTGTCGTACGATGTAATCATACGGAAGTACGTGGCTTGGTGCGCACACGACATGACGTTTCTCTTCCTCGCGTTATGTCACGGCGCGAAATACGAGAAGGAGCTCGATATCGCGACCGAATTAAACGGAGCACCGACCACCGCGCGCATGTAATTCCCGCTCTCGCTCTCGACACGGTGACACAGATATCCTTTTGGGTCTTCAGAATCATTGATCTCTCGGAATTCTCATTTCAACTGTGCTTTAATCCTTTCGTCGCTCGGCGTCTCCCTCTTCGTCGTCCGCCACTTCGGAAAAGTTTGCTTCGTTAAGAAAGTTAACTCATTAACGTGCCCCGCAATTCTAAAATAATTACTCTACATAATTATATTGTTTAATTAATCTCGATGTTATTTTAAGAAAATTGTACATTAAGTATGGAATTTAATTATATGAATAATGATCACTCCGGCAAGGAATTCTCCTAAGAAATTATTGCCACTTTAATCGAGAGGTCTGCCATTAAAGATAATGAGATAAAAAGTGGAGCATACCTATAAATTCGACCCGCTTATCTCCGAGGGTGGTTGAAAGTTTAATTAATCGACAAATAAGAGAGACGGAAGAGAGCGTTATTTAAACGTGCAAACTCTCGATTTATTTATAGGTGGAATAAGTAAGCGAGATAATGGTGCAATCATGATTCAAGTTGAAAACGATCCTGAAGAGAGTTCAGCGGCTCGGATGTTCTGTATACGCTCTATACAGCGGTGACACAGCTGTAAATACATAAATTACAATCATGGATATACAGAAGAAATTTCTGTGCCCCCGTTTGGTGGATTATCTCGCCATCGTGGGGGCCAGAACGCCCGCAGCCTCTCGTCAGCCCGTACAGGTATAATAATACTTAGAGGAATAAGTATTCATTCGCAAAATTTTATTTTATTCACAAGAAATCGCGATGAATGTATAAAGCAAAATTTTATTTTATTCACAAGAAATCGCGATGAATGTATAAAGTAAAATTTTATTTTATTCACAAGAAATCGCGATGAATGTATAAAGTTGACAATAAATCTATATATTTATATTTTTTAATTATAAAAAGAATTTAATTAAAAGGAAAAGATAATATATAATAATTTCATTTCTTTGCGATAGGTGCCGGAATTGTTACGCAGATATCCGGTGGAGGATCACAAAGATTTTCCTCTGCCTCTGGATATGGTGTATTTCTGTCAACCGGAAGGTTGTAGTAACGTAGGACCGAAACGCACGGCCTTACGAGAGGCAACATCCTTCACCTTCACTCTCACTGACAAAGATTCAGGTTCGGTATCTCTTTCATACACACATATATACATTGCAAAATTGTGAAAATCTATATATTGTGAAGATTATTTGAAAAAAATGCAGGAAAAACGCGGTACGGCATCTGCGTGAATTTCTATCGACCTATGGAGAGAGCAGGGATCGTGGCTGGCGGAGGGATTTCGCTCAAGAGGGAAAAATACAACACCACTTTTCGAAGGGAAAGCTGGAGGAAGAGCATGGAGAGAAGCACCGACTCTGCTTTTTCTAGGTGAAATGGCTTATAATTATTTGTCCCTTCTCAATTTAATCTCTGATCAACAAAAAAAATTAAATTATCTTTTAATTATAAAAAATAAAGTATAAAGAATCTGCTATACCTTTGACACATTATAACAATAAAACAGACAAGAAAAAAGCCCTCTTTTCTCCTAAAATTACAAATTTAAAACCTGTAATCTTCTGAAGATTGTTGTTATATATAAATTGATAAAGAATACGGCTCTATGTATTTAACAACATGATAATTATGAAACGAGCGATAAGAGCCTAAAAACGCGGATGGTATTGCGTTTTTTTTTTTTTTTTCAAACATTAATTGTTCGCGAAAAAAATTTTTTTTTTTTTTTCAAACATTAATTGTTCGCGAAAAAAAATTTTTTCTTTTTTTTTGTTATATTGTTGTTATATATTTAAAAAATAATTTAAATGATTTGCGTATACGATATACTCGATACAGAGTTTCATTTATAAGACTGTATCTCTAGCCGTTCGTTATAGCGACTATAGGAGCAGTGCGGTAGGTCCTAGTGATTCTGAGAGAGATTGCTCCAGCAGCAGAAGGGATTCAGATACCCCGCAAGTCCCTCACGCTCCGAGATTGGAATTCATCGCACCGAGCGGAGACAGTGAAAGCGGCGGCAGTCATTCCCCATCGCCACGCGCTTCTCGAAGACGTCAGGTCAATATGACTATCGATTAATGTACCTTGCGCTCGAAATAATTTTTATTATCAAAATATTAAGAATCCTATAATTAATTTATTGACAAATTTTGTCTTAAATTTTTCCTTAAAAGAAAAACTTTTTAATTTTTGTTTAATTGATGCTCTCAGAAATGCACAGATATAATGCATTATCATCAATCATTTTTTATAAAAGCTATATATATTAACATTCGTCAATATAATATTTAATAATTATTATTTTATAATGCTATCGACAGAGAGTTCGCAATCACTCCTTGACTTCGCTCTGCATCATTTCGCATCATCCATTTTTCTCGATGTTCCGGGAATGTCTTTTCGTTTTGAAGAAGATCATCGACGCATGCAACGAAAGTTTCTCACCACAAAAAGTGGGAGCTTCTCGACAGACCAACAGGTGCACCAAGATCTCATTTTATGAATAATATTTTGTGACAATTTATAAAAGTATTCGTGTCTCATTAAACGCTAAATTCTTCCTCACAGAGACACAGTGTGGAGCGTTATTACGGGCCAGGCTCTGGGGGATACGCCATCCATCGTGCTTCACGACGTTCGCGAGATTGAGACATGGATATTGCGCTTGCTTAGTAGCCCCGTTCCGGTTCCGGCGAAGACACGCGTCGAGGTCGAAATAATATCACCCAATGTGCAGCCTCCGTTGTGTTTCGCCTTGCCGGATCACACCAGGTTCACGCTGGTCGATTTTCCTCTGCATCTACCATTAGAGTTGCTCGGCGTCGACATATGTCTGAAGGTTCTCACGTTGATCCTCTTGGAGAACAAGGTATGAATACGCAGATATAAATGTTGAAAATATATTGAATGTCTAATCAAATATATACTTTGGACATTACACTATTATAGATCATTGTATACTTAATGAGAGGATACTCACCAGAAATACTAATACAGAATCACGATTGAAGAAAAAAAACTTCATTTTCAGATTGTACTTCAGTCTCGAGATTACAATGCTCTGTCCATGTCAGTCATGGCGTTCGTCACAATGATCTATCCATTGGAATACATGTTTCCCGCGATACCCTTGTTACCCACATGTATGAGTTGCGCGGAACAATTATTGCTTGCCCCGACGCCTTTCGTGATCGGGATACCCGCGTCCTTCCTGATGTACAAGAAGAACTTCAAGATGCCCGATGATATCTGGCTCGTTGATTTGGATAGCAATAAAATAACGGCGCCCAGCGCTTTGAACGATGACGGTTTGCCACCGCTGCCGGAACCGGAAGGTACCATCTTGAAGAATCATCTAAAACAGGTAATATAATATTGGCAGCTATTGATGATATAAGCTCGTAAACTTTCGTAAAAAATTAACCGTGATCAAGAATGAAACGTGTTTAATGACTCATTATCCTCATCGCAGGCAATGCAACTGATGGATCAAGTGGGCTCTAGTGTAAATATTTATTACAATACTCAGTCCGCTTGGTGGCATATCCTTTATTTCGTAGTTAGCGGCATGCATGATTTATCACATAAAGAGTCAAATCGACTCTTGTAGCGTCACACGCATTTACCAAAGTACTAAGAATAAAAATTATAAATATCAAATAGAAATAGCAACTGTAGAAAAAAGATTTATAGTTTCTTTTTTTGTTAAAAGTTGAAAATCTTTAGTCATAGATTAGTAGATAAAAACAATTACTTCGTAATCATCCTTATTGCTTTTCGTTCGTAGAGTGAAAGTAGATTTAGAGCAGTAAAAATAAAACCGCAATAAAGCAACGAGTGATGCAACGAACTGCACAATCTTATTAATACAATTTATTGACTATTTAATGAATTTTCAGGCGATGGCCAGTTTGACAGGCCCACCATTGCTCCCGCAGGACATCTCGTCGCGTCTCACTTTTCAGGCACCAAGTAGAAGAGAAAGCGTGGCATCGCATCATTCCACTTTAAGGTACGATTTTATTTTCTCATTTGCTTAAAATTTTTATTAAAGTAACAATAATATTATTAATGATAAGCATAAAATTCTGACTGCTAACAAATTTGAATTCTCGATGAGAATTTTTATTCTTTTCAAATAAAAATTGTTAATATATACAAAAATTATTTTTAACTAGGGCAGAAAATGCATTATTTGTAGAATATTTTGACAGCGCAATTACTAACGTTTGATGTTAATAAAATCGATTGCCTTACAGTGTAGCTTCGACGAAGCACAGGCCAAGCGTCGATCAGTGCGCGCATCTTCAGCACACTCCGCTGAATTCGCCAAGCGTGAGCTCGTCATCGAGTCCTCCTCGTCGGCCGTCGATGTCACAAACAGTCGGAGGATCCGGGCCGACCGGTTCATATCCGCTGAAGGCGACCGGACAAAGTTCGGCGCCCTTCAATCCGTTCATCTACGGAAACGATGTGGACTCGGTAGACATTGCCACGCGAGTCGCCATGGTGCGATTCTTCAATTCGCAGAATTTGCTGGCCAATTTCACCGAACACACGCGCACCCTAAGGCTGTATCCCCGGCCAGTGGTTGCTTTCCAGATCAACTCGTTTCTTCGCTCGCGACCCAGGAAGAGCAGTTTCCTCAACAAGTTTGCGCGCACGCAGGCGGTCGAGTTCCTGGCCGAGTGGTCTCTAACTCCGAGCAACGTGGCCTTCCTCCGGGTACAGACGGGAGTGTTTGATCCCGCGCAAATCGGCGATAAGCCACGCTGGTACGCCACCAATCTCGAGCCGATCTATTTTCCTGTCTGGGACTCCGGTAGCTCCCTAGCGAACGCCTTGAAGGCGATGAAGGAGCACGAGAGCCAACCTACGGACGAGAGTGGCTCCGATTCGGAGGGTGCTGAGAGTACGAGTTCTTCCTATTCCTCTTTGAGTGACTTTGTCTCTGAAATGGCATCGTCTGATTTATCACCAGGTGAGTATCTTAAAATCTGGATGAGAAAAGTTCTATTTCTCCTATAATAAAATTTATTAAACAATATTTTTTTTAATATTATAATATTAAAAAAAAAAATATATATATATATATATATATATATATATATATATATATATATTTATACATGTGATTGTATTGATATAAATCTTTGAAAATTGTATGATTAAATATTTTAATATTCTTTATTATTATAATTATTTCGTATTTTAATACATATGTTTGATTACTTTTTGTATGTAGGTTACAATTGTCCGCAAGCGAGCCAGCCCCAACAAATGTCACTCTCAGTAGATCCGAAAAATGTTTACAATCCTCCGAGTTCTCTGCAATATCCGGGAGTGGAAGAAGATTCTCCGGTACGACCCGAGAGTCCACCGAGCACTTCTTCTAGTCACAGCGATTTAAGCAGTCCGAGCTTTAACAGGGATTCCGAACTTGAATTAAATCCGAAAGTTCACGAAGGCTCGCAATCTACTAACGTAAGTATATGAGCTTTTTTTCGTAATGTCTTTTGCCTCTTTCTTCCTTTCGCTATATGCACTACTTTTTATATGCTTAAGGAAAACTTATATATGTAATCACGAATTTTTTTTATACATTGTGCAATCATATATATTATATATACACACGCGCGACAAATCTAAAAATCTAAAAATTAAAAACAATCTATTTCCTTGATTATTGTTAATTAAGAAACACATAACAGTAATTTTATATCATTAATGATTTTTAAAATTGATAATATTCATCGTATTAAGATTGATTCGGAATAATTTGCATCGAAAGTAAATGTGTGTGTGTTAAATTTTTTTTATTTCACTAAATTGGCGTACTTAATAGGTGGTTCCTGCTGTGTATATACCATGACTAAAAAAAATACATAGCGTTACGATGATTTACGAAATAGCGCCGGATTAGTACGCTAACGAATTACTTGATCATAGGATAAAGAGGAAGGTGGTAGCTTTGAGTCAGACTCCGCGTCGACAATAACACCGCGCACAATCCTGAGCGCACAAAGTTCGGTAGGACAATTCACAGGGATGGGATCTTTAAGCACTCAATCTTCGCTCAACGACACTGAACGTCCTGCCGCTCCTCACAGGACCTCGCGTGTCAGTAGATATGTCACTCCTGTGAGTCTCATCTCCATGTTACCTTTAACTACTCTGTCATTCGAATGTCTCTACGTTCGAATGTTACACTTCGGGCTGATGCATGATAGATGAATTGAACGGGGAGAGTTTGTGAAAGTATGTGGAATGTTTGTTTTCGTCATCTCTTCTTCTTCTTCTTATGTATTTTTCGTCAAGGATACTATTTGAAGAGAATGTTGGCTTCTCTATCCTTGATTTGCGTTTTATTTTCAAAGTATCGTTTGTGACCTCATTTTTACATTTGTTTTAAACCTTTTTCTAGACATCTCTATCGTATTTATTTCCTGCACGCTCATCTCTTGAGATACGAATAAGATCCTATTCATATATCATATTCGATACTAAATGTAGTTTTGTAAATTTGAATTATCTCTGATTTCTAGTTTGTGTATCGCACCATTTTCCTTCTCAGCCTGAACACAATTTACTGTACTGCACATATTTTTATTTCTTCAGATGTATTATTGCATAATGAAATGTATAATATTACATATTCTTTCATTGTCTCTTTCATCTACACATAAAATATACAGATACATTTACATACATTTTCTCATCTTTCCTCTAACGACAGGTTTACGAATTTAAACGACTGTTATGTGTAAATTCGATTATTATGAGTTAAATGATAATCTTCTGAAAGATCGATATATACATACGCATACAAATATGCACTATTTAACCACACTTAAAAATATGATACCTTTCTCTGTAGATCTAAGTTGTATCACTTTAAATGTAATATATTTTTTATCTAAACTTATGCGTTTTAACATGACATTTTTTGTTGAAGCATGACTAAATTTTATCGCCCCGTACTTTAAATCTTAAAATATCACGTATAATAATTTTAAAAGTGACAATTAATACGTAAGATTCCAGAGAAAGAAGAAAAGCATTTATTTCTATTATAAAAATTTTCGAGTCTTTTCTATATAAAATCTTATAAAATATTGCTTACTTAAAATCTTGTCTATTAATATATTTCATATTAACTTAATTCCCTATTATACAATCCTGTTTATTTAAAACATTTTATAATACAATTTATATACATTAATATATATTATTAATTTATTAATGACAAAATTTTTAGGATATATTATACATATCTTTAACTATTGATTTGCATTCTCTTTCGTATTGACAATATAAAAATTTTCCAGTTATATGAGGCAAGAAGACTCGCGTATCCGATTTTTGGAAAAAAATGTTTTTTCAAGAGAACAGTCGTGAATGCTCGCGTGTTTTTTTCCAGGTACCACCTACTGGACCAGGTCTACAACGTCAACCGAGCGTCGGCAATGTCCTGGCAAGGGCCTCCAGCTTCAGCACCACCGGCGGGCCTCTTCTGCCGCGGCAGATAAGCGCCGTCTCCGACCATCATGAAGCGTCGATGACGACGATTCAACTTCAACGTCAGACATCAGCGGGATCGCCGATCTCGCCGAAACAGAACGACGGTAGCTCGGTGCAACGGCAGAACAGCGGCGGCAGCAGTTCTAGCACCAACACCAACACCGGAAACGGTGTTCTTCGACAGGGTTCGCAAGGCTCTCTATTCGAGCAGATCGCCAGCCAAGCCAAGGATTTGGTACGCGAGACCACGAGACAGAGCAGTCAGGACGGACTACTCGCGCACATGGACAAGGTACTTACAAGTGTGATGATGGTGATATATCCTGACACAATAGTATTCATTTGCATTCATTTTCTAGAAATCTGTCGAACGGATGATTGCGTCATATATTTTTTTCTTGATGTTATTTATTTATTAATTTACTCTTTATCTAGCTGAAGCATCAGGCGAAAGAAAAAATTACGGAGGCAGGCGAGGATAGTCTATTCGCGCCGCTGGAACAAGTATGTTTTCCTATAATATTACACATGCAAGGCGTTGACAAAATTAATATATACTTAATTATGATTTTTTTAAATATTCTAATAAGTTAACGCAACAAACTAAGAAAGCGATGGGCGAGGCCACCAAGTCGGTGCAAGAAGCATCCAAGACTGCGCTAGAGGCAAGCAAAACTGCTGCGGGTGTTAGTAAAAATACTTTGGATGATTTAACGTACGTTGGCAAGAGCACATTGGGAGATTTGACGAAAAGTGCCAAAGAAGTCGCCACAAAGAAGGGTTTGCTCAAGGTAAGTAACGAAAAAAATCTAAAAATTTAGACTCGCATTTTTAACATTAAAAGATATTGTATAAGAAGAAAAATTAAAAGATTTATCTAAAACATCTATCCACCACTTTGCTTGTATTTAGGGTCCCGGAGAACAACAATCGCCAGTACATGCACCATCGTCTCCCAATATGACGCAGCAGCGAAAGGATTCGGTTAGCAATCAGCTGGTCGCGTCAGATACGCGGAGCGGTGTCGGGCGAGATTTTTTCAGCAATATTAGTAGCGATCTGAACGGCTTTGCCGCGCAGACAAGCAGTATGTTCAGCGATCTATTTGGTATGTCCGGTATTTTTTTTATACGTTAATAATTAAGAATTTAAATAATATCATATATTCTGCCTGAATAGATATATAATAAGAACCTAGAAGAAGAAAAAAATATATATGTTTTTCTGAGAAAAAAAATAAAATTTTGTTACTATTTGTATTCTTTGAGATATTCTTTCATGTGTCTATAAATTTTATCGTTAATTTTATAATAATTTTAATTATTAATGATTTAATACATCGAGGAAAAAGAATAATGAAGATTATATCTAACTTACAGGTAGCAAAAATAATTCTAATCGAGGTAGTAGCTTCTTTCCGCAGAATCAGAAATCGAAAGAGAAGATAAATCCGATTCTAGTACCATTTCCTAAAGGTGCGAGTTAGTATGTTTCTAATTAATTTTTTGAATTTGAAAATAAAATTCAGCGTAATATAAATATGTGTATTGACAGTTGCAGGAAAGACGGGATTGGTAGAACGTTCTTCGTTAATAAAACATTCTTCGCACAAAGTTAATCAGGAAGACGCGCAGAGAATGCAAAATGCGGAACGTTCTAGTACAAATAGCGACAATCAAGCCTTTTTGAACGATGCAAGTATTCGCAAATATCATCTTAATTATCTCGCATAACAATTTTACTCAATTTTAATTTTCTCCCAACATCTTTCAGGTGGTGACGCAAGTGTTGGCCGGCGAAGGTGTTGGTTGGCTCAAACTGAACAGATTGAAGAAGCTAATGGAGGATGAAAATTATAGAGATTTGGTCGTGACAAAGCTAAATAAGGGTCTAAATAGAAAGATTAGTCCAGATGATCATATTGATGATGTGGTAAATTTTTAATTTCTCTTAATTTTAACACACAAATTATTTCAGAATATCGTTTGCTAAATTTGTTCTCGTGTTAAACTTGTTCTTATTAAACACGCAATTAAATATTATTTGATTTATTTTAATCCTTTATAGCCCATATCGAAACCCGTGTATAAGGGAATGTTAAAGTGCCTTCAAGCAGTAACGCATGGTCTTGCGCATACGTATAATAATTTCGGATTAGGCGGGATGGCCTCTGTCTTCCAACTGATGGAAATTGCTCACACACATTACTGGAGCAAGGATCTGTCCGAAAGTGATTTCGACAGTTCTTTGATGTCGCAGGTATACAAATTTTGAATATATTTCTATACGTATAGAACAATTTTAAATTTATATTTATTTCAATTTTTACTTATATTTTATAATAGAAGATAATGAGAAAAAGCATACACTTGTGTTTTGCAGGCATCTAGCCCGTTCGGCAGTAGAGAAAACTTGAAATCACCTCAATCTCCGAATCAACCTGATTTTATGGATATTACACAAAAATCAGGTATGTCTCTCTTTTTAAATGCAGTTGTCTCTCTTTTAAACACAGAAAATTAATTTTTATTGCACTGCTAAATAAAAATTAAATTAAATTTTATTAAATTTTTCAAATAAACAGTTTGTCGAATTGAAAGTTGACATGTATCTTAAACAAATGCATGTTATAAACGAATTGATAATTTATAATATTTTTTCGGGAAACATCAGAATTGCCGCAGGTGCATTTGGACACGCCACAAGCACCGCCGACAGGGGACACGAGCCAATCGACTACGGACATGTTTTTCGACATGTTTACGAAGAAGGGGAAATTTCTAAGCAAACTCACTTCGTTCGATTCGGAGGTAGAAAGAAAATTTTCAGCATCTTCCATAATTCAAACTACTCAAATGATTCTTTTAATCCTTATATATTTTAAACTGGAGTTTCAAATTGATTGATCGTTTTATATAATAGGTACAATAATACCGCAAGGGCGCGATGTTGAAACTAGTAACATGCCTCCGTCCTAAAACACAGGCGAGAAGAGTAATTCTTTTTTTTTTTATTTTTTTAATGTATACGCTATCGGCTTGACAGCTTCTTTAGTGTGGTTCCTCCTACAACCAGTAACGAAAAAAACACACAAACAATAAATGTTCAACGTTGGATTGTAACGTGCAATGCACACGTGTCATGTGTTTTTTAGAGTGGGCGGGGTGGTGGAACGGGAAGCAGCGAAGCTTTATCCACAGACGGAGGTAGCATTATCACTAATCCTGCTTTTCGGCAAGCGCACCAAGCTTCCTTCCGAAGCACCGTGTCTGATAGCGAGGTCGAGCAAGGCAATGTAAATTATCTACTGAATTAGTTTTACCTATAGTTGTACATTTTTATATATAATTGTTATACATGTATCTCGTAGAACGCAATGCAAAACACAACGCTAATAGCATCGTCCATTCTCATAAAATTAATCGATAAAGTTCAGTTCAATACATGTCTATTATTCAGATCATATAACGTAAGTCTCGAATGTGTATGTTGATTGTGTTAGTGAAATTAATGATTTTTTTTATAACACTTGAATGCCTAAGCACTTCAGGGAATAAGTATAAATAGAGTTCCTTTGATACTCGACCAACTCGGATGTTGATACTTGACGCAACACGAGCTTCCCGTAGTTTCCATAAAACACTCGAATCGTATCAATACCTAGACATTCGTTAGGAATACGAATGGACGCTGATAGATTGCATAGAGAATTATAATCGAAGGGTAATGGTAACATCTCTCGCTGCAATTTAAATTACGATCATATTAAAAAATAAATTTTCATGCATACGTGATGCACAATCAAGTATCTCTTCGTATCAAGTTACCCTTTGACCTTAGAAAGATGGCATCATATCACAATTAGTTGTGAATCTCTAGCTTGAATGTCAATCAAACAAAGAAGTCGAACAAAGAGAACATTCTAATGTATTTCAAGAGAAATATATTATTGCTTCATTAAAATTTCTTTAGATTTTTATTAGAATCTTTACTCTTGTCTTTACTCTTGTCTTTTCTCTGTTATTAATATCATTCTTACCCGATTTTATGATTCTAGTTTCCTCGGCAAGGAAAGCAACGTTCCGGCAGTGTTTGGTCCAGCAAATCATCTCTGAGTACCGGATTCCGTTATCATGACGGAAGTTTGATACCTACCACAACTCTACCAAGTCCAGGAACTGCGAGAACGTATCTCTTCGAAGGTATACATTCTTTTTAATTAGATAAAAGTATCCCAGATGAAACAGAGATCATAATTGTCTACAAATATTTACAAAGATCCTTTTTTCGCATATCTAATCTTTTAAGTAGAAAATGTTATCGAATTTTTTTCAGGTCTGCTTGGAAAAGACAGGTCATCTCTATGGGACGAAATGCAATTCTGGGAAGATGCCTTTTTAGATGCTGTATCGCAGGAACGCGACATGATGGGCATGGATCAAGGACCCGGAGAGATGGTGGAAAGGTAAGAGGCAACCGTAGAATATTTGACGAAAATTAGGCAACACAAATATATACTGAAAAATAAATAAGAAGATTGCATTCTTCGATTAATTTAAAATTAAAAATTATAAAATTGCGATAAATTGACTTTGTTTCAATTTTTATGTATAATAATATAATAGTGTAACAAAAAAGATGAAAAGTAATATTTAAAAAAATATTCATAAAAAGTATTCTCAAAAAATGTTTCCAACACAGATATAAGAGTTTAAGCGAAAGCGAAAGACGACGATTGGAGCACGAGGAAGATAGACTATTGTGCACTTTGTTGCACAATCTCACCGCTGTTCTGGTGATGCTGAACGTTGATAAGAACGAACTGAAGCGAAAAGTGCGTAGATTATTGGGCAAGAGTCACATCGGCCTCATCTACAGCCAGGAATTAAATCTACTTCTCGATCAAATAAGTAATCTCGTAAGTGTCCTGTAAGCAACTATCAAAAACCTGCAATCAACGTGCGCTTTTCTTCTTCTGTAGCACGGAAACGACATCGATCTGAAGCCTCTGACATCACGACAAATGCACCGGCAGTCCTTTACCGTGCATTCGGGGATCGACGCTGAGGGTGACCTACGGTTCCTCGAGGTTCGCCACGACGGTCTCGTGCTGAGATCAGTGAACGGCGTGATAGTTGAGCGTTGGTGGTACGAACGCATGGTCAATATGACATACAGCCCGAAGAATAAGGTTTTGTGCTTGTGGAGGAGAAGCGGCGGCAACACGGAATTACACAAATATTACACTAAGAAGGTATGTCTCTGAAAAGAAAGATTAATCACGAAGAAGGAAAGTAATGTTTTCTTCTATCTTATATAACATTTCTTAATTATTTTAAATATCCGTTTGTACAAACTTTCAAAAATATATAGAAAATACATTTATTTTTTGAAAATTTTGCAAAATTTTCTCTCTAAATATATATAATTTTTCCTAAAGAAGTAAGAAAAAAATATTATATATATATATATATATATATATATATATATATATATATATAATGTTTTAATAAAAGTTAGATAAAAAAAGAAAAAGTCTGTTCTTTCTCAAGACTAGATTATCTACAAAATCATATCAGATATGTAATGAGAATGTAAACGATCATTTTTTAGTGCAAGGATGTCTACTATTGCATAAAGGACGCTATGGAAAAAGCGGCGGCTCGCGGACGAGGCGCGAACGTGGGCTACGAACTCGGCGGCGAGTTTCCGGTGCAGGACATGCGAACGGGCGAAGGTGGACTCCTGCAGGTTTGCATGGAAGGCGTCGGTCTCCTCTTCGCGAACAGCAAGGTATGACTCGCATATTCGTGTAAAAAGTCGCACAATCCTCTTACAATTGTACGAAAAGAATCGAAAGTTCGGTTCTCACTGTCTCTCTCTCTCTCTTTCTCTCTTTTTTTCTCTCTCTCTCTTTTTCTTTCTCTCGAGGATTGTGCAAATTTATTTATAAATATATAAATATATACTTTTTTGACATTTTACGTCTCTAATTGTTTGTGTCATGTTGAGCCGCATTTGACATCATATACATTTATTTAAAATAATGATAATAATTATTATAATTATTATCATCTTTTATTTGATAATTATTATAATTGTTATCATCTTTCGCGCCTTATACAAAATACCAGATTTATTAACCATATATATTAACTATATATAATATTTCTTCTCTGGCCGATTCTATCGATTTTACTCTTTTTTATCAAAATACATATAATATGATATATTTATTTCAGCCAGATCAAATATATATATGTCAGAGAATATTTTATGTCACTATGAGCTGAGTTTGTTTAAAAAAAAAAAGTGAACAAATATTCTTTGTCCTGGCTCAATAAACGTGATCATGAGGTAGCAATTAATGTAACCTCGATCATATATAACATTGTGCTCGATACTGAATAAATATTTAAAAATGAAACATTTTTTTATTAAAGGGAAAAAATGTGCAAACACGCGACAATGTTAAATCTCGTATTGAACAGATCTCGTTGTTGTTTCTGCTACTCTTTTTGCCATTCATATTCTCTCGATCATCGAATATTCTCTCTCTGTGTTTTTTTTTCGTTATTGCATTGATGCAAGGACCACTCAATATTATCTCCCACTGCTACCCACTATAATCTGCTTAATTAATTTGTATCTCTGTATTGTGATTTATCGCGTGGTCCATGATAGGACAAATCGGACTCGTCAAAAGGTAGTTTGCCCGTAAATATCTACTTATTTATTCCCAAATTGATCAAAAAAAGGTTCATATGTTAGGACTGTTTTTCTTTTTGCCAATATACCTCACGAGGAGATAATTCAAAAATTACGTACCCGCGTATTAATACAAATCTGTATTGATACAATTAGAGTGGCTGTATAGAAGAAAATGTTAACAACTTCTCATTTTAACAAGAGAAACTGACATCACAATCATAAATGCGTGTATATACCGAATGTTGCACAACGATGGCGTGTTTTCTTTTAATTGCAGATTTTTCGATCACTAAGTTCAGTCAATTTTTCCTTTAAAAAAAATATATGTATCTGTTCTTAAATTATGCACAAAGAACATGTAATGAAGTAAATTAAGTCTTGACTATTAATATGAATTTTGGATACAAGATCTTATTTTTAAGCTAATAATGAAATGTTTAACCTATCTTGAAAAAAAGAGATAAAAACAATCCCAGAAATTATCAATAAGAATTGTCAAAGAGAAAATTTATTCAAAATTGACTAAAGAAATCATAATTTTAAAAGAAAACACGCTTAATGTGGGACACTCTGCATATGCATGTCGAAGTACTTCACACGAATATGGTCCATCTAAGCTTTACGCATTTATTTTATTTGCTTTTAGTAAAAATATTCAACGAATTATGTGATTCAAATGAGAAATATAATTGATTATCTCGTGGCAGAAAAATCATGAATAATGTACAACGAGTGGAATTGGAAATCTGCAGGCTTCGTTATTATTCATACATTTACACGCACATAACGCTCATATATACACATATGCAACTCCTCACAATCAACGGAAAAAAAATTGTTCTTCTTGTTGCTAAATATTTCGGAAGTTTTGAATAATCTGATTAATCTCTCGCGATTGATATTATATCACTGATATCCTCTCGGTTATTTTACTGGATAATATTGTGTTCAGGCGTTATATAATCAATGTTTTCTTGCATGGAAGCTCGATGTGCAGTTGCAGACTCTTTTATCTGTATATTATATATATATAATTACATATTATATTACATTTATATATCATTATATATACATTTATATATATATAGGAAATAAGGTATAGGGCGATATATATATATAAGATTGTCTTTTTTGAACACACTATACTCCTATATCTTATCATTTGTATTGAATGTTGGATGCTATTATATTTTTTCCATAAGTCTAACAATTCTTTTATCTGTCGTGGTCATACGTGAGGAAAGTCTATTCGAGATGAGAACGAAAAATGAAGAAGAAGAGAAGAGAAGAAGATGTAAAATGCGACCAAAAAGTATCGCGACCATACACAGATCGCTGTTTATTTCGGCTGCTTACCGATAAACGGATCGCCGATCTCATGCATATATATATATATATATATATATATATATATATGTATATGTATGTATATATATTTATATACTTATATATTTATATATTTATATATTTATATATTCATATATTTATATATTCATATATTTATATATTTATATATTTATATATTTATATATTTGTATATTTATATATTTATATATTTATATATTTATAAATTTATATATTTATATATTTATAAATTTATATATTTATATATTTGTATATTTATATATTTATATGTATATTTATGTATTGGCAGAATCTTGCGCGAAAAAATGGCGAAATATCCGTAAAATATTATGCGCTCAGGATCCCGTATATATCCATTCTCCAGATGATCGGGATGATAGACTTTTCTCAGCTTGGGGAACTTTTGAGATGGTCCTTGAACAATGAATATACCTTGCTGTTTATCCGATTGGCCATGACGTTAGGTGATAAAATGTAGCTGTAATATCATCGTGTACAGCTCTATCTATCTATTCTATCTCTATCTCTCTATACTACATATATATATAAACTATATCTTAACTGAGTGGATAACTGCTGTTATCAAGGGTTTTAATTTTCTGTTTTTCTGTTTTCTGTTTTCTTGTCCCGTCCATCGACATTGCCCTGCGCGGCTGGGCAAACAGGATTTCGAGGTATCAAATCACAATATAAGTCATTGTTTGTTATATAAATTCAGTATATATGACATAATATACTCAATGTTGGCCGTGTTCCGGAGATGCTTATTTATTTTTACCATTACTTTTGGCCGTATATTATTATTATTATTATTATTATATCATTATATACTATATATATCTACCTACATTCTTAAATGCATTCGAATTCACTGATCTGCTCTGTCTATCTTTACTGTTTTTTCTACGATCGATCGGTGTTAGTTGTAATATATATATATATATATATATACGTATATGTATCTTCGTTACGATATATATATATATCGTAAAGCGCTGATACCTAATGTAGGTATTCAGTAAAAACATAAACAATGAAATGCAGAACAGTGTTTGTCGCATATATATATCAAAAATCCGATAATATACATTATATATTATATATTGTATATCGTTTAGATGAAATATTTGTAAGTAGTGTTTAGTGCAACTTGTAGAGCGATGTTCGATTTGCACACACAATGCAACTATATATATATCTATATAGCCTAATCACTCGTACATGAAAGTATACACAGTCATTACGTCACGATCATCATTACAGCTTCCACGTATCTTTACACACCGTATCTTTCGGTAATCGTGAAATACGTAAAAAAAAAAGATTTGAATTCTTCGTTATCGTTATTGCTCGACGCGATACGATACTATTTATTGAAGATCGATAATACAAAAGTTATATCCCGATCTTCTATCAAATTTCTGAAAATAATTCTGCTCGACAAACCTTTGCTTTTTTTTATTTCGATTTTAAGTTGAAACAGAAAATAAGCGAAACGCTGATCGCAAATAGAAAATAATATAAGATATAAGAATAAAATATAAGAGTCGATCTGTGTGATCGGAAGGAAATAGAATGTTATAAAATTTATGATCCATAAAAGCCACTCTTTATGTAAAATTGTGGAGTGTAACCGTAAACTATACACTTTACCGCAATATACCCGTAGCAATATATACCTCTCAACTGTCCCTTGCGTATGTCAAAATAGACCAGTAGAATCGGGGGCGATATTTCTCAAGAGATGAAATGAGACAGTGTTACGCAAAATTAAATTGATCCACAAAATTAGAAGAAATGGATTATTAGAAGTAAAAATAAATAAGTGCACGAAAAGAAAAAGATTTCAAATTTGATTTAAAAAAAATTTTAATTTTAAAAAATTATGTTTAAATCACAAATAATTCTTGCATAATATTGAATAATTTATCGTGATAGAATCTGCCTTTTCGCAGATTTAAACAAAATTACAGCTATAGAAATAGTAATAAAAGAATTGAAAACAGCTCTTTAAAACTCTAGATTAAAATATATATTTTTCAAGCATATAAAAATAAAAAGACAGTGAAAAACTAGTATTAAAAAATATGCTACCCGATTTATACAGTCGTATATCTCTCGAAATCTATCTACACACTGCTAGTTATGTATAGTAGAGCAATGGTTTTTTCTTTGTTGTATAGTGGTTTCAACACCATATTACGTGTCGAAAGGGGATCATCTCCGAGATAATCGTGATGAGAACTCGCGCTAGCCTGAATCTTGTCGTCACGATATTACTACACTCCTCTGGCATGGCACTGCTAATATAATGTTCCTTGTTTACGACATTGTACCGAGATTTTCCGATATATATTCCCCCTGACAAGAGTGAACATTCGTCATCATTATGTCATCCCCTTCACCCCCTTTTCTCGATTTCTACCAACACCCTCGCTCTACGATCGATATGTATATCACGACCGTGCATCATTGTCGATCGAACCACGTCCACGTCGGTCTGTATTAGATGATACAATTGCACATTTAGCAAGTTATCGACGCTAAGCAATCAGTGACATTTTACGATTGAGTTTAGGCCATCTCCAGAGTTGCCTGCCGCTATATTTCGCTGATGTTGCGCCTGCTGCTGCTGCTGTTGCTGCTGTTTGTCGTCGCCGCTGCTCTGCCGCTAGCTTCTCGCTTACAAATCGAGATTACGACACGACTATTAAATCATGCATGTTTTTGATACATTTTTAGTCATAGAATAAATCTTAGATTGCTTATAAACCTTAGGTCGCTTTCACCAAGCGTTATGTTTGCAAAACTCAGCAGTTACGAAATTTTCTCGTAGATTTTAATTTTAATATTAGTAGTATTAGCTTCATTAATATATATTAAATTTTTTGTAGAAATAATTAACACAAAGATACACATCTGTCTCAATATATTTTTATATGGCATGATTATTCTATTTTATGAAGAATACTTAGATCTTTAAATGTATTTTTCTTCAAACTTGACTTTTTTTCTAATATTGTGTATTATATTAATTTAGTTTTAATAATATCTAATATTTTATAAAATAATTCATAAATTCTATTTTTCGATTGTTAGAGATTTTTATGCAAAAGCTGAGTTTTGTGAGGAAATATTATTTATTGTTCGCTGCTAAATTTGCGATCAAAATGTAGTGAGATTGAGCATGCTGTTATAAAGCGATTTTACCGCTAACAAAAGAAGATGTACGTTTGCATGTAAAAAAAATATTTAAGATTCCAACTCAATTTTATTTCTTTCGTTTACAGTTCGAACTTTTACATTTTTGCACGTCTAATGAATATATTTCAATTTTAGATTTTATGCATTAAATGTAATATTTACAATTTTCTACATAAAACGCGATTCGATATCTACACGTGGCCGTCGTTGCCGAGAGATTATCTTTTAACGTTCTCCGTTTTTACAAAGACATTTCATAACGGAGATTATTAGAGAAAATAAAGTTACGTGTGCTCGAAATTAAGAACGTAAACATTGAAATAATTAGATTGTTTGAAATGAATAATATTGTGGAAGAGAAAAGCGAGTTTTTTCGAATTTAAACCGTTCGTTCCGCACAGAGAGAAATCAACAATAATATCTTTGAAATAAAATTATGCAAGAGTTTCAATTTATTTGAGATGAAACATCCGTATACTCATTAGGAAAACGGAAAAAAAGTTATTTTTCTCTTTGTAATAATGCTGTATGAGTATATTGCTTCTCGTGTAACCTGTGCAAGCCACATTTATCTCGTAAGCGACATATAATAACAGTGATTATTACTATTCTAGATGTGTTACAAATAAAATTTAACTAATAATTTTTCGATGTACATCACCGTACGTGACACACAATATACTAAAAGCTGAAAGATAATTTAAAATTTTACTATATTAAAAAAAGGAACGATATATATTGAATAAGATAATTTTTATAAATTAAGAAAATTATGTTATACGAGAGTGATATGTAATTTTAATACATAACTGCTTAGAATAGTTTTGTATGGTGACGTGCATCAAATAAGACAAACAATATGATAATACCTGAAATCTATTTTTTGTGCAATATCCATCGAGCGCGTCTAAATTCTTAATAAAAAATTATTCCAAGTTAAATTGTATAATAAAGAGAATTTTCAATCATAAAAATTTATAAATACAAAGCTAAAAAAATAGATTATATGTTAATTAATTCGAAAAATTAGCGCTCGAAGGGTGAAACAGACACTTGTCGTCGAATGAGCTTATCGTCACAATTTCTACAATAATCGTCGTCACGCCTTTTAAAGAGCTGTTTGCACACACAATTAATATCGTTATATCGGCGCATATAACAATAAAATAGGCCATAGAAAATCGTCACAAGTGTGCATGATCGAGTAGATCCAGATCCGTAATGCGCGATGCGCAGAACACTAACATAAATCGATTGTGTTATTTGCAGTTTTTTGTAAGACTCGATCATATCCGCAAGTGCTTTACTCAAAAGGATGGAATCTTTGTTTTGGAAGAATTCAGTAAGTGATACATCGAATATTGCTTCGATTACCATACGCTTTTACATACGCCGTAGAGATACCTCGTGAAAAATAGAGATTCACGATAGCGATTCACGCTTCCGCTGCAATTAAATTTTAGCCGCGATACGTCGATATATTATCAGACACCTTTCTGTTTCAGATCCTAAAACTAGACAAGTAATTCAACGTAAATATAAGTCGCAAATGGTGAGTAGATTTCATAATTTTCTTGTTTTGCGAAAACATATACAATAATTCACATTAAAGAAAAATACTTGCTCTTAAGGAAAACAAAATAGGATAAAATACATATTTGCATTTTTATTAAGACAAAATTGCAATTTATATTAATATTGGAGTCGCATTTATTTTATCCGAATTAATCGACATTTGTTTTATCGATGGCATATAATAATACTTTGTAATTTCAGAATATTTTTCACGTTAAAAAGCACTTGATAAATACGTAAAATATCATTAAGTTATATAGGATCTTATTTTTTAATTTATTAATATATTCAAATTAATATAAATCAATTCAAATCGCGAAACATTAGAAAAATAATTAATGATTTTATGTTATAGTTTGATTTTTTATTTATCATATATATGTAGCTGTATATTGTGTGACAGGCTGAAGAGGCGGTTCGCTGCTTGCATAGAGTATTTTCTGTTGCATTTACTCTTCATAAACTCCCGTTGGAGAGTCATCACAAACATAAGCGCGAAAATGACACCGCATGAAGCTCTCTCATTTCTAAGTTATTTATCATTTCTTATATCTCACGTAAGTTCTTTTCCAATTGCTTTAAGTAAATCCTTATAATTTATAGTTTTGTAAATTACGTTGAGAAATTTTTTATAAATCACTTTTCGTTTCTAGACAAGATTCTGAATGATTTAACATTTATTTCAAAGTTAAATAATAAAATTTAATATATATTTTTATATATTTTTTCCGAAAACAAATTAATTTCGCAAAATTCCTTATGAAGCAATAATTTAATATTTATATAATGACGTAAAACTTTTCCTCATCCATAGGCATCTGATATCTGCTATGCTGTTTTGTGCGTATTTTCTTACGTGGCTGCTGGTTCGGAGCAACGAAAGCAACAACAAGGTCAACAGCAACCATCTCAACAGCAGCACATACAACGCCAACATCATCAACAACAACAACATCATCATCATCAACAACAGCATCATCAACAACAACAGCATCATCATCAACAACAACAGCATCATCAACAACAACAACAACAGCATAATCAACAACAACAACAGCATCATCAACAACAACAACAGCATTATCAACAACAGCAGCAACAGCACACTTTGCATCCGAATGAACAGCGTCAGCAACAGCAACAGCACTATCAAGCCCGGCATCCCTACCAACAACACAGACAAGAGCAACCCCAATCGAGCAATGTAACAACCCAAATGCACAAAAATATGCAACTAGACCCTTATCCTCGTCAACATTGACGCAGGCAAAGACACTCGCTTCCCTTCGTTAGCATTCACGGCAAAAATAGTTGCGCCCCTTACGCCTGTTTACCCTGGGTATAAGTGCGCTATCCTTCTCAGAAATTATTTGAAGATTCGATTGAATGTGAGCAAAATAACGGTGATGTTATATTTTTTTCGAAGAAATATTTTCTTCTTTGCGCCGTAGCAATGCTCTTCCTTTCCGGAATTGAAATCACTTTGTGAAAAATTGTAGTAACTAAGAACATGAAAAAAATCATATCTATCCTTCGTTATAATTCGTTAATATCAGACTTACGGTGCGAATTTTTATTCGAAGTTAGTCTTGTGTAGTCAATGTGATATCTATGATATTCTTGTATTCACTCGCATACACGATATGCGTCACCTAAAGCAATTCAATACAATAATTATTCGTAATTGGCGGTACAATTTTGTATAATACGCCGCATACAGAGATTGTATTTATGATCGTTCGCGACGATAAAAAAATATTTATTTTAGCTCGTATCGAAGTGAGAATGGTTGATGTTAATTAATAAACGTTGCGCGAACTTTTTAGTTATCGCATACGGAATTAATTCTATCGTTTTTTGGGTACTTGAACTTCATAACTGAAACATAGACAAGTGGCTTTATCCGTTCACTATCTCTCTTTTTTTATGTTAAGTCTGTAATCGAATTTAGTCGGAGTGTTATACTCGTTTTATTTAAGTTGAAATGTACTGAAATATCGCAATGTTAGAGAAAAACTGTTGTGCGTAAGATGTGTAGAAAAACATACTGTCATTCTATATCTTGAATAACTTGCACGGTGGTCATTCTTTTATACGGTTTCGAATAAAGAAGAAAAAGAATCTTTCTCGATAGCTCGTAGAGCTCGTTTTAGGATACATGTAATGTTTCCAAAGTTCTAGGCCTTATATGTAATATAATGTAATTGTAAAAAGAAGGCTCTCGAAATCTAAGATGATACATCTCTGATACCGTAAAGATTTACATCCTGCGTTTTCCTACGAGTCATTAGTTAGGCAATCGGAAATTGCATCAGCAACGAAATCGCGATTCCAAATCGCTAGTCGGAATCGACACTAAGAGTGCGAAATATTTCTCACGGAAATAAATACTATATTTTTTTCTTTGCCGCATTTTTCAATATTCGTTATGTTAGATATATACGCGTAAAAAGACAAATATAGAAGAAACGAACGACCAGCTTAGGAAAAAGGATATGTACACTAGTCGCAAACTCAGCGTGAAATAACCGTAGCGTACGTTACACACAAATATCAGAAGAAATGATATATTTTCTTGTAACGTATAAGAAGCGTATAGATATTTGTAAAAAGGTATAGGATGTTTGTAAATAATAATTGGCGATATAGTAAACGGTACGACCAGCATCCCTTTTTATTTCTCGTTTTTTAATACGATTATACATATTAGAGCTCGTTCATCAGCTGAATTGGAGAGAAGTATATTTCTAAGAATAAGAGAGAGCGAGAGAAAGTGAGAGAGATGTTATCTTCTAAACATCTGAAAAAAGCATATGTACACGACCCTTGGTACCAAATTTGTCTGAATCCCGATGTTTAGAAGTTCCGTCGTCAATGCCACGTTTAAACGATACGTCGATCGATCATAGTCATTCCGAGATATATCACGATTAAAAGAACTTTAGACCTCTAGAAGAGAAATTAATACCTCGCATTGTATAGTATTCATCCATGTAGACGCCTTATACCCAAAATATACTTGTAGCCAAATCGATATTAAATAATATTTATATTTACCTGCACCTAACTCTGCGAGATTTGACAAATAATTTGAATTTTTAGCATATAAATATACAAGTTTCTCGCCCAGAAGAGAAAATGAAGATTAAATTCCATTATAATTTAATAATTCTGTGTCATTATTCAATAGAGACTAATAGGCTACACATATGTGGACGCATATGTGGTTCAATAATTATGTCGTTAACCGTTCATTAAATTCAATTACTAAATACACTCGAGACAGATTTAAAGCGATGGCAAGAAATGTGCATTTATTACGTTTATATTATCTTCGCAATAATTATCTTTGCAATTGAATTTAAGATAAATCTAATCAATATATCGATAAAACAAGAAACTTATTTATACGTATAACTTAATTACAATTGAGAAATTAATCTTCAAATTTATTAACACATATTAATAAATATGAATAAATCTAAAAAAAAATTGATCAATAAACTGACAAATAAAAATAAATATATCAATTTATGAAATGAATGATATAAATAAATAAATTAATAAATAAAATTAAGTTGAATAAAATTCCCATATGCATCAATACTGGTCAATACAAATAATGGCTAAATATATATTTTTTAAAAGTATAAAAATAAAATAAATTACTTATCCCTCGTGACAACATAAAACAAAAAGATGATAAATCATTACCCACAATTAGATCGGACTCTCGTTTAATATTTTTAGTATCACCGATTTTTTATTTCATCGGAAAAGTTGAGACTTAATCTAACAATCAGACGTAATCGTATTTGATCGAAGCCACAATGTCAGTTGTGAGGATTGAATTTCATACCTGATCGGATATTTGTATTTTTTTTATTGATGTCTGGCACATAAGCGCGATCTTATTACTCGAGGCTTGTGGTCTGTAGTCGCGTCTCAAATCTCATTGTGCGAGGATGGAGCGATGGATCGGAAAGGTGGCTGTGGTTACCGGAGCAAGTGCCGGAATCGGCGCAGCGATTGCTCGAAGTCTTGTTAAACAAGGTAAGGAAAAGCTGGAATTTTACAGATAAATATTGCATTAAAATTTATTTCCATCGAAAGACAGATTTGAATTTCATCAATTCAAATGCTTTGCAGTTTCAAGCGTTTATCTTGACGCAATACATCTTACCGTAAGATGTCAATAATATCATCCGTTAATAGAAAAGTAATCGCTTATATTAAGAAAATGCTATCTAACGCTATTCGTGCTACAATAAAAAGATTAATCTTCCTTGATTTTTTTTAAAGTACCTTTTATCGTTTTATCGTATCAGGTATGATAGTGGCGGGCTTCGCGAGGAGAGTGAAGAGAATCAAGGAAATCGCTGACAATTTGGAAGATTCCCCGGGAAAGCTTTATCCTGTAGAATGCGATGTCACTAAGGAGGACAGCATAATCGCGGCTTTTGCACGGGTGAAGGATGATCTCGGCCCGCTAAGTGTTCTCGTGAATAGCGCTGGTATCACAAAGGAATCTTCACTCATAGGTGCCTGACAAATCTTAACAAAATTTTACATCCGATAAAATAATGTATCTCGTCCTCGAAAAAAAAAATTATATTCAATATGAAAACTGTTTTGTTCGACTAATAGACAAAGAATATAATAATTATTTTTTATAGATATTAAAAACGCATTTTAAAAGAATTTTTTCGACATGATATGTAATTGCATTTGTAATTTTTTTCAACGTCCTAGAAAAAAATTATGTATTTTTTACAGACGGCACTTTAGAGGAGTGGCAGTCAGTATTTAACGTGAATGTTTTGGGACTCTGTCTCTGCACACGCGAAGCCGTTCGTACGATGCGTGAAACCACTGCCGAGGATGCCGTAGTGATCCACGTGAATAGTTTGGCCGCCGAGAGGATACCCTTCGTACCAGGATTCAGTGTGTATCCGGGATCGAAGCGAGCCGTCACCGGCCTCGCCCAGACCTTGCGACATGAGCTTGCAGGCACGCATATACGAGTCACGGTATATTCGACATACTTAATAATTAATATTATATATTAATATAATTATACATTATTAACACAAAATGTATTAATCATATATTATTAACAAAATGTATTAATCATATAATATTAATCATATAATTGTATTCTTTTTTACATGTATGTACAAATATTTTAAAATATTTGTTTAAAGAAAATTGAATGTCGATAGATTTCTCTCTTTTTCTTTGTTTCTACTTACATTTTTTTTCTTTATTACAGAACATCAGTCCCGGTTTAGTCGCGACCGATTTCATGACCTCTTATAGCATATTCTCATCGGAAGCAATGGCGGCGATGCCGACTTTGAATCCGGATGATGTTGCGGCAGCGGCGATTTACGTGCTATCCAATCCTCCTCACGTTCTGGTATGGTATATCATCTATATATGAGTACATTTTTAAAACATTCTTTTTTCCTATATTGTATAAAAAAATTAAGTCATTTAAAATTTGTAAATTAACTAAAAAAAATGATATTTTTCTCGCAGATACAAGATATCGTACTGAGACCTCTGGGCGAATCGTGGTAATCAATTTTCAAATCAATTATGTGCTTTATACAATGAATTATATATAAAATAATTTTAATCTAACAATTTTGTTTGCTTTTTACAAAAGTGGCACTAATAAAAAAAGCAGATTTATATTCATATCTTCTTTTTCCTACTTCAAATCGTGTGAAACGTTCTGTAAATTAATATAAGAGTCATATAAAAAATATTTAGTAAAACCGGAAAAGTTGAGAATTTGCGATAGAAGAGACGCACTCTCATAAAATGCTAACTTACTTGAATCTTTTCATCGAACAACGAGTTACGCCGACTACTTTAATGCATGGATTCGCTGATGGAATGGGTCGATTGAGGTAAAGAGATCATTCTCCTCCACATTCTCTGAAAATTCTGATGTAATGCTCTTAAGATATCGTCTTATCGTTTTCTATGACCGTTCCTTCTTTGGAAACCGCATCAAAATCGTCACGTATCGTTGTATTTCATTCTGTTTTTATATTTGAATAGCTTCATTTTGAAATTAAACATTGAATATTGTCCTTTAAGCATTAGCGCTATTATTTTATTTCTATTTTCGAAATTCTAGTATTAGCACAAAATGTTCAGATAGCCAACTGTCTATGAGATTGCTGTCATATTATCAACAATTAATAATTAGTGTAAATAATTATTAAGGATCTCATTATTACGTCCGTTCACAGGAGATTATTTGAGCAAATACCGGATGAAATCGTTGCCTATGATGAATATTATAACATTTACAATTAGTATACATTCAGTGATAAATCAAATAAAGCGCTTGCACTTTTCGTATAATATACATGAATCTAATCCTCTTAATAATAGACTGATATTTTATACAGAGCATATACTTTTTCACACACATCGTTTTAAAATTTATTATATAATTTATTATATAATACGTATATTTATTATATAATACGTATAATACGTATATATAATACGTATAAATCATCATTGATTGAAGCATCATTTAATTTCCATATAAATGTAGCTTGTATGATTTGACATCATTTACCTTCCATATAAATATGCTTTTATGTAGCTTTACATTTTTAAAAAACTTGCTGATAACGAATCAAATCAAAAATAGGCAACAAATATAATTTAAATTTAAGATCAAAATTTGTTGCCATAATGCTTACATATGAGGACATTTATGATATTTGTTTTATTTGTGTAAAATTTATGAAAACAATTCATATTTTAAATGCACGATATTTAACTAAATAAACTAAATAAATTTCTTACAAACTCTAGAAAGAATGTATGGATTGTGGAAATTGCTTATATATTTATCAATATATAAGTCATCATTCATGATCATTTACGAATGATGATTGAAGGTAGATTATAATATAAAATAATGCCATATGTTTATATGGACGTATTTATTTCCAATTATTTCCATTTACCAGTCAAATAATTTACAAAATCTGGTATTATGTTAAGAAATGGATTGCAAAAAAAGCGATACGTTAGGACAATTCTATTTAATAAAGGTGTGAAGCAATTGGTGTTATTTAGTGCCTAATTGTGAAGAAATAATCCTATATAACGTAACACATTTAGATACACGATATTATACGGAATAATAAATAAAATCAATTGATGGGAAATTTGTATGTAATATATGTATAAGGATAACGATAACAATAGGAATTGTTATCAATTTCGGCAATCGGTTATTTGTGGATAAATACACACTATGCGAGAACGTTATAGATTCGAGACGCTGTATTTATATTTCCTTGCTGTATATTAATTATATCTCACATATAATAATTAAATATAGAAGAACGATATATATATATAACATAAAGAAAATCAGAAAAGAAACATGTTAATTCAACAAAAAATGCAAAACTGTTATCAACTAGTTATTGCTATTGTTACAAAATTTGTCTTGTGTAACGCATGACAAATTTCATAACAATGTGCATGAAGCTGAACACAGAAAAGATTGATTATTAAATGCAAACATATTTTAAGACTTTTTCGAGGCACAGGCGTGTTACTAAATTGCGTTTGCCTTGTCGATGACAAAAATGAAAATACGAATATAAGAATATTTTCGAAGAGAGCATGCAGAGAAATAAATATCGATAGTATATCTCAGGTATAAGCTGTTTACAAATACCTTATGGCAAGCCACATCATCACATCCATGTGATTCATCTCTCCGTGAGAAAAATGACACATCCAATCTATCTTGTTTCCCCGCTAAACACGAGTCCAAATTCCGTATCCGACCTAGGAGAGAAATCCGTGAACCCTATGAAGCGCGAATGATATATCCAAATCCACATCCTTATCCACATTGCGCATATCGTTCATCTTAATGAATCCGAGTGATCCTCGATACGATCCGATGAATACAGCGTAGGCAACTTTTTTATCCTTATCCAAAAATATCCGTCCATGCATACTATAATTTATCCCGTTTCCGAATCCTGTCAGCATCCTAATCCGGATATTAATCCGGAATCCTGTCCGTCGTATCAAGTTCCTCTAAAACTATGGAGTCAGTTCCCGGCAAGATGACAGAGAGTTTGCTTTATACTCAAACGCGCATCATCCTCTTGTTTATGCCAGTTAAATCCTGAAGACTCGCACTGTGTGTTTACAATACGCGACAAAAAGAAGTACACTCAACGATCGATCGGAAAAACGATCATAGTTATCGCGAAACACGTTTATTTTGACAATTGGACTTTAAATCCGATATTATCAAATATACGATATTAGACTTGCAATAGTCTTTTCAAAGAATCACTTCCACCTTTAAAATTAACACTAAATGCGAATTATTTGCATGCATATGTAACAAAAAAAACTATTAACAAAATCGAGTCTAATATTGAAGGCATCTGTTGTATCAATAAGAGGATAAATGTCGAAATCCTCAATGTGAGTGATCCGAAAAATTAATCTTCTCTCACCAAAGTTCAAGAAACTTTGAAACTAAAGAAAATCTTTCCAACAAATCCAGTTGCAGTTGACAATCCATTACTAGTTTGACTGTTAAGTTTATAAATGAATTAATAAACGCAGCATATTTATATGTTAATTACGCAGAAATAATACGCGCGCGAAGCACTTTACCAGGATAAGCACATAATATAATGATGATCCCACTCTCGTTATGTTTCTCGTTTAAAACAGCGACACACAAAAATGTCGAGCTTCAAACTGGGATTCTACTAGTTTCAAAAAGAAATATTAATGATTTTCGCCTCCTTGTAATGGACTTGCCAACGTTTCCTGATCCGGCAATCGAGAATCCTTGAACAAATCATTTTTCATCTCACTCTCCAAAATTCTCTCCTGATCCTGAATTTCCTCTTGAAAGTATCCTGTTTCGCTATTCTCATTTTCATCTATGTCTTTTAATCCTTTTATGTTTATAATTTATGTTCTCCAAAACGCAATCCATCTCATCCCAACGTCAAGCGAATGTGTATTATATCCATCCAAGAAGTAAGATCGTGTTGATTTCAGTTTTTCATTCATTGTGTTACAATCCAATCCAATATACAAAAGAAGAAAAAATACATTAGTTTCTTATATGATGTAAATTACAATGTTAGATATACAATTTATCAATGCAAATGTAATCCTTGTGATGTGAATAAAGAGATGTATAATATACATAATATATGAATATATATAATATATACAGATTTTTTGTGACAAAGATTTTTGAAACATTGCATCAAGGAATAAACATTCGTATAATAATGAAAAGTAGAAAATAATGTACATAATAAAGCAAGATCACAGGATTAATTTGCAAAAATAGCATAAAATACATGATATATCAAATGTTTTCCTTTCACAAATGTACAATTTTAGGATATAATAAAAGGATATTTTGAAATATACTTTTAATTACATTATTCCGAACTGTACGAGAAAGGAAAACACGCAAACAGAAAAATATGAAAGACAATATATCAACTTATAATTATTTCATCGCTATTTATATATCCGAAACGAAATTGGAAACTCTGATATAGAATATTCACAGAATAAAAAATCGCGCTAATTGAGAGACAAGCGCGATAATTAAAGACGCAAAATAATTTTTTTTTCAAATGTAATTTATTAATTGGTTAAAGATTGGTTGAAGATGCTGATGTCGGAGATAATATTCATAACGAAAAGAAATAGTTTGACCCTTCAAAATAATATAGAAAATTTCCACAACGTATATAATAATGGTAAAAAATTTGTTTAAGGTTCCTAGACTTGACGCGTATTATTAACGTCTTCTAAATTTCTTCATTAAAAATGTTGACATTAAATATTTTATGTTTGTTTTTGTATCGGCACGTCACCGTTAATGTTAATGTGCAATTAATCGTTAACGAACTTTTGATTAATCGACAATTGCATTTCGATTCTTATGACTTCCTGTGCTCTGTTATGACTTATGCTCCACCATGATTGGTCAGTTGCCTTCTTTTACAATTTCGATTTCATTTTTTTTATTCACTAATGCTTTATATATTCCCCAACTCTTCCTTTTTTAGCGATTGGAATCGAAAAGAGACTTTTCACATTTGTTTGTAGAAACTGCTAAGAGTTATTTGAGAATGTGAAGCAGACTTCAATTAAAAAAAGTTTATATAATTTCGATAATTAATGTATCAATATATAGGAAAAATAATTATTTGATTACCGCGCTTGGTCTTCAATTAGTCCGTTTTTCCTATTTTGTGAATATTATATATGTATATTTCTTCTTGTATATTTCTTGATATCTATTTTGATTTGGATATATTGCTAATGTGTCCAGATTATACTCAATGGATGTATTATATCGTATATTTTCACATTGACGAGTGTTAAAGAATTCTAGAGTTTTAAGAAATAATTTGAAATAATATGTATTCAACGTAAAATAAAAAAATTACCTATATAAAACATTATTAATTAAAGATTATTCAAGTCTATCAAATATGTGTTATTTGAAAAGCAAATTAAATTGTGTATAAGAATGTGATATCATAGCGAAAATTTTACACTAATATAATTATATATATATATATATATATATATATATATATATATATATATACATATAGTACATAATAAGCTTTGTCACATGTTTATATATTTCATTATAAAGTATGTATACACGATATATTGTCATCACTACGCGTATTCGATTCTGGTATTTTGATTCAATTTAAAAAATAAATTAATGGTGTAAACAATCCTGAGGTATTTATCTGTACAGAAATTGTTAAAGAATCTGTTAGAGCCAATAATTTAAGTGATGGAAAAAAATATTTCATATGACGAATAGAGTATACTATTTTTTAAATTTATGTATTTTTGTTATTGCCGAAGGTGCATGTAGATAATAATGTATATGATGATTAAATGTTGTGTATCTTTTCAAATTTGTCGATAGACTTAAAAGTTGAGTTTTCATATTATAGGAAACTCTAGATCTTCAAATAATTTGTAATTAAGAAATAAAATGTGTGCACAACTTTTTTCAACTGCATTTTAGCAAGAGTTATTTAACTACACACATAGTACTATAATAATACAAGCAATATTAGGTATATAATATGTGTTAGTGTTTAGCAATATATATATAAAAACACAAACAGTAGCGTTTTTAGTATAATTATCATTATTATAATATTAGTAATTTAAAAACTTATGACGAGAAAAAGGCATCTCTTTAGTGAAGATAGAATATCTTATTTTAAGCCCTGTTTTATATGTATATGTTTGTATGTTTTATATGTATATACATAAAAAGTTTGCCTGCAATATATTTTATTCCTGTAAAAATTTGTTGCTGTATGATAAAATTTGATATATGCCTGATGAATGTCATTTTTCTAATTAATTCATATGCAGATATCTTTTTATAAGTTCAATTATAAAAAGATATTAGAAAGAGAAGGTAAAAAAGCATCATATAATACATATTCAGTAATTAGAAAAGATTATAAATAAGATCTTTGTTAGGCAAGTTTTAAAATATGATGTTTCACTATGCAAAGTTTTCAAGTTTTTTACCCAAATACAAAATCCCAAGATATTTTACAGGATGCGCTGATTTCAATGCAATCAACCACTATTTTATATTATGTACCTTAGCGATAAGTGACTCAGAGTATGTTATTGTCCATTAAAAATATTCACAATAGATGTCAATGACACAAGTACTGCTTATATTACAGTTAAGCCAAAATATAGTAGATATGTTAAAGCTTTAGATCTAGTTCTTTACCGAAAGTCTCAATAATACTTCAAAATTGTTACACATAATTTCATTCATAAGTGGTAGTGATGACAAAACAAATAGGCGTAGGAATGTATTTTTAAATGTAGAAGAATAATTCTCTAACAGTTTGGATAAAAACAGTCACACGTGTTCACAAGCATATCATTTTTATGAGGATAATAAAATTTAATAGAATTATTATATTAGGCAATATCAGCTTTAAAAGTTTAATGTTAGAAAACTTTCATTAAAATAATAACCAAAAAGTAAAATTATTAAATTAACTTCTGAGCTGAATGATGTATTCACTTTAAAAACAAGAAATGTAAAGAATAATTATGACATATACATATATACATATACATATATATATACATATATATGCCACATACATACACGAACACCAATGTGCTTCTGTCTAATTATGTATTAAATACAATTAATTGAGTAAATAATTAATTTAAACAATGTAAAGAAATCAATTTGAATTTTTTTACAAAATCTATTTGAATTCGAAGAAAAATATCTCATCGAATAGAATTTAAATCAGCAATAATGAAACATGGTAAGGAGCAAATGTCAATATAAACCTGTACTTATGTTATCATGTGAAACACATACGTACACACTAGTCGTATGAGCGAGATCTGGAGCGAGATCTTGATCGCGAGTAATTACGCCGCAACGGCGAGTAAGTAGGAGAGCCACGACGCCGTGGGCTGTAGCTACGAGAACGACTGCGACCTCTTTCTCTATCTTCGCTGCGTCCTCTATCGCCACCGTTATGATCTTCCCTCACACGAATGTAAGCCACTTCGCCCTAAATCATGTTAAATCAAATGATCAAATATCAAAGACGAATCTGATAATAAATTATATATATTAAAGCATATAAACACAAGCAGGAAAGCATTCGAAAAATGACATTATATTATCCATAATGTATGTATAGCGTGTGTGTGTGTATTTTTATACATTTACATTGCATATCGTCTATTAAAATTGCTTATTAAAATTATCACTTCAATGTGAAAGCAGCAGTAAACACAAAATTAGGATACATATAGAAATAGAAATAACAACAGCAAATCGTACCTCGTGGGATCTAAATCGCGAATCATCTAACTTCTTCACAGCATACTTCATGTCATCATGCCGCAGAAATTCAACAACACCAGTGCCGTCTTTGTAAACGTCCGCAAAGCATACGTCACCGGCCTCACGCATGTGATCCTTGAGATCCTGCCAGCTTCCAGTCGGTGGAAGACCGCTTACTAACACTCTGTATTGTGATCGTCGCGCTGGAGGACCCCGACCGCGGGAATTGCTCATCTCACCGCGGCCACCTCTACCGCTGTCCCCAGCACCGCGTCCACCGCGAAAATTATTGCTGGGACCGCCACCGCGTGGAAACTCGACTCTTAATCTATAACCATCATAGTCGTAACCATCTCTCGCGTGTACCGCATCCTCCGCATCTCTGAAAGAAACATACATATGCTTAGATACAATTTCTTTCTTCTAATAAAGCTTATATAACTTTTGAGGATAGAATGCATATTTGTAAATTTTTACACAATATAATAATTGTAATAAATATCATGAACATACAAGAGAAATTATTCATACATATAAGTTATATTGTATTGAATCTTAGAATTTATATTTTATGCAGGAATTAAACACAAGAAAGTATTTTATATATGTTTAAGGACTTTTTTTTTTAATAAACCTTTCAATAAGAGTATCTTTTCTTTCTTTTGGAAAATAATGAAAGAAATAAATTTGATATCTTTGTACGAGAAATCTTGTAACAGAATCTTTTGACATCTTACAGAAATAATTATTGAATTCACAAAAAATAATAATCCCTTTCTTTGAGTCATATTATATATTGCTTCATAAACTAATCTTGATCTTTCTTTCTCTGCAATGAAATATATCATCTCAAATTCAATATCATAGATATAAAAAGAGAATCAAATAAATATTATAATAAAAAATTACATATATATATATATATATTCATGTGTGTAATATATATGTATATATAAATATATATTTGTGTATGTGTGTGTGTGTGTGTGTGTGTGTGTGTGTATACACGTTAGTTTTCGACGTGTATAATTTTCGCTAGAAACTTACCTTGGATCGTCAAATTCAACGAAAGCGAACGGTGGTCCTCGACGATTTTTCAAGTCAACGAAAGTAACTTTACCAAACTTGTAGAAGAGATCTTGTATGTCCTTTGTACGAATATCGGGTGGCAAATTTCCCACGTATATTCTACACTCATTTCTACCGCCGTGAGACATATCTACTTTCTCGCCGTATTGAGGTAGTGCGGTATATACCAAGTATACACCGTGAAGAAATTCTCGCCAAGTAACGTAATTCTCGGAATGGTGTAAAATTTCGTCCTATTCTTCTACGCGTTTAGAGAAACAAACAAGATGGAGACACCGGGTGGTAGCGTGATCGTGATCCGTGAGATCCGTGAGAGGTTCCCGAAGGTCACTTTGATCGCTGAAATCAAGCGAAATTTAAACACGATGCGTCCGATTTAGAAATGTCGAGATCGGAAAGCGTAAGCATTTTTAAATCGATATTTACACAATAAAAAATGTGGATTCACAATCCGACATGCGACATCGACATCCAATATCCAATGACAGAGAGAGACTTTGCGCGGTGACAGTGCGAAACTCTGTTCTCAGGGTTACCAACACTGAAGAATAATTCTCAACCTCAACGTTAGGTGATTCGTATATGTGTGTACACATTTCGTATATGTATGTACACGATTTTGTCGTGTCATGAAGCACACATCGATATTATTCAAATAATTATAATTTAGTATGAATTACATAAATTTTAATTGAGTTTTATATTCATATATTCGTTTTTTTAAATCAGATTAGTATGAAAATATGACCGAGTATTTTGAAAAAAAAAATGCTTTCAGTGTTATATTTCAGGTACGGCGGAAGTTACACATGTGTCCTCAAATCCTTTTCGAGAATTTATTTTATTATATTTATGTACAATTCTTCTTTATTTCCTCTTTTTTAACAGTTTAATCATGTTCTTGATATTATTACACTATATGCAAATACATTATGTAAAATTTCAGATTTCAAAATTCTTTTTACATATTGTTGCTGTGTCACATCCTTTTGAGTTTATTTGTCATATCGAGTTGTTTTAGGTATGATTAACGTACATGATATGAGATTGTTATTACTGGAATTTATGGTACTGTTACACAAGAATCATTCATGAAAGTATGTCATCTCTAATTATTAATACAACAGAGTAAATAAGACCAAATTTTGAATTTACTTTGGTCAATATTAGTTTGTTGATATCATGTTTATCTCATGTATGTACACTAATTATTCCTATTCAATAATTCAATAAAATTACATAGATTAATTAATGTTTTTTAGAATATCCATATGTCTCGAGATATCTTTGTGATAATTCTGGATACAACTATTGCTATTCACACTATGACATTTATTTTATTAACATCTATCATTCAAACAATATTACTTGTATTTGATAGTTCAGCTCATTGCTGCAATATTTTATACTAGTCAGTATGTGTATCTTTAATATTGTTGCAAAGTTGAACAATGTATACTGAAATAAAGAATTTTATGATTTATATATGTTGATATATCACAATTATACAAACTTATTATAATGCAAGACTCATTATATTGAATGAGCTTATTGTAAATACTAAAAAATTATATCTAGAATTATATATAATATATAAAATTATTATGTTTTCTAATTGTATAGTTTGATATATATATATATATATATATATATATATATATATATATATATTGTAGTATATGTATAATTAATCACAATCCCTCTATATGTAACAAAAATCATATTTACATGTATTAAAATTCTTTATTAATAATTCATATTTTTAATAATTAAACAGAATATTTCTAGACATCTTATTTTATAAATATAAACAGTTTCAGATGTGCATGTAATAACAGTAATTATCTCAAGTGGATATATCTTTATATATAGCACCAACTACAGGACCTTTACGATGTATAATGCACTGCCTAAAAATGGTTTATAATTGATATAGTAACATTCATTGATACAAATTTTTGTCTTAAGTTATGAATACCATAATTCTTGGTTTACCTGCTATCGTTTTGAAGTGATATGATTGGTGCCTTAGACTTAGGCTCTAATTTCGCAACTAGGCCTGATATAGCTGCTATTAACCCTGCGCTGTCACTTGACGCATCACCTTTAACTGCATAAATTTTTTCTTGTAATGTCGCACTCTAATTTTGTAAATCTTACATTTATAATATTTCTTTTTCTCTCAGAGTTTCTTTGATATTATGTTTATATAATTTTGCGCTTATATATAACTTCAATAACTTATTACCTCCTAGGCAGAGACCAGAATGATCTACTAAAATGCAGCCAATGACCCCTTCCTTAGTATACCTAAAAATTAATATATAGTATTCGTTAAATGACTAAAAGAAAATAATTTATGAAATTCACATTGTTATTTACGTTTAATATAAACTTACAATATACGTTACAATATACAACTTACATGTCATCCAATGTTTTAACCAAATTCCGCTCCATTCTCAATACTTTATCTCGACACTTGTCAAAAAAAACTATTTTCGTTAAAAATTAGCACGTTTCATTGAAAAATAATCGCGTTATCACATAGATCTTGCTTGAAGTCACTCGTTATGTACGTTTATGTGTTTCAGCTAACCTTCAATGACAGCTCGCGATGCGTATATCGCAAACACACAATAAACACAAATATATATATCACGTGATCTTAGTTCAGGCGATTTTATATACCGAGAGTGTTTATAGAAGCTACTATAGTACTTTGAACTTTACCCTTTTCTTCATTACACTGTAAAACGTATTGTACGTATGTATAAATTATGCAAGAACGTTAATTTATGCAAGAACGAATTAATTTCGGAGCATTTAGGAGAGGAGCATATATATCGCGTATAGCAACAAAAGCCTCGTTTCAGACTTTATTCTTGTATTCCGGTGCTCGGTCGGAAAAATAGGACAATTAAGTCTGTCCATAAAGTTAAGAAAAAAAAAAAAATTTACGCGATAAAAATTATCAAGAAGATTAAATCGCGCGACCGATTTCGTCTTTATCATTGTGGAACGTAGACATTTGTAGGACACCCGGTATACTTCGTTATATACGCGTCATACAGCGGGGCCGACGTGACTTGTGCAGTGACAATCATGGCTGGTAAGTGAGAAGATGCGAATTTATTTGTTGCTGTTATTTCGTTGAAAAAACATAAACTATTGAAGAGGATAGGTTTATTATCGCGGCATCATTATGTTAAATCGATTTTTTGCCATGAAAAATATTAATTTGCACTTTTTCACTAATGGTATTCGAATTTAATAGAATTAAACTTATCAATGTTCTAATTGATGATAAAAGTTGCAACATGTATGTGAAAAAATTTAATGTATTGAAAAGGATTGTTTAAAGAGTTGGAAAATTTTGTATCGTTAAAATATAATTTGTTATTCAAATATTTCAGTGGAAAATAAATTTACATATGTCATCATAAGTGATAACATAAGTTTCAAAATTTAAAAAGTTTGTTTTTTCCCTGTGTAAGTTGTTAGAATTTTGAATATGTTTATACATATGTAATTGACATTTTTATATATATTAAATAAATATTAAATACAACGTTAAAAATTCAAAAAATATATACCTGATTTTTATATAATATATTTATTATAATATATAATATATAATATATTTTTATTATATTGAATATATTTTTAAATCTATTTTAAATATGTACAGTTTAATTATTTTATTTTATTTTTTACATTAAATTTAATAATATATTAAATAATATATTAAATTTATGATAATATGTTAAATTTATAATAATATATATCATAATATATAATATATAATATATTAAATAATATATTAAATTTAATATTTATCTTAATAAAAAAATATTATAATAAAAATTTTATATTTTTTATCTAATTCCATATTATCCATATTACTAATTGTATATATGTTAATTTTTTAAATGAAAAACTACATGTAAATAATGATACTTCTGTTATTTCAGGGGTAAATCCTTATAAGCATCTGCTAAAGTCCATTAAAGTCGGGCAAAAAGAGTGTCAATATTATGATATTGGCAATTTTGGCACAAAATATGGTAAAATAAATTTCTCATTTATTACTTTGCAATGTTTTATGTCTACTGAATAAATTGTATATTTCCAATTTCTGCTATACAGATAGACTACCATTTTCCATCCGAGTTCTCTTGGAAAGTGCTGTACGTAATTGTGATGGTTTTCAAGTAACAAAAGGAGATGTTGAGAAAATTTTGGATTGGGAAGATAATCAAGCTGTTCAAGATGGAGTTGAAGTGGCTTTTAAGCCAGCGAGAGTCATATTACAAGTAAAGATCAAATTCTAGCTTTTATTCAGTAGTGTATAAGGAATATATTTATTATATTATATTCTATAGTTATTTTTTATATTACTATATAAGGCTTATTGTTATATTGCAAATAGGACTTCACTGGAGTACCAGCAGTTGTGGATTTTGCTGCGATGAGAGATGCTGTGAAGAGACTTGGTGGTAATCCTGATAAGATTAATCCAATCTGTCCATCGGATCTTGTAATTGATCATTCTATACAAGTCGATTTTATAAGGAGGTATAATTCTATCAAATATGTTTTGATCTTTGAAGATAATGTTTTTACAAAGACTAAGAGGTTATCATATATAAGAGCTTAAAGGTTTAATATTGCTATAACATTATGTAAGCAAGAAGATTTTACATAATACATTTGATAACAAAAAAGAGAAATAAAAAGCATGGATTAAATTTCACACATCACTAGATAATTCGAGCGAAATAAATCTAAATATTGCATATTTTAGTTCTGATGCCATAAAAAAGAATGAAGAAATTGAATTTGAAAGAAACAAGGAACGCTTTATGTTTCTGAAATGGGGTGCAAAAGCATTTGAAAATATGTTAATTGTACCCCCTGGAAGTGGCATCGTGCATCAAGTGAATTTGGAGTATCTGGCAAGAGTAGTATTTGATTTCAACAATCTTCTATATCCTGACAGCGTAGTTGGTACTGATTCTCACACTACAATGGTCAATGGTCTTGGTGTGCTTGGATGGGGAGTTGGTGGGATTGAAGCAGAAGCTGTTATGCTTGGTCAAGCGATTTCTATGTTAATACCAAAAGTTGTAGGCTATAAATTGGAAGGTGCATTGAATCAATATGCTACATCTACTGATCTTGTTCTTACAATCACAAAAGTAAGATTTATTTTGAACTATTTAAAATTAGCTAAAATTTAAGTTAATTTAATTACATAAAATTTTTTTGTTTTAATATATATTTTTTATATATTTTATATCAAAAATTTCATTAATATATATTTCATTAATATATATTTATATATCATTAATATATATTAATATATATTAAAATTTCATTAATATATATTTACCATATATTATATATTGCATCACATTATATATTATAACATTATAATTCAACAAATTTTTAATAGATAATTTATAATATTGAATTTATATATTGAATTTTTAATATTAATGACATGACAAAGTAATCAAAAATATATGATATCTTTATACATATTTGCAGAACCTGCGGCAAGTTGGAGTGGTTGGAAAATTTGTTGAATTCTTTGGATCAGGAGTGACGCAATTAAGTATCGCGGATCGTGCTACTATATCCAATATGTGTCCAGAATATGGCGCAACAGTAGGTTTTTTTGCAGTAGATGGACAAAGTTTGGCATATCTCAAACAAACAGGTATCTTTTTGTATTCATGAAAGATTATATTGCTATAAATCTATTTTATGCAAAACGATTATTCCTATAGAATATTTTTCATATATGTCTACATATTTTCTTTACAACAGGTCGATCCAAAGAACATATTGATAGAATTGAGAAGTATCTTAGAAGCGTACGTATGCTGAGGAATTACGACGACGCGAGTCAGGATCCAATTTTCTCCGAAGTGGTCACTTTGGATTTGAGCACTGTAGTTTCAAGCGTCAGCGGACCTAAAAGACCGCACGATAGAGTTTCAGTGTCCGACATGCAAATAGATTTCAGAAATTGCCTCGTAAACAAGGTCAGTGTTTTCAAATATTTCTACATGAAAGTGTATATTACACTCTGTCAATTAAAATTATTTCTATCTTATATATTTAAACATATTTTTTCTTGCTTAATATGTTATTGTATACAATATTACAAATAATCGTTTAAAATTATTCTCAATAACGCTCCAAGAAAGATGATTAGTTAATACATGCAAGAGACAAATATTACCCAGTGACAGTATAAATATAAGTCAAACTGGATTATATCCATCTCGCGCATTTTGTACCTTTATTCTGCCAATTGTAATGAGAACGCTATTCTTTATTTTCTCTTATTAGACAAAAAAATTTGTAAATGAAGACGAATGATTAACAGAGAATGAAACATTTACTGTGATATGATTATTTTATTTTAACATATCACAATAAAAGTTCCTTTGAACTCTGTCATCTAAAAATGCATAAAAAATAATTAATTATTCGCAGGACAATTTATAGAAGTAATACAGAATTTAGTATAATCGAAACGCGTTTTGCTTCGCATACTCATTTTAAGGAGATATTAACAACTTTTACAAAAAATTACCTATCGCACGCAATTTTGCTAAAGGAAAAAGTTATTTCTTTTAGCCTAAAGTATCACGCCTTGTACTCCGTGGGCGCGAATTTAGGGACACCCTGTATAATACGATAATAAATAAACTCGCGATAAAGAAATATATATTATTTAAATATATATTATTATATTATTTAATATATATTATTATATAAATAAGCGGTATTAATATTAAATTTCTGTTGGAAGCGTATTATTACACAATTGTTGATGTTCCATATCTTGAACATTTAAGCCTTGTTGATCTAGCTTTATGGTTTTTCATTATTCATCATATAGCTAGTTCACCAAAGATAATTGAACAAGACATATTTCCCTAATAACGAGATGATATCTCTTGCCATTAAAGACGAGTATAAGATCTAGTCACAAATTTTCACTATATGTATACTAGACCTATATTCGTCTTCATGTGAAGAATCTTGAGAAAGCAATACGGATGAGATATTCCGAGCATCGAAGTATGGGGATCTAATATTGGATGCAATCATCACCCGGTGAAGTTTTTATCGCATCTTTACCGGATATAATCACATCCAACAATATAATCCCTTTCAAAAATCCACAGAAAAGCATTTCTTCAACTTTCTTCTCGAGAATCCACAGAAAAGCATTTCTTCAACTTTCTTCTTTAGTTTGAAGAAATATCCCAAACTGGTACTGTTCTACACATGTACACGATAAAGTTTTAAATAGATATCACAAAATTATATAGTTTTCATTAAATTCTTGTTTATATAGCGCATAAAAAAATCACTAATTTGAAATTTATATGTATAACGATCATTGTGTGTGAGAAATTTTTGTATTTAAAAGCGTAAACAAAATTCCAATAATATTTTTTTAACAAAATTAGTTCGAACTAATTTTTAAAAAATCACAAATAATATAAACTTACTTCGGACTTAGGTACTATTGCTCGATATATGAATTGGTAGTGGACGATTCATTTGTTCAACTGTTCACTTCTCTATACCTCAGGTCCTTTTATACTGTCAATGGATCTATATCCCTACCAAAAAGGTAGGCAGCCTCACAAAAACTGATTACTCATCAAATTATGGAGAAATCTTTATTGGGAATTAGAAAAAATTATACAGTTTTAATGAAAGCTTAAATTCAAAAATTACGTTAATATTAAATTATATATTATTTCGCGCGTGAAATTTTTTACATTATATATTACGTATGGTCACTTTTAAATTTCCTTTTTAGATAAAATGTTTGTAAAAATACATGTTTATAATATATAGTTGTGCAAAGAATTTATTAGAAAAATTTATTATATTTACCTCGCGATCAGGTTGAAAAAGATGGTCTTGATCAGATTGATGATGAACCACGAATGATCGTTCAACGGATGGAAACAATGCATGTTTACGAGTGTTTAAGAACGTGTCGATCGATTTCTATTCAAAATGTTCAACATTGGCATCGCGTTACCTGGCCTATGATAGCCAGGACACTTGCTGAAGAAACTTATCTATATGAATCATAAATCTGGTGCGCTTTTCCTATGTGAAATTTAATTCTTCTTTGCAGTTAGATTTAACGATTGAGAACAATCGAGATTGATTAAAAATCAAGATATATATATATATATATATATATATATATATATTTCGTGTATCGAAGAATATATATATATATATTCTTCGATACACGAAATATGTTAGTACATTATGACATAGAAATAATGACAGATTTTTAAATTAATTTTGTCGTATCAGAAATATCGAATTTGAATTTAACTCAAAAGAAACAATTAAATTTTACGAAAGTTTATCATTTTTTCTAAATATCAAAAGCATTGTTTATTTAATGTTGAAAAACTTTAGAAAACTTGTATTACAGACTGACTTTCCTCGATTAAAGAAATTTTTTATATTCTTTCAAAGAAACTGACTCACACATCATAATTTGATTTTTGTCTTTGACATACGACTTATGTAATAAATATAAACTTAAAATCAAATAAAAATTAATTTTAATTGTATCCAAAGCAATGTTTTTGCGAGTTATATACTCCTAAGAGGAGTATATAAATATTTAAAAAATACATGACCTTTTATTATGTGTGTATGCTTTTATATGTTTTTATTATTAAAAAAATAGTTTTACTATTTATTTTGTAGTTTTAAAATATGATTCACTTCCAATCATTAATAGAAATATGTTATTATATTTGTCGTTACACTAATGATTATATTTTCAGTATACATAAAATATGCATTATGATAAAACTTATTAGCTATTATCAGCCGCGTCATCATTGTTTTCTAAAATCAACAGCTAGAAATTACAATTTATTTTTATTATTCCAAAATGAACAACATTGATAAATACCAGGCTATATGATATTTCTATATGGAGATTTAAGAGATTTTCTATTATTATGAAGGAATAATTGCACGTCAGGAATAAAATCAGCTTGTTGAAATCAGCAAGTTGAAATTTTCAATTTTTGATACAGATTGTTAGATTCTTCTTGTACAACACATTATTCTTATCCTTTGGAACATAAGAGAGTGTAAAAATGATACTTGACAATTTATGAGAGAAAAGATAATTCATGCACGTACCATTGATTGATCGATCCGTCCGCTTCGTCAGAGAAGACAAGAGTCTTTGATCGTACTTCGCATAAGTTCTGGAAGACGTATATTCCAACTCGCGTTGAAATTGCTGATACAACATCCTACTACATTCGTTTTGCAAAGCTCACACATTTCATTGCAAACGAGCCATCGTTTGACATGCTGGTATATAGAGATAGCTCGGATTTCTCATTAAAGCACAATACTTAGAGCCGATAAAGAAAGAGATACATTTACGAAAACCGATAGAGAATTTTGTTTAAAAATAATTTTCGTAAAATTTAATCACTATGACTATTTTGAAAAATTTCTAAAATAGAAATAATATATATAATGAACAATTATCGTTTGAATTAGAGTAACTTCACTTATTCATATAATTACATACACTTTTTACATTCGTTATTGGTATATATATAAAATTATGTTCCTACCTCAAGATAGATAAGAACATAGTTTTATATATACTAATAATAACGAATGTAAAAAGTGTAATTATGCGAATAAGTGATTATTTCTCATAATTCATAATTATGTATATCAAACGATACCTCAAGATAGATAGGTTCTGAAATACGGTTGTCTTTGTAATATTTAAGCATTTTTTATTCATTATTTCTTTTTCACATTTAAGGAATTAAGAGTTATCAAAGATCGTTATTATTGAATCGTACATGTATTAAATATTCATACGGTCGTAGACCTTGCGATTGCTTAAAGATTGTTGCAAACCCATATTGCTTCTTCAGCAAATCGTTTACTGGACAATGAATTTCTACATGACAACGTTAAGTTCGCTCATTGAACTCTATCGAATTTGAAATCAGGAATGGGAACAATAACATACTAAACACAAGAAATATCGCTCCATGCGATTTTTATAGTTATTTGCAGATCGTATCTTTTCAGGAATTCATTTAAAGGAAAATAAATTAAGAAACAAACACAAAAGAATTACGAGATAGAATATTAAATACTTTTAATGAGAAAAAGAGAAAGAGAGATTTATGTCTCTTATTTATAATATTATTTAATCATTTTATGTAAAAAGTAAATTCTTTATTTAATTAATGGTAATTAATTAAATAAAAATATATTCTTAAATTTAACATTCTATGTAATTAACAATGTGTTTATATTATGAATGTATTATTTTATTTTGAATATTTGCTCAAAATTTAATATAGCCATGTAACTTTAACACAATTTTAATTTAATATAAACGTTCAAATATTTTTATATCCAATTTTATTACAATAATAAGCTTTAAATCGAAACAGATGTTCAATATCTTTAATGCAGCATTCTTTTACTTCTAAACTCAAAATATAATTATCTGCTAATGAGTTTTCCCATTAGAGAAACTGATAAGATACTAAATACTAATACGTCAAAATGGAATTTTTTCTTTAAATTTACTGACAATGAATATAGAAACTAAAATTAACTGAAACTTTTTATCTTTGAAACTTAAAATGAAACTTTCTATTTTTTAAACTTGAAATGCTTTACAAAGCGGTGATCTTTTAAATTACAGGTAGGTTTTAAGGGCTACGGTTTAACCCCGGCGAAAGTGGATACTGTAGGAAAATTTCAATACGAGGGAAAAGATTACGAGTTGAAACACGGTTCGGTGGTCATCGCAGCGATTACCAGCTGTACGAATACTAGCAACCCAAGTGTTATGCTTGGAGCAGGTATGGTGTGAATTTTGTACCAGAATTCCACCAGAAAAATTTAATATGAGAAATTTAATGCAATTGATAATTAACATTTTATAATTTATTACATTGATGTAAAATCTTTATTTTGTGACATTTTAATACAATTTTTGTACCTCGAGGATATCTCTTTATAGAACATTCAGATTAGAAGATTAGAAGATTAGATACTAAACGAGAAATATTGCTATGTAAGCGAAAAAAAAAAAATAGAAGAAAAATTTAATTATCGTATCTTACGTAAAAGCTCATTAGTAGCAATATTATTTTTAAAAATAATTAAAAACTACTCTTTTATTATATACAAAAAATATTTTTTATTTTGAAGTTTATGATTAAAATTTAAAATAAAAAATTCTTTCTCATATGTAAATCGTATACATTTATTTGATGTATACATTTATTTGATGTAGGTCTTCTTGCTAAAAAGGCAGTAGAAGCTGGTTTAAATGTTGAACCATATATAAAAACATCATTATCCCCTGGCTCTGGAGTCGTGACTTATTATCTCGAAGAAAGTGGAGTAATCCCATATCTGACAAAGTTGGGATTCGATATTGTGGGTTATGGGTGTATGACATGTATTGGAAACAGCGGTCCGCTCCCTGATGCTATAGTCGAAATTATTGAAAAAGTAAGATATTCGAGAATAATTTTATTTAAATTTCTTAAAAATATTAAGTTGACAGTTTTTCTCCTTTTCCAATAAAGAATAAAATTCAGAAAAATAAAAATAATTTTATAAATTGTCAAATAAAATCATGAAATATTATTTGGTTTAAAAAGAATCTGTGAAATCAATCAAAATATCTCGTCGAACAAATCGATTTATTTTACAAGTATTAACATTTTTTGCAACGCTTATTGTTAAATCTTTGTTTTGTCTACAGAATGAACTAGTCTGCTGTGGAGTTCTATCAGGTAACAGAAACTTTGAAGGCAGAGTTCATCCAAACACTCGAGCGAATTATCTAGCATCTCCGCTTTTGGTAATAGCATATGCTATCGCCGGCACTGTAGATTTCGATTTTGAAAAACAGCCATTAGGTAAATTGCTTTAATGAGTCATAAAAATATCTAAGAAACTTCAAGAAGAAAACAATTTATAGAGCGTATTTATATGTGCATATATGTTTAAGGCCATAAGTCCAATGGCACTCCGATATATTTGCGAGATATATGGCCAACTAGGACGGAAATTCAAGCTGTAGAACAGCAATATGTCATTCCAGCTATGTTCAAAGAAGTTTATAGTAAAATTGAACACGGTAGCAGCAATTGGGCGAATTTGGTAGCGCCGAGTGGCAAATTGTACCCATGGGATGTTAATTCAACGTATATTAAAAACCCGCCTTATTTCGATAACTTGCAGAAGGTCATTAGAATTATATAATTTATTGCATGTGAATTTAGTGTTTAATTCTCTTTTTTCAAAAAATTCGAAAGAATTATTATATAAATAAATTAATTATTATATAAATAAATTAATTATTATATAACAATTAAATTTAATTATTATATAACATTAATAACTTTTTTCTTTGAGATTAGCTTTCTTAATTTTTTAACAGTGTCCACATATGTGGAGTACTATTATTCAAATACCAATGTTGCCAATGTTATTATAAAAACTATCCGAATTTATATACTAATAACATGCAATTGTAGAGATTTTGAGGACCGTTTCGTTGATATTTATGTATACTAAAATAATTATAATTTTTTATCTCCTACATCTATGAAGTAAAAAGATATATCATTTACAGGAGCTGCCTTTAATAAAATCGATTACGAGAGCACGAGTGCTCGTGAATCTTGGAGATTCCGTTACAACTGATCATATTAGCCCGGCGGGTAGTATCGCGCGTAATTCACCAGCAGCGAGATATCTAGCGAATCGTGGGTGAGTTTGACGTACGATAGACACGACAGATGTTCGAAAATTAGCCGAATTTTTTAGAGCATATTTTTATATCTTCATATCTTTATTTTCAGCTTGACGCCGAAAGATTTCAATTCTTATGGCTCGCGCAGAGGAAACGATGCCGTGATGGCGCGAGGCACATTCGCTAATATTCGGCTAGTAAACAAATTCATTGGTCAAGCAGGACCACGAACGATTTACATTCCAACTAATGAAGAGGTATCTTTTTAGCTTCAATTTATCTTGACTATTCTTGCTATTTAATTTTTAATATGAAAACAATACATAAGCGTTAGATAATTCGAATAAGTAAGATATAATTCATTAGAATTATTTTTTGTTATTAGAATATGTATTATATTGAATGTATGATTTTTTTTAAATATACACTGATAGACGAACGATTGATAAAGAATTGGTGTTATTTAGATGGACGTATTTGACGCAGCTGAGAGATACGGAAAAGATGGGACAACTTTGATTGCTCTAGTCGGTAAGGAATACGGATCCGGATCTTCCAGAGATTGGGCCGCTAAAGGACCGTATCTACTTGGTATTCGAGCAGTCATAGCTGAATCGTATGAAAGAATACACAGGCAAGTCTTGTCTCCAAATTTAATATATTATTTCCGATGAAGTTTAAATATATTTTTATTCAATCGTTAAATATATATTTACTTAATTTTGACTTAAACGTTTTTAAGTTTAACATCATTTATTTACTTATAGGTCCAATCTTGTGGGTATGGGCATTGTTCCACTACAGTATCTTCCTGGAGAAAATGCAGAATCCTTAGGTTTAACAGGCTATGAACAATACGACATCGCAATTTCCGAGAATTGTCAACCCGGAGAAAAGATTACTGTGAGCACTGACGACGGCAAAAAGTTCGAAGTGATTGCACGATTTGATACAGAAGTTGATTTGACTTACTACAAACACGGCGGCATTCTCAATTACATGATTAGAACAATGCTTTGATGAGATTTTTAAAAGAGAACATAAATGTCTTTTTTGGAAGATAACTTAATAAGAGATACTTAAAATATTGGTTTTTGGGATATAAAATATATCTCTTTTAAGGAAGATTGAGAGATTTCATAATGTGAAGGAAATAGACATATAAGTGTACAATAATTTATAGAGAGGCGCTATTGTAACGAATGGCTATTCTTTTTTTCCATCCAAAACGATCAACGTAATTATTTTTTTACAGCATGATAGTTAACGTATTTATTTCATAAATTGATCATGCTAAATTTTCATTAATATCAATTATTGTTTAATATTCGGTTTAATATTCGAAGTGTCAAATTTGCTGCGTGAAAATGATTACAATTGTCTTCGAAAAATCATTGTAAATCGCGTTGTTCGAAAAATGGATTTATTTTATATAATAGTTATACTACACATATTACATGGGGAAAATTATTATCTTCGCTTTTGTGTATGTATTACAATAGTAATAAATTGTTGCAAAATTGTTGCATTATAATTGCTCTTTATTTTTTATTATATATACTAAGAAAATACAAAATGTGTCATCACAGAAGTTTACATCAGAAATGATATTACTTCTTTTTTTATATAATTTTTTTTATGAAATATATAATTTAATATAAAATTTAATTCTTAGAAAAACAAGTTCATTTTTCGTATTTTCTATATCTCAGAGATTGTGCAAGTAATATATAATCAAAGTCAATTACAATAATTAATTAAGAATTGTTTGTAATTATTCCTCTGGCATGATTGACCTGAGAAATTTAATTTAACTAAATGACGATCCAGAGCACAATACAGCTGACTGCTATCAAATCGTAGAGAATAAATCGGGCTTCTTAGAGGAAATGTTTGTGAATTTATAAAATATAACTAGAAATTAAAAAAAAAAGAAATTTTTATATAATGACGATATATAAAATATAAAATGTATATGATTTCAATTTAAAAAATAAGAACCTGGACGAAATTACACATCCTTTGATCCCATAAAACAGCCGCACAAGCATGCTGTGTTCCTGTAATTATACTGTACTGATAATCGGACGAAATACAATATAATGCTGAATCATTTGGATCTGCCCATGAACTAACGCATTTCTCAGTTCTGAAATGTAATTGTTAACATCCAGAGTCATATAATTTTGAGCATAACTAAACTGAGTAATCTAGTTGAAATATACATATTTACCTCAAATCCCATTTTCGGACAAATGTATCATAACCACAAGTTAGCAAAGTCTGTGGATTATCCCACACCATGTCTAATATTCCAGCACCGTGTTTCCATGGGTACCGTTTTTCATCGAACATCGTATAACTGAAATCTCTCTATTAGCTTGTTGTAAATTGTTCGCTATATACACCAAAATCATATCCAATCATATATTTTGTAACACGATCAATTAATTTGCTATATCAATATACAATATTACCGTATAAGTGTTTCAATATTGATTAAATGAAGTGGTGGAATGATGGTAGTTCCAGATGAGCCGACGGCGAATTGCGTTCCTGTGGGATCAATCACAAGTGACTGCACTCTATCTATTTTATCCATGAAATCTATACTGATCTCATTTTTGTCAAAGTTGTCTTCTTCAATATCTACATTTTTTTGTATCTAAATAGAAATAAACACATTACATCATAAATTATCATTGCATCATAGGCAAGTCATATCTTCACCTCACCTTTATCATACCATCAACCGAACCTGATATGATATTTTGTGATGTTGCATCTATGCCATCAATATCGCAAGAATGAACACATCTAAGTATCTTTACAACAGAGGGATAACCTTTGTGTGATTTATCTAGCCAATATTGTATATCACCATTGCTAAGAAGCATTTTTTCAAAGAATTTTATCATAAGAAAAAAGATAAAGCTTGAACAATATTTATAACTGGATACAAACCTATGACCACTTATAATAAAATTTCCACAAAGGACAAATTTACAGATATCTGCTCCACATATGTTATTATAAAAGCAATTATTATATTTTATATCTACGTTGACTTTATCTTTACAATATTTTGAACTGCGTTTAACACCATAGAGCAATTTACTACCACTCCACCAGAGAGTATCATTTGTCATTTGCAGCCATGGCATTGCTTTTACTTTATTCGATATTAAAGTTTTCCTCTCGTATCTTCCATATTGCCAATTGTAAGATACAAGCCACATTGAGCGTGGAGATAACAAAACTGGATTACATCTGAAAAATAAAATAACATATTTTTTAAGATATCCTTACATAGGGTCACAAGAATTATATATCTTTCCAAATCACTAAATATTTAAATACATCTTACAAATATCTAGTTATCAAATACATAATAAAAATAGAGCTTAATATCAATATGTCAAGAACTATTATATTAACAATAACAAAAGAGAATGTAACATAATCAACGTTAAATTTAAAAAATTATTTTATTTTATTTTTTATTAATGAATTTTACTTCACATGTTAAACGTGTTAAACGTACAACTTTTTAACCTAACCGTGTAACCTGTACATACAACGTACCTCTTCCGAAATCTTTCTGATACTTGATTCGTGACAAGCAGTCCTCTGCTCTTTTTGATCCAGACCGCATCCGAGCGTACGATCTCGTAAAATCGCTTGCATACCTCGCTGAGTCGCACCAGATCGAAAGCATCGCAGTAATCAAAGATCGTTAATAGTACTTCATACGGCAAAATATCCAAATGCAAAGTATCTGTCATCTTTGTATACGTTATACACGTTTCCGATATTCTTTATGTTTTATTACATCTCCGTTCACTTTAAGACGAAGTGCCCACGATTTAATTATATTTTTTTTAAATATCTCCAATGTATTTCAAATTATCTGATCATACCTTTGACCTAGCGCATCCTGAACTGTATCTTCGACCTTGTATTATCACGTGGCTCGTCATGGCACACGTGATAAAAGCGGCACACATGCGTCATATCATTCATTGTTATTATATTACATTATTACATTATTATTTAATTATTATATACATTTATGTACAATTCATATATCTTTATATTCAAAAATTTTTATTTTTTTACATCCGCGCGCTTCTTCTAATTTTAATTTAAAAAATGAGATATTTAAATATATTTTCATTTTCTTTTAAGCCATTTAAAAATCAATAATCTGGTTGAATATTGACAGAGTTTTTTGGATAATGTTGTCAATTGAGTAAAAAAAGATTTTATATTATACAATAAATTTTATAAAAATAGTTTCATATTATTTTAATAATCATTATATGTAGATCTTATATATAAAATTTAAAAAATAAACTTTAAGGAACATTGTACATTATTGTTACATATACCTGTATATGTAACAAAATAAAATATAAGTTTATTTTTTTATATTATTATTTATAAAAAGATTGTATAAAACGCTTGTATTTACGTTTCTGCTACAACACAATGCCTCCGTGCATCTTCAGGCTTTTTCCATTCAACATTATTTCGTGTATCTGCAATAAAAGACAAGAGCTTTTTTTCGCAAAATTCTGAAGAAGTCATAATCTTAGCGATTTAAAAATTACTTGTGAATCCTTACCTGGTGTCTTATATTTTAAGTACAAATTGTGAAGAATGAGGTACATTAATGCGGAAAATATTGCGAGTATTGAAAATATTCTTAAAGTGATTGCACCACCCACTTTGTTGTACAAGATACCTCCTATTAAACTACCAACCGCAAATCCTGAAAAAATATAAATATATATTTCAAGAATTTTTATTAACTGCGAAAATATAAATTCATATTTTTGCAAAGCAATTTTTATTACAAAACAATTCGATGTGTAACTAAATGTCGAATTCTTACCGAAACCATCGTCCATTCCTGCTACTATCCCTTGAACAGTGGCTGATGTGCCAGGTGGTGATACCGCGCTCGCGTACGCTACTATTGTCGTGTAGCAGAGCGCGTATGATGGTCCTTGCATAAAAAATTCTATCGGAAGTACCCACCATGGCGTTGGCGCGAAAGATATTAATCCTAGACGCAATGCGTAGGATACAAAGCAAAATGTAAAGGTGTAACCATATCCAAATTTCTTTAATATTTTACCTGAAAAAAAGAAGAAATTCCATATTACATTTATGACCGTCACATGTTTTCAATTATGGTTTTCGTTTTCAATTACAATGGTTATTTATTCAATGCACAAACTTTGTGATACAAGAATACTTTTTACCAGATAATGAGAAGAATATTATCTCGCCACCGAGAGTTTCTGCGGCTACTATTAAACCCTCTATTAATTTAATTTCACCCATATAACCGGTTGTCATAGCAAGATCTTCTAAATACCTAGTAAAAAAACATTAAATAATAATTCTATTTGTATTTATATTGAATGATGGGAAAATGTCCGAAAATACAATAAAACGCATCGATAGAAATAAAAATTTACCAAAACAAAAAGTAAATTATGAAGCTATCAAGAATGCCGGCGAGAGTAGCAAAACATAAAAATATAACGATAGGTTTCAATTTTAAAAGCGCGTATACATCCTTTAATATACTTTTCGAATCTGACATAAGTGGCAGCTGTAACAAAAACATAGAATAAAAGATAAAAATAATATAATTATGAATAAAACTATCTCTTTCTTTTATTTCTATTTTCTTTTTAATTTATAATATAATTACCTCCAGTTTTTGGCAGCAAATTAAATCCATACAAGTGAATGTAAGCACGAGAAGAAACGCAGGTGTATAAGTTTTATAGATTCCTCCGTGCGACCACAAATCTACTGTGTAGCCGGCTAGAAATGCGGCGATACCAAAACCAACTGTACCCCATACTCGTTGCCTACCGTATCCCATTTGCCCACCTTCACCTAAACAAATAAATAAATTCAGTGAGAAAAGCATTTTTCCCTCTCGTTTTCGTAATACTATATAAAACTGCACATCTAAATACTGCCAATTACATAAAATGTGGATAATATTTTTATATTTTGACTTAAAAAATATAAAATATAAAAATATAAAAAATTATATAAAAACACTTACCTAATATGTCAAAACAAATCGCATCGCTTATACAATTGGAAACATTAAAACCGATGTTGCCAAGTGACATTAAGAGAATAAATCCCCAGAAAGTAATGGAAGTATACAGACATTGAGTATCCTCGAAATTATCACAAGTAACATTGCAATTAATTGTTATCTCTTCTTGACACGATGACGTTTCATTAATATTTAAGAGACATGTAGTATTCGGTGAAATAAGTACTTCTCCTTCAACTGCATGAAAAGACACTCGCGTGGAAAAATTCGTATCCTTGCATATCCAATGACATGTAGTATCTTTCGTTCCGTTACATGATACTATTGCTGAAGTATGCTTAAATAAACAAAAAATAATACATTGAAATATAGCTCAAAATGTCTGAAAAATTTATACGTTTATACTTATAAAACTAAATACACAAATTCTTGTAAATGAATTTGTGATTTTTAGTGATATATTTCATATATTTTACTATTAATGCGTTATTAACAAAATATTGTATTGTAAGAAAATAAAAATTTACAAAGTCCATATCGCAAGACGGCAAGGATGAGCACGAGATGTTTTGAAACTGATGATCTGGTAGCATCGGACCCGGCAATACTGGCAGAAAGTACATCAAAATGTAACAGCCACTTGTCGTAGCCAGCAATATTATAAATATCAATTTTCTCCAGGTGCGAAAATAGTCTACGACAAAGCCGAATGCTGGTTTCGAGATTAGAAATAGAATAGGTAAAACTGCGGTAATGCTGCCCATAACTAATGATGAGATACCCAGTTGCTTGCCATAAACTGGCAGGAACGGTAAAATAGGACCCATTGCTATAAAATAAAAAAAATATTATTTTCTTACTGTGCATATATATATTAAAAATTAATTATTAAATTATTAATAATTAATTATTAACATCTTTAATATTGCCATAATATATGTAGAAATATAATACATGTTTTTTTGATAAAAGTTATATTTATATATAAGATATATTATATATGTGCACATACACACACACACACAGATCTTTTATTATATATTAAATTTATATTTTATATATTTCTACAATCTTCTCATATTATATAAATATAAACGTTTCTTTTTATATTTTATTATATGAAAAGATATACATTTCAAATACATACATTAGATAAGAGTTCTTAGTATCTAATATATATTTACCTGCCATGAAAAAGAAATAATGTGCCTTTACAGGCAGTTGCATATAATTGATTTTCATGATAAGGTCTCGAATAAAAAGATAGATACTGCCCAAAAGATTTTGTATCCTCGCACTTTATGCTTTTATGTAAATAAAGATATTAAATCGATTAATGCAATCATGTTTATAATCTAATCGTATCAGATATGAAAACAGAATTGCTTCAAAATAACGTTACCTGAAAAAATATCGTCAAATTTAATTAAATATTTAAAATTTTCTACAAATATATTATAATAGCGCAAAATGTTATAAATGTTATTTTGCATATTTGGTATTCCGTGAAAATTATATTTCGTATAATATCGCGTGTGCAATTTGAATTTAAATCGTCGCCATTTAATCGATATATTTCAAATTTCAAGAGAACACTTCGAAAACTTCAAAAGAAACTTTCGTTTTCTACAAACTTCAGACACTTCCGAAATGGCGTCGTACGATACTGTAATCAGCTGTTCGCTGTCATAACATTAACGCACGCATTTTACGCGATGTTTTTTTTTAGAAACAGTTTATACGCACTCGCTCGCTCCTCGTACACTCTCGTGATCGTCGCTCGAATATATTAATTCCCAGCTGGCGGAGTTGTTCGTCATTTAATGAATTCACCGTGTTTAGACTGTCTGTCCACTCAGCGCGAGAAGTTTGTCCCCGAATTTTTCGTATCTTTTAATCGCTCGACAAGCATGCTAAGAGACTGTTGTTATATGTTAGAAAATATATATGTGTGCGTGATCGAAAATACACGCTACTCTATCTATGTCATCCCAACTACACTTGTCGCACTCGTTGCACGTAAAAGACGAGACACGCGTGTGTTTATTCTTCGGCGAGATAAAGACGAAAGACGCAAAGAGCAGAAGGTACAGTTTCAATAAATTCTCTTATATTGACTTAATGTAAATTTTCACTAGATGAGCAGCACCTTTTTAATTTCGACACATTTCTTGCTGATGCATCGTATCGAAATCACACTTGCTAATGTATTGTGTCGAAATCACGCTTTGATAGAACAAGTACATTACATAATTATATTGACGTGTAACGGCACGATCTTTTAAAGTTCAATTTTGAGATTGTCATTATAAGTAGCAATTATTATATAAAAAATTGTCTTATCTCAATAAATAATTGCACATGCAACATGCGCTTGAATAATAAATTGTTTGGCGCCGCATTTTTGATTCACTAAACATTTGTTGTAAAATTCCATATGGCACAGAACATTGCAGCAATATTGCGGCAATATTACAATGTTGTTGTAATATTGTTACAATGTTCTGTGCTGTATGGGGTTTGACAAAAAATATGAATGTCAAATGTGGCTTGTTTATCGTTTACAATACCGATTTAATTTTTATACATATATCCTTTATACGCCAAATTGTGAAATTATTATGAAAAAGACAAAATTAATGAAAATCAATTCTTAAATTTTTCGAAAAAGAACTGAAAACGTTTGCTCGTAACTGAAATATCTTGTATCTGTGATATCTTGTATACAACTGCAGTTGTCGTTCATTATCTCTGATAACTTCTCCAAAAATAGTAAAGTTATTTCGTCATTAATAATAGTGATTTTTATATAAATTTATCTTGCAAAAAATATCGAAAATCATGTAATTAAAATGTTATACACGCACATATGTGAATCATGCTACACATGTATTAATTATATAATATTATATAATATTATTTATTTATATTTATTTATAATATTAGTTATTAATTTATATTTTTATATATTTATCACGACAAAACACCGGAAATCTACCGAGAAAATCTACTCGTTTGTTATCAATATTATTCTGTCGATAATGCGGCGTGAAATCAGTTTTTAAACGATGATTTTATCGTATTTCATTTTTATATATTTTGTTATCTTGCCTCTTATTCACTCGAAGGCCTTTAATGTTTCCTCGTATATTGGAATCACGTTGCAAGACAGGAAATTCCGATTCTCATTGAATATTTACGTTAATTTCGCAATGATTAGCGCAAAGAAACGATTGAATAATAATACTCTTGGAGTACACGACTGTATTCTGAATGGAGATGCTTTTCGATGTTCTAACTCTTTAACAGTGGATGATATATTATCATACAAGAATGATGTATCCTACCTAGTCATAAATTTTGTTTAATTGCAATTTACGATATATCATCATTCTCCTCACAAAGCGCATTTATATGAGTACAAAAGCTGATGCCAGAATCAAGGACAATAAAATCTTATCTTGTTGCTAATTATCATGACTCATCATTATAATTGTTATAATTTCCCGCCTACTCGTCTTATTATCAGTTTTTGCGCTATACATATACGTCTGATGATATTCACAACTAATTAAATCAATAAATTGCTATGCAAATAAAAATAGAAAGAAATAAAAACAGTTTGTATATTTCTAATAGATTCTAATGTAAGATAAAAATGTTTGCTTTTGTAATATCTATGTTTTCTTTCTTTCTCTCTCTTTTTAATTTCTCTATAATATCTTTAAAATATAGATTTTAAAATTGTATTATGTAAATAAACTCTCTTCGATTAATTCAGAAGCATGACAATGCATGTTATTGATTTCTCATTATTTCGTATTATTAAAGCACAAGAAATTACATTTATATAATTCAAATAAAAATAAAATTCGCGATATTATTAATCAATAGAATGAATCATATACATAAACTACAATTACATTTCCATCAAAAATTGAGATTAAATAAGTAGTTTATTGAAAAAATATATGAAAGAAAAACACAGACATAAATTATAATTCAATTATAAATGAATCGATTGCAGCAGGAAAAACATGAAACAACTCTTTCATAAGAATTTTTTATAACACGCAAGTTTTTATGATTTAGATATTCATCGATATATTTGAAATTATCTTGAGTGATAAATCAATTTCTTTCTCTCAACAGAAGTTTAAGAATTTAATTCCTCATATTTTGATAATACGATAATGGGATAATAATAACAATACGTACCAGTTCATCTCTAGCTATTGTTTATACAATGTATCATAAGCTATTGTATATACGTGTTTTAAAAATCCGTAATTTTAAATACAATATGTTATACAAAAATCAAAGTGTACAGCAATTATAAAAACACTTTTAATTTGTCAGAAATATATAAATTAAAAAAAAAATTCAAAGATAAGTCTTTTAACTTTCAAAGCATTTCTCGCTAAACAGCGTTCTTTCTTGAGCAATGTCACTTTCATAATATAACATGCGTCGTACGCATTACACAGAAAAGACTCCCATCTCAATCTCTCTGTCTCTCCCACCAGATTTAATATGATTCCAGCTTGCTACACACTCACACGCATGCAGACACTGGACGAATTCAGTCGGATCAGCGGTACCATCAGCTGCGTGCGATCCAAGTCGCTGGACAGTCGGAAGTTTCGACCGGTCGTGTTTTCGCATAACATGCGTTGAAGATTTTAAAGTTCAGTGCAAGTTTTTTTTTACGCATTTGCTCAAGCGTTGGATGATATTTCCGAAGACGGATTATCTTCTATATAGGCATACTTTTAGTTGAACGCATCACAACTATTTTTTCCAAGACGTTGCAAACAAGACGAGTAAAAAATCGCAGCCTACCGCATGTATGACAAGAATCTTGATGTTAAGGTGTGCAGTGAAAGAATTGGTGAAAATGTGGAGTTGATTTTTCGAATCGAAATGTCATTTAAAAAAAGTTGTTTTCACAAGATCAAGGATATTTTTAAAAATATGCGATATTTTTAAAAATTTCAAACTACATTTGAAAATTTTGAACAATTTAAATATTCAACAATTAGATACTTTCAAGGAATATATTTTTAGAAATTTAGAAATCTCAATGTGAATGTTTAATGGCAAAATATATAAATACTCATACTGGAGTGAAACTAACGAAATGGACATTTGATTTTAATTTTGAAATTGGTTTAAAATTTAGCAAATTTGGATTAGTTTAGCCAATAAAAAGACATTCTCTGTCAGCAAAAAATTTCAAGGTTAAAAAGCGAAAGTATACGCTTCATCAGCATATATATTTGGCATCGGCAAAATGCGTGCTCTTATATCAAAAGCACGTTACTGTTCTTACTTGCTTTATAATTAACATTATTGATAAAAAATTGTTAATATTTTCTTAAATAATAATAATTACAATAACTTAGTTTTACAACGAGCAAAAAATATATAAAGTATCTCATTAACACGAATTTTTCTATCTTCCTTAAGAATAAATGATACACAATATTTATAATATTTTAAATCGAAAACTGCTTAAAATATAATAAGTTATAAATTTACCGATCAAATCATGGATCTAACCAAAAATTATTGAAAATAGATATTATTTTCAGAACGAAATTATTTTTTAATATAAAAAGGAATAGTAAAATTCTAAATAATTCTAAATAATATATATAAATAAGATAATATAATTTTAAGCATGTGTAGAATAATAATTTGTTATAATTATATGTGACATTTCTCGAATATATATAAGTAAATTTGTATGCGTGTCGGTTCGGGAAAATGTAACTGATGATAAGTTTATCGTAGTATAACATGATTATTCTATAGTTAGCTTTTATATGATAGCATGTTGAGAGAATTTCGCGAATGTAGACTCGTTAATTAGAAAAACTCCTATTCAAAGCAATATGTAACAAAGATTTTTATTCTCAAAAGGAATGGCGACGATCCGAGATATGCTTTATTGGCTTATTTTCATGCTTATCATCTTTGTAAACATCCACGGATTTGTCAATATTGAGAAAAAATGTAAGTAAAATCGCAACGATACTATCAGATATATAAATACTATAATAATATTTATAATATTTATTATTATATAGATATATAAATACTATAATCATACTTATAATATTTATTATTATACTAAAAATTTTTTAAAAATATTTTTCATCAACGTTTGCGTAAAAAGAAAAATATATCACGTTTTGAAAGATTATGCAGAAGAAAAATTATCTATTTACAACAAAATAATATTAATAATAAGATTGTGAAGAAGTCTCATTGTTAAACTGTTAAACTATAAAATTGCTAATTGCGTCACGCGAGTTATCGTTTCATTATAAAAGAAAATTGAAAGATTGTATGGTTAACTTATTAGTCGATACCTTCCGCGTTCTTCTCATAAAGCAATTGCGACAAAAATATTTTTTTCAAAAAACTCGTAGAAAATCTTTAAGTTCTTACATGCTATTACTATTACATGCGAGATATTAATTCATAAGGAAAAAAGCATATGTATCATAATACCAATAAAAATAATAATAAATAATTTCCAATTATTTCAAGAAATGATGATATGTAAATGAAAAATACGTAATCGTTTTAGGGAGACTGTGCATAGTAAAAACCGAGTACAATTCACATAAAATTGTTTCACTTTGTTCGCGTCTGGCTGATAGTCCAATAACATGTATCATAGAAATCGATAGGCAAGTATCACATAGGAATTTTTAAAAATCTTAGTTTTAATATTTCAAAATTCTACTTCTCAAAAAGCCATATCTTTATTATTTTTTCACCTATCAAAAATTCCGACTATTATTTTCAAACATTTCTCTTCCAATTAAAAGATAGATTAAAATTATAATATAATATTATACTCTATATAATGATATATATTATATTTTGTTTAATAATATCTTATAATAATAATAATAATAATAATAAATACGATAATAATATGTATTATATAATATTATCGAAAATATTTCGCAATTTTTCTCTATTCATATTGATATCTATGGAGATATGACTTTTTCAGATCTATTGCATGGTTCAATTAATTTTATTTTTTTATGCAAACAGACTTCTAATATATAAAAATAATTCTAATTTAGGTTTGGTTGTGTACGTCGCATGATCGAGAATAATGTCGATTTCACTGTATTGGAACCAGAAGAACTTGTAGCGATAAAAAACTATTACTTATACAAAGTTCTAGTCACAAATGAATTAAAACCCGCCCAATATGGTAATTAAGATAAAATGCGAAGTTTTTTTCATTTTAAATTTTAACGATTCATCTTTTGGCGAATTTCCAACTTATTATTTCTTAATGAAAATGTTGAATGCGATTTACAAATTTTATAATTAAATCTCATATAAAAAAATCTAAAAATCTTTGCTAAAAAATAAAGTTTGCTTAAGTTTAATAGAGTTATATTCTTTTCTTATGTATTTGTTCTCACACATATCTGAAAAAATTAATTATTGTATAATTATTATACAGATTATCACTCTTGAAAGTATTTATATTTTGAATTTTTGAAAGAGAATTAATTAATACTAACTTGCTGTCAAAAGATCTATCGTTAAAATCACAGTAATCTCAAGTGAGACGCGTTTTTTTTTTCAGAAACGGAGCGTTTTCAAGTAGTGGCCATAGCGCATAAAAATGTGCAACGCATATGGGATATTAAAGGCAAACGATTATGTCATCCTGGCTTTAATGCTATCGACAATTGGTCTAGAGTTTTTTCAACGGTTAGTGAATCTTTCTTTCTATGTGCGCACATTAAAATTGTTGCACTTACTTGACGTATCATCGATCTCTCGTATATTTCAGTATTTGGAGAATTTGATAATTCCTAAAGAATGCGACTCCAACATGACGCTATTCGAGAACAGAGTGCACGCTTTATCCAAATTCTTCGAAATGGCTTGTATCGCTGGTCCCTGGTCATCGGACACGATATTTGATTATCAATTGAGTATGTACGCAATTCTGGAAACATAAATGCATCTATTAAATTGTGAAAAATAGAATTAATGCGTTTTTATATGTACATAAATAAAATCTCATTATGGTTTACAGAATCGAAATACAAGAATCTCTGCGCCGCGTGCGACAATCCATCTAGTTGTTACATTACTGATCAATATTATGGAGAACAGGGTGTTTTATTTTGTCTCACCGATAACGTGGGAGATGTTGCCTGGGTCAGATTAGACATCGCTCGTACACACTTTAAGGTAAAGATCAGCTTATCGTTCATATTCATTTCCATTGACCGAAACAAAAAAAAATTCGTATAACAATTTGTGGAAGAATCGATCACGTCCGCTGATCTAAAATTCTATGACGGATTGTAGCGCGATTCTCTAATGCAGTATTAACATCTGCCGTGGCTTGATGCAGGAGCAGATGATCGTTACGCAGGATTACAAATTTCTGTGCCCGGATGGTACCACAAAACCGCTTATATTCGATAAACCGTGCGTTTGGATATCAAAACCATGGCCGATCATCGTAACTACAATGCAAGTGCAAAATTTATATTTTCCTAATTTATATTTATATTTTCCTAATTTTAATTCACTTTGACATTTTGCAAACATATGCAAGATCGAAGAATCAATTATCAATTATTTTACTTCTCGATAGGCAAAACGCCGCAAAGGTTGCCGACATGATGAAATCGGTTTCTAACACAACATTTTGCTGGAGAAACACCGTGTTGCAGCTGATGGAAAATTATTACATAACTTCGACCGATATAGACACATTGGATATACCATCCGATTACTTATCCCGATGTAATGTATATATACATCGAATAGAATTAACTTATGTGTTTTAACAATATCAGTTTTCTTCGCGCTTTAGATAACATATGTTAAATTAATGTAAAATTTTAAATGCAAATTTCTTTTTTAACTGTACGAATGTGCACGAGCAATTAATTCCTATTATTAAGAATTTATTAACAATTTAGAGGCGGTTAATTATTAATTTAACGTTTATTAACTAAGATTTTGGGAAAATTTTAGTAAGTTCAGAAAAATAGAAATTAATTAAAGAATATTTTAATGATATCAAATTTTCTAAAAAAAAATATTCGGAATATAAATATTAAATATTTTATATGTATTTAGAAAAAGATAAAATACCTGATATTGTTTGTTCTAATACTTTTTTTATCTCTCGATTGCAGTTCCAAGTTTCGTAAGCGCTTATGCTCAATCAGATTGTCGACCTTCAAGAGACGTGCGATGGTGCGTAGTGTCCGATCTAGAATTGCGTAAATGTGACTCATTGAGAGCCGCCTCTATCGTTTACGGTGTGCAACCAAAAATATACTGCTTCCAGGAAAAGAACAGAGAATCGTGCTTGAAAGCCATACAGGACAACCTAATGGACATCTTTTTTGTGCAACCCGAAGAACTTCTTGAAGCTAGGATGTAAATAAAGATTATATCAACCGAGAGATATAATAGATGAAAAGGAAAAAAGTATTTTTCCTTTATTTTTAGATTGCTTTTTTCGTAGGAAAGGTTTGAAACCTATCATCCATGCCATGGCTAATGCAAAAGAGGATGTGAACAGAATCGTGGCAGTTGTAAGAGTTAATTCCACATTCTATACCATAAAGGATCTCAAAGGTGCCAGAGCATCCTTCACGGGCTACAGAAGCGTTGGTGCGATTTTATACAGATATTTATATGTACTTATATACATACATGCATATGTGTATATGTATATTATCAAAAATTATAAAATTATATTCTAATTTTAGTATAACATTATAATTAGAATACAATTTTATATTTGACTAATCGCCAAATTGTTTTTGATTGCTTAATTATTGATGTTTTACCAGGCTGGAATGCTTTTGTGACATTGATGAGAAACATGTCGGACAGAAATTGGGATTGTTCAGATGCGCAAGTTGTTGCAAAATTCTTCAAGAACAGCTGCGTTCTCGACTCAAATAACAACAAAGAACTTCCAGTTAATTTGCACTCTTTATGTAAAAAAGGTAAAATATGATGGATGCACAATTGCGATAAAACATAAACGAGCATCGACCATAAAGATATGAAGATATAATGTACAGACACGTGGCAGATTAATCTAAATTTTGCACGGTTTGCTAAGAATGACGTAAGAGCGATATAAATATCGAGCATGATAAAACTAACACTATTCTCTGAAGTTAATAAATCCAGTGTAATTACATAAAGACGATTATACCGACGATAGAGTAAAAAAAAATAAGATTATATGTATGATTTTTTGCAGATATGAAGCGAGCGAACGATGATTTAGGTGCCTTCGATTATTTAACTTCGGGTATCGTCGACGTTGCCTTCGTCAATCTCAAGGCCATAGAAAAGAATGTAAATGTCGGTGAGTTGCGCTGATTATTTCAGTTTACTAATGTTTTCTGTATTACTTTTATGTATTACACGTACCTTTTTATAATATCGTAGGTGATTTTTATCACGAAAAAATTGATCATAAGCACGTCAATTGGATGCCCAAGTATAGGATATTAGGTCAGACTTTGATAGATACTTCGCGAGAAATTCCATATTTGCTCGCTTGGACAACTCTTGGTTCGGTATAATTCCATCCTCTTTAATAACTTAATAAAATAGATGCATTATGTGAATATAGATTCGTCTTTTCTTTTCTCTTCTTTCAGCTTGTAATTTTTCTTTTGTCTTGATAGATAGTATCAAATGAGAATATTACGGATCTAAGACGCCAAGAAATTTATTTCATGCTGCTTGAAATGGATAGATTATTTGGGAAGAAAATCAAAGGACAACTACCTGCGTTCTTGTTATATGAACCTTACGACGGCAATCTCAACATTATATTTCCTGTAAGTTAAACATAAAATACTAAAATATAAAATTGTATAATTTAATATTAGCAATTTAAAGAGACAAAACTGACATTGTCATAAAAAGGTCGCTCGAAAATTGCTTCAAATTCCATTTTTCTAAAACTCCTTATGCTTTGAAAGTAAAAAAAATATAATTAAGTTGAAGCAAAACAAGCAAAATATTTTTGGTAGAATTATATCTATTGAGTTTATCGCGACTCTGACTTTGATTGCTATTGATAAGATTTTCTACTTAACGTTTCAACTAATCAGAATCTTCGCACATGCAGTCTAATGGACGTTCGAGGACGTCAAGTTTCTCCGAAAATCTTTCGTTTCTCGCGCATCCATAATATACGTAGCCTTTGTCACAGTACGCCCAGGGAAAGTGCGCACACTTGAAGGACACGAATGGTTTTCCTTCGGCGGTCACTAAGATTACACCTAGGTCAGGTTTCGGTGAAGATACGTCCATTTTTTCCTCGAAATCCCGGAATATCGTAGTGACTACTTCATCAATCGATGTTGTCTTGCATCGCAATCGTCGCAGGATTTGCTGTGCTGGAGCGTATTTGTAGATAGCTTTATCGCAACCCGAGACGGACACCGAGCCACTTTGATCAACGTAAATGCCGCAACCGATCGCTGTACCGGTTGCACTCACGCTTCCGTACAACTTTCCCATTTCTCCGGCTGTCGAAGTCCCGCTGGCGAGACGTTTTCTACGATCATATGCCACTGCTCCGACTGCACCGAGCTAATAATGCTTTCCAATATTATGTCTGATACGTATATTCGTGCAGCATAATTATAAAATAATATATTTTTGTACATACAATTCGAATGAAACATAGCACAAAAATGTTCTAAGTTTATAACTTGTCTAAAGAAAAAAAAAAGAAAAATTTGATTTTGATTTAAAGTAGATAGAAAAAAACTCTTTTTAATAAATTATAGATTTATAGTTTAAAACAAGATTGAATTTATAATTTAGTAAAGTGTCTCTAAGATATTAAAATTGATGAAATTTAAATTTAAAATTTTGTAAATTTTTTAAATTTAGAAAACCTTAAAAAATTTCTATAATTTATTACTATTCTAATATTATTATTCTAAAATTTATTACTTTTACTTCAACATCTCATATCAATTGTTGCAATCATATCTATGAAAAAATTTATGAAAGAATATCTATGAAAGAATCTAAAAAAGAGATGAATTGATCAACCTGTAAAATATCAGGTTCGAGGGTTAGAGATTCGTCTGATTTGATAATTGTGACTTCTGAAACGCTTTTTTTCTCTTCTCTGTGTCTTTCGATCACACATCCCGGTATACATTCTTTCGCATCGGATTGCTTCTCTTCGTCTTGTAGCTGTCGTGTTTTTCTTGTATCGTTCAATGTTTCTTATATTCGATATCATCAATCTTATTAATATTTTTAAATAATTATATCCTCTTATTGTTCTTTATTTTTACCATTATCTTCTTCTTCATGTAACGATGTCTTTGAATCAATCGTTACGATCAGTTGACCGGGTGACAAAATGGGAAGATTTGATTCCAAGGCCAACTTTTGCGCTCCATCTTCAACTATCAACACATGTTCTGTTCGTTGCAGGACCAGTTTGGCTGTAAGAACATTGAGCGTTTTGGACGGATCACTTTAGAGGGATAAATATAAATATAATATTGAATTGTTGTGACAAACCTAACGTTATAGGATGTGCTATATTTCGAACGGCGCCTACGCAACCCACGCGTAAATCGTTTGTCATTATCGCAGCGTCCATCACGACCTCCCCGTTTGCGTCTACGGAACCTCCATACGCGCAATTAAAATACTTTTTGCTCTCCATGTGGCAAATTGCACGCTCGACTGCGTCCAGCGAACAACATCCTTTAATCAGATCGTGATACGCTACCACAGCAGCATTTTTCACCTACATCCATTCATTGAATATCGTATTTTTTTCTATAATTTATAAAACTTTTATGGATTGTTCGGTGTAGATAACAAATAGTTTAACCTCGTCGAGCATAAATTTTCGCGCGTATCGAGGAATTTTTCCGGCACCTCCGTGAACAATGATAACTGGAGCCACCCGCGGCATTATTTTTTTCTTCTTCTTAATCTGTGTTTCGGCATCAATTCTGGCTAAGATCTCTTTGATCCAGGAACAATAATCGCACATCATGTCAGTAGTGGTGTCTTTACGATTTTAGAATTTTTATCTATGAAACAGTTTTCCTGATGCGTCTATTAAATATGTGAATCAAATACTGATAAATTTTGTTTCAATTTGAGATACACAAAGTGCACCTTTTTATACATATGTCATTTGCAAGTAAAAAAATTGCCGATGTTATTTTTTTTTTTTTCCGCAATAAAAGATATCAAAAGCATTCTAAAAAATACCTAGTTGTAAATTTGAAATAGATATAATAATTATAAGTTTTGTTGTTGCAGAATGGCACGCATCATTTAGAGTTAGATGGACGTCAGGTTCTGAATGGACATAATTACAACGAAATCGTGGAAAATTTCGTGAAGCAAAATGCAGAAGCAGTTTGTAGTGTCGCGAGTATGTGGATCTCATTTCTGGGAACTGTTTCCCTATGTATAATTGTTGTCATTATTCTAAGTTGATTGTTGAATTGCTGACAATGAACTATATGCTCTCTAGGAACAAGACAATGTCATATAATACGGAATAATTTATTATTGATGATGCAATCGAAAGGAAACTGGATTTGCTTAAAAAATAGATCTTTTTCTATACAGTTTTATTTTTGAGAAAATAAAATTTAAAAAAATGTGAGATTAGTAACATCTTTTCTCTATCTTAAGTTTGTATAATTTTTAATGACATTGCATGTCATAAGGAAATCAACAGTACGACTATCATCAAATATATAAAATTTGTTTTACAGTATATATTCTTTTAATGGTCTAGATATTGTGAAACAACTATTGAGAAAATATATAATTTAAATATATTCTTACAGATATATATATATATAATTATATATTTTACATTAAAAATAGAAATTATTCAAGCTTAAAAATAATAAGAGACATTATTAACTGTGCAATTTTTAAAATAAATTTTCTTAAAAATAAAATGTGAAAAAATTTTATTCTATATTTCTATTTTATTTTCATAGATAAAATTATTTTCTTCACTTTTTCAATAATACCATCAATAATAAATTACTTGTAATGAACAAAAATGTGACATCAAAATCTCATTTAGACTATGTATAAAATATTACATATATCTCAATAGTACAATATTATTTCATATATCCTCTTTCTTCTTATATTTATATATATTTTATACAATACTAAATAAATTTATGTATAAATGTGTTATAAATACTATTATCTACATTGGACGGTATTTATTTTTTCTGGACGAAATTACGATAAAGATATGTGCAAAAATCTCACTTGCTATTCAACTAGCTTCTGTAGAGTGTACAACATTCTAATTGTTTCCAAATGGTGCTTCAGTACACATATTAGAAAAATTTAATTTCGTTAGAAGATAGATATACCAAAGATAATTAGTACACACTGTATTGTAAAATATTTAATTCCGAAATATACGAGATTGTCCCTTAAGTTAAAAATATTTAATTAAAAAAACAAGTTAATTTCAACTTGTTTTACATCAATACTTACCACATATTTAATATTTAAATCATCTATATTTTAAGTGCACGTGTACATTGGAAGTATAAATCCATGAATCTATCTAATTCTTCAAAAGTATTAATAATAATTGTAATTCTAAGCGATTTTTTCTACTGGTGACCTTTTATATAAACCTTCCTTTATGAGTCTATGTTTATTTTTATTTATGGAATTGAGACGTATTTCGAAAACACGTTCAATTCTTCTAAAAATTCTTCTTTTTTCGAATAATAGAAATCTTTTTTCAATTTGTGCACCTCTACGTTCCCAGATTCTGTACCAAGCGCCTAAAAGGACATATTTTGAAATATAAAATGTACAGAAATCTCTTTCAAGTATAAATATCTATCTTTAAACTCACCAAGTATTGATTCATCATATCTTGATCCATTATGCAAGGAGATAACTGCATGCTACTTATTTTTCCTCCTTTTTGCATAGACAATGTATATACAGGGCAGATGTCACTTTTACTCAAATCCCATACATGAATGCTGTTGGTTTTACAGTTTTTGTTTATTGCACCATTTTATTCGTTTATCTATAATCTCTGTTCTTTTTTATTTGTGTAAAGAACTTACCGAGAATTATTGTCCAAGATATATACAGTCAGTGGTTTCGTTTTCGACCATTGCAAAATTTTGATTTTGTCCGCATACTGTTCATTTTTTAGTTGTACAATCGGTCTTTCTGTATTCAAATAATGAAGTCGAATCGTTCCATCGTTACAACCGATCTAATCGACATAAAGATCAGATTTGATAAGAATTAAATAAAATTTCAAACCTATAAACAGCAAAAGAAGTCTTACCCAGAAAAATGATTGACCAAAAGGACAAACATCGATGCAAGTTGAACTACCGCATTCGCCTATAATATTTAATTATGTAATATAATTCTAAGATAATTCTATCACGATGTTATTCTATTCAACGACAAGATTGCAACTCACTTATTTCAGTTGGTTTGTACATTAATGGATTAGTTTTGTTACCAATACAAGTAGCATGCAAAACATCGGTGCTGTTAGTCACAACATAAATATTATTTATACTCGCGCTATCCACATGCATATCAATAAACGTATTCATTCTAAAAGAAAGTCGAACAATTAGAAGTTTTGAACATATATATACCCAAAAAGATTCACATATTTATTATATTTACATCTCCTTATCTCTTCTTGTCAGAGACATTTTCTGATTCTTTACAAGTCTTATGTTGCCCCAGTGAGAGAGGCCCAAGTCATCGATATTTATACCCATATTATGTACAATACTCCATATTATAAGATAGCCATCCTCATCTAAACTACATATCTGTTAAATTTGTTAAGAGAAACGAGAATTAATAGAAAATTAATAGAATTATTAATTCTATTAATACAGGGTTAATTAATACAATATTTCTAACAGGGAAATGTTAATACTATGATAAATGACAGATTATCAACCTGGATAGGAACGAATTTGTTGCTTCTTTCTTTAACAAAAGTAGTCTCAATCTTAGATTGCACGCGTATCGCAACAACTTGCGACGTGTGTGCATCTAACTCTGTAATTCCTGTTGTTGTATAAGTGGGGGTTCTTATCACCCAGTCCAACTCATTATCTGTAATCTTTTGATGCCACATTTCATCATCTTTCAGATCCCAGAGGCTCAATGACCTATATTTTTATTTTCTCATTTTTATATTAATAGAAAAAAATGACAAAGTTTAGAAAAAGATTCAAACCGCATACCCATCCTCCAGGCCGGCGAACACAATGTCGCAATTCGTTAAATGAAAACAACAGGCAGTAATGGAGCATTGTGAATAGAATAACTTTTTCGGCATCGAAGGTTCGGAAATATTCCAAACACATCCGATGCAACAATCGGTGATGTAATCTTGTTTGCTTATGGTTTCTATCTCCTGTAAAAGAAAAAAAATTGTTTTTTTTTAATTATTTTAAACTACAATAACTTAATAGTTTAATAGTTTTATTTACCTCTTCTACAGGAGCATGTATAGTGAGCAGAATTTTATTTGAAATGTTCGAATAGTGTATAATCTTAACCGGTCTGGTAGCTAAGAATGTCACTGAATCTATTGAGAGCTTCACGAAACCATCACTAAACAATAATTCATCTACATTGTTTTGAAAAACGGTACCACCGTGTTCTTTTTCTTCCAGTAACGATAAGACGACTGCACCCGCGCGATTAAGAAATTCATTCAATTGTAATACGTCATACGATGGCCGTGATGTAAGATTTATATCGTCTGTTTCGTCCATATCATTTCCGACACCATTTTGTTCCTGCAAAATTTAATAAAAAATTTAGCATAATAATTTTATTTTATTGAATTTATCAAATTCTCTAAATAGTAGAGGATAAATTATTACCATTTTAAATAAATCTATATCCCGTTTGTCATGTAATTCTTTTCTACAAGTTACGGGGAATTGCGTCCATTTATTCTTATTATGTACTTCATCCGTTTGTATCTCGATATCCATATTATCGTCGCCAGTTTGAGTAAATACCTGATAATATGTAACATTAAATAAGTATAAAATATATTATGTAACATGTATATGTAGCATGTTATATACATATATGTAACATGTATATGTATGTAATATGTAATATATGTATATAAGATATATGAAACAAATCATCAATCATAATACAATGCATTACATACTTGTTGAGTATTTAATTTTCCATAATTTCTTATAAACTCATCATAAGGTATAGGACTGCATTCTAAAAGTGACCATTCCATAAAATCCAGTTTTATCATTTCTAATAATTCCTCACCTCTGCCTCGAGGTTTTTGTAAATTCTACAAAAAAAGGCAAATTTGTCAGAAAAGTACACAATAATTGTACATTGTTCATTCTTATAAAAGTAATTACCTCTTCGCGTTGGTTTTCTTTCGATTTACGAAAATCGATAAATGGTATTTGCGATAATGGCGGGGATCTAGTAAAATCCCCGGAACGACTATCCTCGAAACCTTCATCAGTAGACGACGGCAAAGATTTATTTTCCACTGGTCTGTCATCACTGCTCCAAAAATAAATGTAAATGCGTTCAAATGATCACACGTTTTTATTTTTTTCAAAACAGAACAGTTTAGAAGAACATGCAACAAAATGCTATATAAAAATGTAACACTCAGACAATAAGAAGCAAATAATAAGCTTGCACATCAATATTCATTTATTTGTCTCTTGATATTTGATTTTAGTTATTACAAACCTAAACGTTTTGCCAACTGGCTCTCTTAATTCAGGTAACGGCGGTGTGTTGGATTGATTTGCGAGTATAGATTCTACTCGTGCCGCCCGTTTCCTCGCTTCCGCGAGATCGTAGTGTCCCGAATCGAGCATTCGTTCCTCTTCCACTTTTACATGTTCCGCGCTTTTCTATATTTTTATAAAATTATATATTTTAACATATATATAATTATATATAGTATTAAATGATACCTTTTCTTGTGAACGTAGTTCGATGGGTTCTAGATGGGAATTGCTTCTACTGCTATCTGATTTTTCACTAATTAACGAAGTATCACTGTCGGTGCATTCTTGAAAGTCTGATTCATAATCCTGAAAGAAGTAGAATGATTTTAGTTTCGATTCACTTTCAAGTGAGTATCTTGAAATTTTTTGAGTAAGTTAATATGTATAATTTCAAGAGATTATTAAAGTTATAATTCTTATATACAATTCTTTTTTTTTTCTTATACTTTTTTACCTCAAAATCATCCTCATAATCGTAGTCTGCCTGATCCGAATCTGCTTGTGCAGAATAATTAGGAGCATCTGTTGTAATATTTTTCTTTTGGTCTATTTTCTCCGCTTCTTCTGGTTTCTTTGCAGCACTATGCAGCATTCTTATCTCACTGGGACTCAATGTTCTAGACTGTCTACGCTCTTTAGTTAATAGTTGTAGTTTAACTTGATCAGAAGAATCTTGCAATTTTTCCTTATCTCTTGATGTTCGATGCATAGTCTTCTCATTAGATTTAAGCTTACTCGCGATTGGCTTTGGCATATATACAGTGCTAAGACCTCTTTTCTCTGAATATCCAGTTTGCTCTCTGGATTTCCTCTTTTTAACTGTACTATTATCGCTCAATTTAATAGCATTTTCAGACTTCGTCTTGGAATTTGTACTCTTTTTTAACAAATGACTAGATGAAGCATTATGCGGACTAGATTTCAATGTTGAAGAAGAACTTTGCTTGACAGTCTTAACTTGAGAAGATCCAGTAGATGGCTTACTAGTACTTCTAATTGATTGTGTTCTATTTGTTATGGAATTCTTTAATAGTTTTGATTTGTCCCCATCTCCTCTATGCTCAACAGTACGAGATTTTCTTGAAAGATTAGACTCCAATTTTTTCGACGTTTCTGTACTGTCTTCCTTGCCTGATAGAATTTTTGATTTTGACCGTGTACGTGTCTTAGCTTCATCTTTAAGTTCAATTTTCTTAGTAGTTCCCTAAAAGGAAATAAAGTATATATTACTAATAAAATATATAACAAAACACTTAGATTAAGATGTAGAATAAGATTGGATAAATACAATGTTTTTTTGCAATAACATTTTATATATAATAACAATGATTTAACTATGAACTATGATTTATTCAAACTATATTTTGGAAGAAAAAAAACTTTTTATTTCAAATATATATGTATATATTTCTGTATATTTTTTTATATTTATAAAATGTGAAAAGAATTGTTGTAGGAACTACATGCATTTTTAGACGTTAGTTTCTAGACCTAATTTTTACATCATTGATGCTCATGAATAAAACGTCAAAACAATGAGTCATGCGTTCTATGTTGATGAAGGATGTGCATAGTGCAATTTAAAATGGCAGTAAATACAAAATCTATATTTCGTCTTATCATAATGACATTCATAGCAAAGAAATGTCAATAGTTTCGAGGTTGACGTATGTGCAAAGAGGATTCTTGAAAACGTCAAATTTGCATGATCGCGATTAATTAAAAACGCACAAAAGACACAATTTTCCTATTTCTTACTATTATTGTAAATCTAATACACAACTCGATAATTTTGCTAATACATAAGAATTTCTGACATACTCACTTTATTAGACATTATGCAAATTGATCGGCGTTGACAACTACAAGCGGTCATAAGGCAACCATGATGTAAACTAACGCGACTACAGTGCTTCGTCATGTTTTTCACAACTAGTGTACAGACGAATGATACCGATAAATGATAACAACAATCAACAATGTTTTTACCTATTGGACTCGAATACTGAATGATAAATGATCGCTTTCTATTTTACCATCTGTAGCGAAATATATTGAAATTTTCGCGCATTTTCTATTTTCTTTTCATTCATTATCTCTTTTTTATCATATTCGTCATCTACAATGTTATGAAGTAAAAATAAATTAATAAAAATAGAAAGAGGAAAAAAAAGAAAAACGCACGATTTCATGACAATATTGAAAAAAATTGAGTTTAAATTTTTGACAGATTTGATTCTTTTCGTTGGATTTTTCATATAAAATAATTTTTAATTTATGACGATTATACTCTTATCATTTAATCATGAGCAGAGATTGGAAATCTTATCCTGAAAGTGTACACAGTCATCGCATTAAATTCAATCATGGATACAGGTTAATCATGCTAAAACTTTTATTTTATTTTATATAAAATAAATATAAATTTATTAAAAATATATTAAAAATATTTTTAAAAAATATAAAAAAATATTTTTTAAAAATATATTAAAAAATACCTTTGTTTTTTCTTATATGCAATTTTTATACTAAATAAGTAATCTTTTAATTCCTGGCATAGTATTGAATAGCTGTAAAAGTAAACAATAAATTAATAAATAATCTTGATTTATATCATCTGCAAATAGATCGACTATTTCGGCACAAACCTTTCCGCAACAGGATATTAAAAGATCGACGGTATTCGATTTAGTGTATAGATATTTGCAGAAATGTGCCGACAGGGACAAGAAATGGAAGCGGCGAAACTGCGCGTGCAATAAATTTTATAAACAACACGCGAGAAAAAAAAATATTCATGAACAAGCACATACATTTGGGACAAATTTCAAAGATAAAATCTTCGATGAACAGTTTAAGCCAAATAAATTTGAACTTTGTAAAAGGACGTCGTCCAAAGAATATATCGCTGAATATACGAAAGCTGTCCGTGATGGTATATATTTAATTTTTTTATTATAAATTTATAATTAATAAATATATAATTATAATATAAATTTATAATTAGTAAATATAATTTATATATATATATTAAATATATAATTAAATAAAAACAATCAGAGGCAATAAGAGCCAGCGAAAAAAAAATTAAATAAAAGTAATCAGAGGCAATAAGAGCCAGCGTAAATATATAATTTTTATAGATAATATCTACAATTTATCTATAACTTACAATTGTTCTTTCTTTTTTTCTCATTTGATATTAAAAAAAAGTAAATGTAATATTATGAAATTAAATTTTCTATGAAAGCGAGGAAAAAAAGAAATATATATAGAAAGAACTCTTGTGCTAGAGATTATTCCATCATTAACAGACTGATTTCTTTGTTTAGGACGAAGGCGCGCAAAATTTTATGTACAGGAGGCACTTTTATATGGTTTACAATCTGGATTGTTAATTCCTATTAATCGACATAGGAACATATTGTGTGTTTCACAAAAATTAGGAGTTTTTCCACCAAAGAATGCAAAAAATCTGTATCGCGATCAGTGACATCAGTAAAATCAAAATGTTTTGTACGATATTTTGACAAATTTTAATTGTAATAAATTATCGAAATTATAACATAATCATTTATAATATTCATATTATTAATATGAGTTTTCTTAATATATATATGTGTAAATTATTCGTTAAATAAATGTGTAAATTATTCATTAATAATAATGCAAAGAAAAGTCTTTTATATCTATTTTATTCAAAATTTATATAATATATCTTTTGCATTTTATTTTATATATTTATTTATCCATAATTTTATATATTAATAATTAATACTCAATATTTTATGTAAAACTAAAAATTCAAGTAATAGTTATAATAGTATTCATTTATAGTATTTATTTAAGAATTTAGAAATATTAGAATCGTAAAGAATATTTTAAAATTAATTTTGAATTGTGCTTTTAAAAATTTATGAGAAGTAACTTTCACATATACACACACATATCAACATATAATAACACTTAGATAAATTTTTCAAGCTCGTACATTTAACAAGCAAATATATTTAACGGATACTTTGACTTACGATTTATCGTGCTCTTCGTTGTTCACATTCTCGTCGACAGCGTCGGATCCATCTTTTCAATTCTCGTTCGCGCGCCGTATTTCTCCTCCTACGAGGACCTCGCGCCCTCAATTCCCTGTACGCGCTATCTTCTGCATCTTCGTCTTCCTCTTCCACTTGTTCATCCTCTTCATCCTCATTCTCTTCGTCTTCACCGTTTTCGCGACGTTCTCCATTCCTAACTATGCGAGGACGATCCAAAGGTCGTCTCCTCGAAGGCTCTCGGGTAATCTGAGTTACTCCGTTGGTATCGCAAGTGCAATCCATATCTTCCTCTGTAGTTGTCTCTTCGCCATTTTCATCAGCACGTTGCATTATTCGATCTTCTAATCGTGGTTTTTTTGCCCTTCTGATTGGTGAAACAATTCTTACAAAATCTCTAGAAGGTCCAGGAACAGGCTCTGCGCGTTCATCACGTCGTTCTATCTCGCGTATTTCAGTAATACGTTGTTGTCGGTCGTTTCGAATATCCGAAATATCATTGCAATCACAAGAGGGTAATAATTCTTCAGTATCAAATTCTTCTGTATCCCGATAATCCGCATTATTTCTCTCGTTGGCTAATATTCTGGTTGAATGAAACCTTGGTTCTCCTATCGAATTTTCATCGCGATCGACAAATGTTTTTCGGACCTTTCGGTCCTTCACTTTTCCTTCGCAATCCAAGGGACAGCCATTCGGCTTCACACTAACAGGCCCAATCAAGTGATATTCATTGTCCAACAATTCCATGACGAATCTGTTACAGAGTCATAACTGTTAACTTATTCTGGATAAAAAAGATATTAATTACATAATATTTCAAAATATGGCAAAAAAGATATTTATGTGTTCCTTTTTTATCTTAAATGAGTTGAATATTGTAAAATAAAAAAGGCAAATTATTTTTTAATTATGATTGTAAGCGCAAAAAAATAAAGATTTTCGAATCTAATATACATAAGTAATCGTATTTTTAATTAATATTGTTAAAGTATGTAACACTTGTAATATTTGGCGCGGTGATTTAATGAAATAGATATATTTTTATCATAATTCTCTGATTGTATCTTTTGAGGTTTAAACTTTGCAAAATAATTTTGCATCGTACAGTACGAGTTTGCTGTATGTAATTAGCGTCATAAACGAAATCGGTCGATAGATGCATAACCTGGAAACAAGATAGACTGCGCAATAGTGGGGTAATTGCCTTGAAACGCGATCGCGTCCTCAGCACGCGAGAGACGCATCCTCTCTGCCTTTCTGACCTTCGGCTGTCTCTGATGAAGTTAATTCTCGCCGAAAACTAACCCTTGAGAACAGACCTGTCTCAGCGCGGTCCGCACCTGAGCATAAAGATCGCCATCATGGCGATAATTCGTTCGGATGTAATCAACGATGTCATCAACGCTGGAAGTGGATGGCTGGTCCACGTCGCGTTGCAGTAAGCGCATCGCCTCTAAAACGCGTAGCGAAAATCTCGTCGAATTCTCCACACCACACTTGCATTGTTGAGATGTCTGTGGCAAAAGAAATTTTTATTTAACACTTGAAATTGATTATTTTCAATAACGATATTTTTTTTATAATTTTCCCCAATAGCCAAGTCTGCTAAAGCAGATCTTGTCAGGGAATCTGTTAGAAATTGTTGTCGACAGAAAGATTACAGAATCGATGCAGGTTCTGATATATCATGTGATGTCACCAGAATGTCAACAGAAATATAACAAAGCTTGTTAACATAATCAGTTACCAGATTGGCAGCAAAAATCGAACAGATTCTCCCGGCATAACTTAGTGGCAGATTGGTGGCAGAAATTGAACAGGATCTGTGCGATGCAATTTGACAACAGATTGTCGGCAAAAATCGAACAGGATCTGCGCATACAATCTCTGATAGCAGATTGATGGCAGAAATGGAACAGGATTTGCATGATTCGATAGTTCTTTCACTTACCGCTACGTGAGCTGTACTTTCTCGTAATTGAATTTCTGTCAGAAATATATATAAAGTCACGAATATGAATAAAAGACTAAAAATATAGTAATTATCATTTTAATTTTTCACTTTAATTTCTGATATCTGATACAAGCAAATGAGAGTCAGAATTCAGAATATTAAACTGATTGGAATCAATATAATATATGGAAAATTATTCATGCACTGGCTATTTGAGGCATAAAGCAAGAATTTAATTCTAAATAAATTACATCTCAAGTTTTACAAGTTACATTTACTTTATTATTAATTTAATTAAATAGAATTGAAATTAGTCCTTCGCTATATGAAATATAACTATGATATAACATATTACATATATGTCATTTTCTATAAGAAAATTCTAATTAACTTGCCGATAATATTGTTATTTAGCACCTGTAATAATCAATTTTGTTGCATTTATATAATATTAATAAAAGTGCAAATCTTGTGAAATTTCTGCTGTCCATTTGCCATCAGGTTGCATCCGCAGATTCTGTTCGGTTTCTGCGAACAATCTAACATCAAATTGCACGCGCAGATCCTGTTCGATTTCTGCTAACAGTCTGACATCAAGTCATGTTAGCATTGACAGCAGATCCTGCTCAGTTTCTGCCGACAATCTGATATCCGATTCTGTGAGCAGGTTCTGCTAGCAGATTAGAAGCAGAATGAGGACGCAGTAGATGTCATTCTGCTGACATGGTTTGATCAAATCTGTTGCCAGTCTGTCGACATACTGCTTACATTTTGCTTATTGGGTTTATAGTCTTATTACTATTTTTTATATAATTTTACTGAATATAATAAATTAATTTCCATTTGATTAATATAATTTAAAAATTTTTTTAAATTGGTGTATCTAATAACATAAAAAAGATTAAAGTTTATCAATTTTTAAATTTGATTTATGTATAAATAAAATCTTGATTATTATAATTGTATAAATATTATATAAATAAAAATTTAAGATTCAAATAATTATTATTATATGAATGAAGATTTCTGATACTTACTTCTTTAGGCGTATTATCTGGACCCTTGCAATCTCTTGGACAATTTTCAGTTTGCGTCGCACTGAAATTGTTTCCTTGATCCTCATCAAGAATTTCATTAATTATGGCGTTGACTTTTTCTTCCGTTCTCTTAGTGTTTTTCATCGTTGATTTAATTCTTATTTGGAAGGTTAATTAAAAATGTCACTTTTAATGATTGAAATGTGTCTAATTCTAAGCAACCGTTTTGAGAAATATTTAATTTTAAGTTATTTTAAAGTTTCTTGGAAGGAAACATTTCAAGAACTATCTGCTAAATATTTAAATAACGTAAAACACCATTGTTTTTTTAATATGCGAATATGTGAATTATGTATGATAGGGTTAAAAATATGTCATGCCGATACAAATGACGGTTTTATATATGTCCCATTAAATTTGAAAAATTTCGATAAAGCACGACGAGAATCGTCCTCCATGACTCGCAATCCTGGTATCGATCTGCAATCGAAATAACGCTACAGAAAGGTGCTGCGAGGTCAAGGGGCGTAAATAGGCGTAGATGTAGAGAGAAAAAAGTAGGAGGAGCACGTGGGTGGCAGGGACGAGTGTATACGTGAAATATTAATAGGACGAGCAGTCAGTGAACGCGTGACTGTATAGTATATACGGAAGTACTTTTATATTGTCGGTATCTCGGAGGGCTTCCTCGACTAAAGACACAGCTCCTCGCATTGTGTATGAATTATGATAAAATTATTGCCGCTCTGTATGTACGAACGACATAGACGCAATAGCATAGCGCGCCGACAATAGATACGATAATAATAAAATTACACACACATCGCTTTTTCATAATAATGGCAATATCTGCAAAGCGCTCATCGCGATTCTCCCCAGAAAGTACGTGAAAAAAATTTCTCTTCCTCGCTCCATCAATCCATACAGCGCACATTGTTGTACCATCATCGCGATATCCGCGGATCTTCCTTTGAAATATGCATTGGAGAAGCGACTGAATTAAGAAAAACTCATGGCAATAGAAAAAAACTTATATAATATTATTTAATTATTTATATAATTTAATTAATTATTAATATTATTTATTTTAAATTAATTAATTATTATATCAAAATCATTGCAACAAATTATGATAAGATAAAAATTGAGATTCTAATTTATAGAAAATTAACTTATATTATCCTTAGTTATTTCGATTCTCCATTTTAAGGTATTATTAAAAGTTAATAAATTTGTATAATTTATTAACTTTTAATAATACCTTAAAATACGGCTTCGTTTTGCTAACGAGATTTACTAATGTGCTTCGTAAAAATAGTATGACAAAATAAGATTATGCGGCTGGTGGGTGGAGACGAGTCAAAGAAGAGGTAAGACTCGAATCGCGGCGAATGGCGCTCTAACAGGCACCACGCTCCACTTTTTCCATGTTCGGCCGACGGTGGTGTGGGCGATTTCGTTTTTATTGTTTCGCGCCGTTTCCGATAAGAACGACGAGAAGCGGGGCCCGCCAAGAATTACCTGGACGAGGTGAGCGCGAGGATAAAAACCGGTGCCGGCGCGGTAAGCCGCAATTTGCCGACAGCCTGGGAACTGAAGGGCTGTAGATGGTCTGGCGTGCTCCAACGGGGGCAAATAGTCTAAATGATTAAGCTTCTCCATCCCTTCCTCCCTCCTTTCTCTGGTGTGGCTATTGCTTGGAGTACGTCGTTCGCTTGTGAGCGGCGATTTCTCTCTCGTCCATTAATACTCTTTCGTATCTGCTCATCCACTCAGCTCATTTTACAAATGCTTTCATCTGGGAAAAGATTTTTTTAATGTGACTGGAGAATCAATTGTAAATCGTATAGCTTTCATCTAGATTTTTTACCACTGACCGAATCGCATTCCATCCTGTTTCATAAGCGTACTTCTTTCTTCGATCGCACGTAAGGTTGCCATACGTTGAGCGCAGGCATTGAAGTCTACTCGATGTTTAACTCTGTGTCTCCGACTTCACCTAAAATTACAACTAAAAAGATAATTTTCTTTCTTTTATCAAAGAAAAACGGGAAAAGAACATTGAAGTATCTTTTTGTCTCCCGAGATTTTGATCGTTTAGATATTTATAGCTCTCTCTGTGATAATATATTATTTTTTTGCGAAATATATATCTATATTTATTTATTACATATATATACATATATATATATATATATATATTTATTTATTTATTGTTCTAAAAATTGAACACCAAATTAGACATCAATCGAATCAACTGTATCGACTGTATCATAATTATTTGATATAAGTCGAAAAATACAAAACGAGCAAGACAATGATTTTTTCGCCGAAATGCCGCTAATTAGTTAAGCCCTGATAACGATTCTGCGGTTCTGAGAGAGCGCGGAGCGGCGCGAGATTATAAATACCTCGAGCCGCAAAAGTAAGAAAAGTTTAATCAGGACTTGGAGCGGGAGAGAGGAGGGGTAAAAAGAGAGGTAGAGAAGGAAAGGGCGTCCTCGTGACGACTTGATGAGATAACTTTGCCCAAGTTGTGAAACAATGGGCGTCACGATACGTGACTTTGTGCGAGGGTGAAAGGAGAATTCGTACTTCCTGTAGAGGGAGAGGGTTGAAGGGTGGCAGCGGTGAAACGAGACTAAGGAGTAGACACGCGACCTTCTTGGGTACCGTCCTGTCCTGTTCCGTGGTATACAACAGCGGGCTCGATGCGTGAGAGGCGGCCTCCTTTTCGTGCGAGGAAGAAGCAGTCGCATTTCCGCGTGCGAAAACGCTTGTTAATTCTTCAGGATTGATACGGAACGTTGATAGCACTCTACATTTCCGTAAAGTTTGGACAGCATTATTGCAAATGTTGACACATCGAGTATTAATAAGAATTAATGCAACATTCTTAACACGTATACATGATTTATAAGATGTTCACAACATATAATTAACTTATTGTATATATAGTTACATTAAAAAATGTAAATTTACATAGAAATTATAGCTGTTAAAATGTCTCACAGAAAATAATTATATTCAGAAATTTTCTCATTAAAAATTATGTTTTATATATTAATATAATATAATTGTATTATATATTAATATGTTTCAAATAATGTAATCTTGTTAGAAATTTAAAAACTAGTCTTAGACTTCGAATAGTTATTTGTATTATCATTTCTATGTTATCACTATATTATATAAAATTAATTGATGTTTTAATAAATTAAATATATTATCTTTGTATTATATCATTGTTTCAAAGTTTATGATTAATCGATAGATATCAGATGACACGAAATGAAATAATGACCCTTCGGCGAAAGGAAATATTAACATCCCGAGTACACTTAAATAAATGATCTTCGCGAAATGAAAAATCATCATACACGTGAATCCTTTATGCATATACCTGTGCATAAGTCTCCGGGACGTCGATTAGACCGATTACTGTCGGGACGCGTCACGGGGTCGTCGGGGGTGGATCCCGGTGCGTTCGCCAGCTCGCCGGCTCATCACGTGACGTGATGTCACGTTACCTGGTGGCCGTCGACAGGTGTTCGGGTTCGCACGACCAGGTCCGATCCCAGAGCAAGAATTGTATGCGGCCCGTGTTATCGGCACAAATCCAGCCACATAATGATAACGAGCAGATTCAAACAGGCGGGTGACAAGAAGCACGCTCATATAATATATACGTTTCGATCGATATCTCCGTAAGGGTTGAACTTTATAAAAAAGAGCGCATGTAATTTTTCAAATTCTTCTAGCGACAAGAAATCAAATATCTGAAAAAAATAACGAAGAAATTAGAATTTTTACAAAAAAAAATTATATTTAAAAAGTAGAAAAATTAGATGTAATAAATTTATAGATGAAGAGAGAGAAAGTAAGTCGGACGCGTATTTAATCTTTCGCACATGCTGAACTCACGAAGAAGGGACATATTATACTGTTTCAAAAGGCGCCTGTAATTGCGACGTCGTGGGATTACAACCACGTGGTTCCTTCCGTTCAAGCTCACCGCTCTTTTCCCTGTCTTTCTCTCTCTGTAGTAAATTAGATATTACGATACTAAATGATGTTATTTAACCCGCCCATGTGTGACCCCTGCTCGGGAGTTGAATTTATGTGAATTTACAATATTGTTGCGTGAACAGCGTACCGGTGTATCGATCACTTGTGATTCTCAATCCTTTTCATCATTATTGTTAATATTATATACATATATATTCTCATTTGAAAAAATACAATTAAATGGATAAGAAAATGCAACTCAAAAATTAAAAAAAAATGGTCGAGTTAGAATCTTAATAACATTTTTTTAAACACTTGTCCGCATAACGTAAGAGATATAAGATGATAATGTATAACATACATCAAAGCGAAGGTCAAAGGACGCACCTGGAACATTCATGCAATATGATCGCAAACACAAAGGTAATCGATCTCTTGACCGTTAATCGCGGGCTAGAGGATAATTACAGGACGGATGAGCTGTAATATTAATGAGAATGATAAAAGGAAAGAGGAAGGAGAGCGATCTAATACACCACGCCGCGGGCTAATTTGCTTCATAATAATTACGGACGGCGCATTAAACATTCGTACGTAGGTGGGTAACGTGAAAGTGTCAGGTGCTGAATGTCCCAGAGGCACATTAGAAGGCACCTACGTACTACGTATCTACGTGGCATGCCTATGTGGTGGTCTATGCGAGACTGCGAGATGTGTATATACGTATAAACGCGTTCTCCTCGCATGTGCAAGACTCGCACCTGCATCGCCGCCCGAAGTCTCCCAGAAGGATGGAGGAAGAAGATCGTAATTTCTGAAAATAGAGCGGCCGAAGAATCGCGTTAATTCGTTTGCTTGCAAAAGTTTCTAAATTTCCATACCGATTCGATCAAACTTATGCCGCTCGTTCGACCTCGCGCTTAAGTTCCTCGCGGCTTTTCTTTCTTCTTAATAGCGTGCTCTCGAGATTTTTCATCACCGCAAGGAGAAAGATGAGGAAGTTCGTATCACCTATAAATGATATAATAAAAGATTTTTTTATTATCTGCAATATATTGCTTTACTCTTGGCAATTTATATTAATAATTCTTAAATCTTTCACAGATTAAGAATTATCAATTCAAGAAATATCAATTAATAATTCTTAATCTGTGAGCTTATTGTATAGCATGCAATGTGTGGTGTATTATGTATTATTTATGTTTTTTTATCCTGAGGGGAAATTTATTCTAGAAATATAAAATATATTGTAAAAAGCGTCTCTCTTCTCTTTCATATTAAATATGATAAAATGTACGATGAGAAATAATAAGTGGCAAGTGACTTTAAAAATTATACATGTCATAAGAATTACAGATCGAGGCCGTAGATGTGTACGTACGATAAGTGTCGGCGATCAGTCATCGCGAGGCCGCGACGTGTACCATCGAGCGATGAACCACACGAATCGCAGATAATACTGGCGTAATGATTGGAAGATCAGAATCTCTCCAGTTACCTGAAATTGCGAGATTGATCGTTTTTCTTCCGCGGGAATGAATATTTTATATACTTTTTATATACTTTTTTTATATACGCTATAGCGCACCAAAGTACTTCATATCATTATATCATTTTCATATAATCTGCATAAAGTATTTTTGCACTTTTTAAATATGATTTTATATTTCAATGAGGATTCTCTACAATTTATGGACTTGACTCATTTTGACAGAAGAAAAGTTGTATAATATTAATTTATATAAATCACATTTATATAAATTATATTCCTACTATCTATAAATAATGAATATTATTTATATATTAAATTTGTTTTTTAAGTATTAAATTGACTGAGTCTAACAGAGTCTTATGAATCACAGATATGATTGACTCTGAATATTTCAACATCTTCAGAATATACGAAATAAATAAGGTATAGTAAATAATATAGTAAAAATAATATATATTTATGTTGATGGCAAAATGAGAAAGAATTATAAAGCTCTTGTCGTCAACTATCTATTCGATGCGTCTTTTCGCACATTATCAGGAATATTTACGCGACCTATTACATATATGTGCTGCGGTTTGTAGATTGACCTCGCGATACCTACAATCACTTTAAGATCGTAGAGATGGCACATTGCGATTGGTCAGACCGCTCGTGTCCGCGTTCTCCCTTGACCATCGAGAGCTGTGTCTGGCTGGTTGCCGCTAATGATGCGGCAGCGAATCAACCTACGGCGCAGTCAGTGCGCATGTACCTGGAGGCGGGATATTCGTCGTTCCCGACGAATCGAATGGTCTTCGCGCGTACATTTTCGCGATGCTGCAACATGTGATACACGATACGGCGCGTCAAAGCAGTCGGACTGAGTTGTTAGCTGATCGTCTCAGTAACGAATCCGTAGTACTCTTCGAAAGTTCGGAGTTTTCTCGAAGAAGTCCGTTTGAATCTTCGCGAAAGAAAATTTGTATCGATCGATGAATATTAAATCTTAAACCTCTGGTGAATTTTCGTAATATTCTTTGACTTGCGACATAAGTGACCTGTGAACATTGAGAAAATATAGATGAAATATAGAATTCAAAATATTATCGACAAATTTATTATTTTTAATCATGTTTTAATCATGTGTAAAATGCATATATCTTAATAGAGAGATAATACAATTACCAAATAATAGTTTTCCGCCGAAAAAAACTTCGCATCGATAAGAAGATAAAATGCTATCAAAAATATATAAATTATTGAATCTAAAATCCGATATTATTAATATTTCACATATATGTACAATAATGATATAAATTCTAAAATAAAGAAGAAAATAAAATATTACGAATAGATCTTTTCATATGATCGAGTATGAATAATCATTGATAACAAAATCTTTTGATTTAATGCAAGATGAATTGTTGGCAATTATGTCATGATTTTTGTCTGAAACGATTCTTAAGATTTGAAACATTATTTACGATTTAAGCAGATGGGATATATTATATGATCGGACATTATATGTTATGATGATATGTTATGATGTTTACGTCTCTCAGGGCAAATAAGTATTCATTACTCGATCGGAAAGATGTGTGGAGTTTATCTTAATTCTGAATATTGAAGAGAATATTTCTCGAGCAATGAGTTCACACTCTCATGCGAGGACGATGTGCACCGGAAATGCAGTCTCTGGCGCATTCTCTGCGTTGCATCTCTTGCGAAGTTACAGTCTCTTCGCTCCAAATTCAGGTGCGTAAAAGACATATTAAAGTCCCTTGGTTGAAAAATAAGTCATTGGCGATCCAAAATCATGCTCTTTTCATCGCAGATTTTTCAATGTTCTGGAATGTTCTGAAATTAAATATTTTAAATTATGGAAGAGTATATAATGTATCATTCTTTGCTTGGGTTGATTTTGTTGATGATTTTGAAATATCCTATATAGAGCTCATTAAAATTTCATTTTTAATTACACATAAGCATCATCTATATACTACTAACTTATTGGATAAAAAATTAATAGAAATGTATTAATTTTATATGTTATATATATATAGAAATAAATTATTTTGTATTTTATCTTCCGATTTATATGATGTTTTATGTCTGTTTTATTATTTTATATGAGATGGAAAAATATTTAAAATATAATATAGTGTTACGTATTCTTTATTTGTCACTTGCTTGCTTTCGTTATGCACAAATGAGCAAGTTGACTGATATCTGGATTGATCTGTGACAATTTCCACTCCTGTCTTAACTCCTCCAGTAGCCGTGATCGTCTAGTGGTTAGGACCCTACGTTGTGGCCGTAGTAACCCAGGTTCGAATCCTGGTCACGGCAATGCGAGAGCATTGTCACGGTGGAGGTTTTTTTTTAACTCAATTTCTCTATATCTATTTCAAAATTTATAATAATTACATCTATAATAGTAATTGTTTAAAATAATTAATACAGAACGATTAAGATAATAAAATTTGTTATTTAAATTATTTGATTATGTTACTTATATAATTCCTTAATATTAAGTAATTTATATATTACATATAGTAGAAAGTAATTAATAATTAAATAATTGTATTAAAATTCCCTCCTATGAATCACACTGTTTATATTATAAATTATAAATAATGTTATACGTACATTTAAAATATGTATGTTGAAATACATAAGTTACATTCATCTCAAGTCTATTTGATTTTTACAAGGTCGTTTTTTTCAAGCGATTGTCTCATTTATAGCATCGCCATTACATCGGTCTCGTTCCCTAAAAATGTAACTGCCGCTTGAGCAATTAACGTCTAAGCGAATTTTACGACTTAACTATAACAGCCACGGCAATTTGTACAGACGTTAACGTTTGCACAGTTTCGCACGAACCTCGACAAGTCGTTATATTATCACGACATTTGGATTCCCATGTTTCATCCAGTCCAGTAACATACAATTGTGACATGATGTATATAGCCGGGAGTAAAAGTTTCAGCTCTCGCTAGCGAAATTTCCAAGTGTCAAATAAATTTTCCATCGATCAAGCAAGTGAGCAAACTATATCTCGTGTAAAGCTAATTAATCCTGGAAGAAAGAGAGGAATGAGTGGTTAGTTTATCGAATTTAATTTTGAATATATCATATTAATGTTAAAAAATATATCATATTTTGAATATATCATATTGGAATATATCATATTAACTTAAAAAATTAAAATATGTATAAATATGTATGTATGTATACACATGTATGTATTAAAATATGTATAAATATGTATGTATGTATACACATGTATGTATATATATGTGATATTTTTTGTGTTACTATACATATATAAAAATTAATTTTTTAATTTCCTATAGCAAAAGTATTGTTAAAAGATATTCTTATAATATTTTTATTTTTCCGAAAATATTAATAGTTTATATCTTTTATTTATTTTACAAAAAAAATAAATGTACCCCTGGTGGGACTCGAACCCACAATCCCCGGTTTAGGAGACCGATGCCTTATCCATTAGGCCACAGGGGCGGTCGATAGTATTCTATCTAAACTTTCTAGTCTTTATTCCCAGTGAGTCGATTCTTCTTTTTTACATTTAACAATACAAAATAAACGAATATAATTAATTGAATGCACAATATCTGAATTAAATTGATAAAATTCTCGTCTTCATTAGCAGATCTGTGTAGGTATGAAGCATATCCGACTCGGGATTATAATTTCGTCGAACCGGATATTTTACCAAATTCCGTGACAGCGGATTCTTCATCATCGCCGTTAACATCCTCTTCTTTGTCGGCAACATTTTCACTTCCAGGAACGTTGCTCCAACCACCTTTTCTAGCGATGCCACCCTTGATGCAATCTCTGAGCGTACCTCAACCGTTTTCGACTTCCTCTTCGGGTAAGCTAATTTTATCTTAGCACATTCAGTTTTCTTTTAAAATAACTTTTCAATATATTTAATGTTTGAATAAAGAGACCGTACTATTTACTTATTAATTAAGTAGTCCAAATTGACAGCCTCGGTAGCGCAGTAGGCAGCGCGTAAGTCTCATAATCTTAAGGTCGTGAGTTCGATCCTCACCCGGGGCAATTTTTTTTCCTTTTATCTCGTTATAAATCGTGTCAATTACATGGCGATAAAAACACGTCTATCTTATCATTGATAACAAAACAGGTGCCATGAACCGTCACTTCATCAATACAAACGGCATAAACACTCTCCACAGAAGACCTAGAAGCGAAAAGAAACCCATCCCGGACGATCAAAAAGACGAAAAATATTTTGAGAGACGTAAACGGAATAATCAGGCAGCAAAAAAGTCACGAGATGCCCGCAAGATCAGAGAAGATCACGTAAGAACGAAATAAAATCGATCTTTCAAATCTCGATGTTTTAAAGAGAACAATAAATTTGTTTACTTTAATTTAATTTTTTGCATTTTTCGTTCTTTCTCTTTCAAAAATATAATTCTAAATATAATTTATCTATCTCATTCTATTACATTCTAATTCAATTGAAAAGAACAAACTTAATATATTTAAAATTAACAGTAGCAGGTGCGACATAATAAAATCAATATTTTCGATCGATGTAATTTTTGCATGTAAATATGAAGTTCCATTATATTTATATATGTATCGTTTTTATACTTACAGATTGCTCTAAGAGCGACAATGCTGGAGCACGAGAATGCGATTCTCAAGGCGCAGATAGTGACTCTTCGGGAGGAAGCGCAATCGTTGCGACATATGTTAATTAAGCAGCACGCCCCGGCGATACAATCCATCGAACGATCGCTTTCTTCGATGACACCTGTAACTCTCTCTCCTTCACACACCACCGCGAGTTTAGACTGTTAATTTTGTAATTTTTTTTCTAACAGAAATGTGTAAAGATGTTCAAATTTGAAGCGAATATTAAAATCCGTGTAATTTCGTTTAGCTACACAAACACGCGAAAATGATCCTTATGTATTTAATTACGACACGTTATAAGAGATCATCGAAATTACAACATTCGATTTAAAAGATATGTTAAGATGTTTTCGATGTTATACAAAGAACAAATAAGAACCAATTAGGTTAAATATTATCTTAATGACCACTGTTGAATCAAATTATGATTCACTTAATCGGCAATTAATTCAACTAGAACTATGAAAAATTACCTAATAAAATTTGCATATAATTCACCGTCTTTAATTTAATCTTTTCTTCACATATATCAAGCAACAAAAGAATTACTCATACGTGTTTTATCCATACTAATAATGTTAACGATACGCAGGTATTACACACTTACACAGGTTAAACGCCGATTAAGTTAATCACAAGTTGGTCGAAATGGCTTTAAGACTTCGATACGGAGATTATTTCTTGTTAGAATTATTATTATTCATAATAAGTGTAATTATTGTTGCTTGAATGCTAATAAGAGATAATTCAAGATACCTACGTGCTATAAAAAAGTTAACGTATTTTTATGAAATTACCCCATTTTCCACTCGCGAGACATCTAACGGTATAAAGAAATATTAAAAACAACCGGTAAGTAAGATTATTAACCGGTAATCGATAAGAATGTAAAAATGATTTATAGAGAACGCGTAAAGAAAATGTGATTTTAAAATATATTTTCCATTTCTTTCAATTTAAAATAAAAAAATTTAACGCGTTTTGAAACTAAAAAATAAAAGGACACGATTATATGTATAAGCTCTATATAATAGATATAATATCTATCATTAGCACGCATTTCGTGAAGAAATTATACGCGTAAAAAGTACTTTTCACTTTCTAGTATACGGCATATTAAATAAACAATATATATAATTTCAATTAATTTAAATAATCAAATATATTACATTTGATTATTATGTTAAACTATTACGTATACTTAACGAGGTTAATATTAAAAATTGAAAGTACATTTACACATTAAAAATTGAAAGTACATTTACACATTGTATCCTATTAATTTCAATTAATTTTCAACTCAATTGCAATTTTTCAATAATAATATATGGTAAATAAATTATTGTTTCGCATATTTTTAATAATAATGCTATTTCCGTAAAAGAAATACTAAAAAATTCTGTAAAGAGAGAGAGATATTGTGTAATAAAATATGATAAATGATATTGTATAGCATAGTAATGACGTGTACATACATATGTATAATCACAGCAGACTCAAAGAAACAAATAAATTAATATAATATTAATTAATATTATTAATAATTATTAATATTATTATTAATTATTATCATAATATTAATTAATATTTATTTATTTTTATATTAATTTCTTTAAGCTATGTGCACGCACACACACACGCACACACACACACTCACTCACACACTCACACACGTGTGTGTGTGTAAAGTTTATACATATACTGAAAAATTAGCATACCATCGCGTCATGCATTTTTAATCTTATTTACCGTATAAAAAGTATTTTAATTACAATACAATAAGAAACATTGCGAGTACATTTGTTGAATTATGTATATATAAACCTTTACGGTATATGTATTATACTATAGACTACTTATATCAGTACAGGCTACACCTACAAGGAGAATGTAGATAGAGACATGTATAGAGATATAGACAATTCTAAATAGGTAGAAACAGGCTTTTACATTTATTGAAAAAAAAGTAAAAGAGAGAGATACTGTGTGTTTACGTCTATCTGCTCGATTACACTTGCAAATGTGTATTCGGAGCGCAAGTTTACTAACTGGTACTGATGTAGAGCTCTTGGAGCTGCAAAAACAAATGCGTGGCTTCTAGTGACATTTTTACGACATTTTTACGTTGAACTTTACAATCGCATTCATTATTATAAGTGTTGGCGGAGCCGAATTTTTACAATTGTCATTAATATCGTTTCGGGATATTTTAAAGCGACATCCCATACGATGAATTCATCGTTTCGCCGCGAGAAAATTTGTTTTCTAATTACATTTAACGATATACATACATAATAATGTCATTTGTTTGTTCAATTATTACTCTATCAAGAGTAATAATTTTCTCTTCGTTTTTTTTTTCATTTAGAATCACTAATGATTATATTCAGCTACGAAGGCATTATACATCCGTCTTTCTTTGAAAACGCGAAATCATCAATGACGATCGGAGGCGAATCGTTCACAAAGCGATCGCGTCCAAGAGACCACACATCGAACCATCGCAATGGCAGTAATCACGCACTTTGAATGATAACGCGATATTAATCGACAAATCAATTAGCCGCTATCACAGTGGCAGGACCGGTTGCCGCCGCCGCCGATGACGATGATGCCGACGACGATGACTTCTTCTTCAACACGATATCCTTGATATTGAGATTGACCTTCTCCTTGTGCGGCGGTGGCACGGATTGTTGGCAGAACCTCTTGAAGTCCTCCAATTCACGCTCAAAGTCGTCCATGTCCCCGTCTATATCTTTGGGCGTGAATACGCTCTCTGTAAAAGATACGTTCTAAATACTGGATAACACTGACAGTTCGCCTGAGAGCGTAGCAATGAGTGCCACAAAATCTGCCGTGCATTTTTCTTTTTTCTTTCTTTTATTTACTGTATGAGTATGGATAGAAAAGTAATAGAGAGAGAGAGAGAGAAACGAGAGAAAAAAAAGAGAGAATTATATCAATTTATATGCTATATATCATTCAAATAAGGATCAAGATACACGCGTGATCTTTTTGAAATGCGGAATATAATAATAATAATAATAATAATAATAATAATAATAATAATAATAATAATAAAATAATAATACGCATGTTAACATTCAAATTCTCGATGTGAATAATCTGCATAAACAGCCATTATTATACAGTATCGTCATATATCACTACAAAAAATAGTTGTTAATAGCATTTTTCTGAGTTTCTAATAATCAATTTGTTATTTCTTGGAAAAAATTAAATAACATTTTTTTTAAATACTTATGGGAGTAAGATTTATTTATGGTCTCTAAACTTATTACAGTTTATCATAGCAATTTTTGTCGAATGAAGAAAAGGAAAGAAAAAAAAAACCAAGAATTATTATATCCTTACTCATGCAGTATTTCGGGAAACTTCATTCCGACAAAGGGGAAAAGAGAGTATAACATTGAAAAAAGTAACTTACTTTTTTATTTAATATTAGCAGATTAAAAAATATATCTATAGTATCACACTCGCGTTTTACTATCACAATTAAATTATACCTACATAATGTATTTGTCATTGTCATGATCAATGTAAATCTAATATTTTGTTTACTTATTCTTTTCAATCAATTGTAATGTTTAAGATAATTCGATATTATACGTGTAAAGTTAAGATTGGTTTTAGAATCCTCCTCTTTGTATTACCAGATGTTCTATTCGTCCTAGTGTACTTGCATAGGATTTATCAAGATGACACTGCCTTGCTTATCCGTTTAAAAGAAATGCAGATCGAAAGAATTCGCGTATTTATAAATTTGGGGATTATTATTAGCTATATTCGCTTTCAAATCAATTCGTTTGTGGTAAGAAGAAAAAGAAAAAATGATTTTAGTCAGAAGAAACAAATCTTAAGTAAGACAAATGAAAAAAAAATGGAAAAAAATAGTGCTCCCTGACCATTTGTATCTTACGATATCTCCAAGAAAACTTGTAAAGACTAAAAGAATTCTCAAAAATATTTTTCTTTTTCAACTTCTCTCTATTTTTCTCTTTTTCTCTCATCTTCTTTTTCTATCCGATATTCGAAAAGTTTTTAATCTAGGAGATGAAGTGTCCTAAATGCAGTGCAGTGTCTTCTTGACTATATAGAAGGAAAAAAAGAAATTGTCAGTATGATAAATCTAGCAACGTCCAAGAAATGTATATCTGGATAATTACTGTTATGAAAAAAAAAAAAAAAGAAAAAGAAATCTAATTGCTGAAAGCATGTGAGAAACAACCCGAGGATGTATAATATGCTCACATATCGTGTATATGTTAAAGAGAAAACAAACAAAATGAAAGAAGCAAATTTACATGTTAAAGTCTGATTATTGTTGTTTCTCACCAACGAGGTTCCAGTCATCTCCGCATTGTCTCGTGCCATTTCCGCGTTTTTTCTTTTTCTTGCTCTTGCCGCCGCCGTTGGCGCTTATCACCGCCTCCTTCACCGCGGTATTATTCGCCGATGCTTGCCGCGCATCCTCCATGCTCGTCGTCTCGGGTCTCACCTTTGTCAGAGTGACGCTAGTACCCTTGAGGTTGATGCCGTTCTCCGGTATCGGTTGGCCATTCGTCACCTTGCTGATTTGTATGTTGGCGAGCCCGGACAAGGATGAGGCGCAGTCTATTGGTTGCGCGGTCAATCGGCTACGCAATTCCGCCAAACTCGACGGAATAACGCCGTTCGCGTGTTTCATGTTCGACGTGTTACAATCAGCTGTCGTCGTTGTCGTCGTCATTCTGCCTGTCGACGACGATGACGATGATAGATCACCCTTGACAATATAATCAGGTTTGGGCGGTGATGTCAGACCAGCGTTGATAGCCTGCTGCAAGGCTGGACTTCGGATCGTCACCATGCCATTCTCCGACACCTTGATGATGGCCGCCTGTTGCGTCGGCGGTACTTTCATTGGTCCGAACGACGGATTCTTGATGGTCACCATGTTCGTGCCGGGATTGTGCAATATTCTCGCAGGTTCATCTATCACATGATCGTTCACGAATGTATCGCTGTTTTGCACCGGTGGTGATGTAGACGCCGTGCTTCCCGAATTGGCCGAATTCTTGTTTTTCTTTTTCTTTTTCTTGCTGGTACTTTGAGACTGAGAATCCTTGGACGAGTCTATATGGGAAAATATTCAAAAATCTTTTGTACATGAATTATAATAATAAAATAACAATTTAAAAGAAGATATATATAGAAGATATATATATATATAAACTGTACATTGAAAGATGTTTAGAGAAATATTATTTTATAAAATTTTTGAAGACAATGACAATTGATAATTTTAATAACTCTTTTTAATTTTGTTTGAAATTTATTCATTGTTAATAGAGCGATTATAACTGGATTATAATTATTTACAAGATAAAATAAAAACTTTAACTTTAGAATTATATCGTATAAAATATTTTCTTTTTATATATATTATAATCTTGTATATAATATATATTATTATTCCGATATATATTTGCAATTATAATTTCTGCTTACCTTTCTCATTGGCTTTCGGCAGCAAGTCTTGCTTAAGCTTGCCCGTGTCTACTACAATGACGTTTCCTCCAGCTTGTGGATTCGCATAGCTCGATTGAACACCGCTCATTGGCGTGGCAATAATAGTGGTTTGTTTGGGCGGACTCACTGGTTTCGGCAAAGGAGCCGTTTTGATCGGTAGTGGTTTTGGCGGCGCGTCGACCTTTGTGATCGTAATGCCCGGCGGTAACTTGAGATTCTCAATATTAATCTTGGAATTCGGCCCAATGTCTTTAAACTGGCTACTGAGAGACGGCGAGCCTACCCGTTCATTACATGTATTTTGGACCTCTGTAGGCACACGTTGTTGCTTATTTGCGGTAGTTGAATTCGTTTTATTTACATTCTTTTGAGGTTCGCTTTTATTTGTTACATTCCTATTGTTGGCGTTGTTACTATTAATATTTTTATTGCTCTTATTGGCGTTAGATTGTACATTCTTGTCTTGTTGTTGGTGTTGTTTCTTTATTTTCTTATTAATTGTAGATTCATTTGTTATATTCTGATTCTGCTGTTGCTGTTTCTGCGACACTGGCGTTTGAGGAGGTGTATTCGTTTTAATCTGCTTCTTATTAGTCGCGTTTTGTTGATTCTTATTCTTATTCACCGTGTTTTGCTGTTGCAGCACGTTTTCCTTATTCTCTATATTTCTTTTATCCTTCTTCGATTTAGAATTTTTAGCTTCAACATTTTGTTGTTGAACTTTTTTCTCATCTATTTGTTTGCCAATTTTCGATTTGTCATTATTTGCTTGTTGCTTCAAATTCTTACTGTCGCATGCCTTAGATGGAGTTTGTGATGACTTCGGATTATTCTGTTGCTGCAACTTATTTCCTTGTTGTAGGGAATTATTATTATTATTATTATTATTCGTTTTGGCTTTCTTCTTCTTTCCATTATTACTTTGGTTTTGTTCTTGTTCCATCTTGTGAGGAGGCTCTTTAGTTTGTCCATTTACTAATGTAAATAAAACTTTATCCTCAGCCGGAGTCTGACCTTTCAGAGTGATCGTGACTGTAGGTTCAGCGCTATTCGAATTTATTTCCCTTCTAATAGTAACTATTTGCGGTTGAGATTCCGTTTGTGTCACATTCTCAGTTTCCTTCATCTTTGCTTCTTCCAATTTCTTCATTTCTTTTTTCAATTTCTTTCTTTCTTTCTTTGTCAATTTCTTGTCAACTAAGTCAATATCGGATAACTTATCTGTACTATTACTCGAATTATTGTTCTTCGTACATGTGGTATTAATATTCGCTAATGATTTGTTAGCTTTATTGCTTTCGATTTTATCATTTTTCACGTTATTTTTACTGGCTTGATTAGAATTCGTATTTCGTACTTCGCATTTTTCAGTGCTATTAATACTCTTATTTTTCGCATTTGAATTCGCAGACGCCGTTTTTGTCTTGTTATTTAAATTAATAATACTATTATTACTGCTGCTATTATTATTATTGCTACAAACTTCCTGTTTATCCTTTTTTCTATTGTTTAACTGCTTCATCAAACCTAGAGATATGGATGACGATGTCGGTAAAATAGAAACTTCTGGTAAATTACATTGAGGTAATGATCTTTGAGGTACAGGCTTTTGAGGATCGACAACAGTGATCGTAACCTCTGGTGTCTTTTTCTGCAATTCAATTAATTTCTGTCTTTCTGTTTCTTGCCTATCTTTCTTTAACTTTTCCTCAAGCTATCAAAAAAATAATATTAATTAACGTCCTACATCAAAGAAATTATATAGTAATATTTAAAAAAAGTATAAGAACTATATAGTAATAGTAAAAAAAACTATATAGTATACTCATACATGTAGTACAACATAATTTATATTTTACCTTTCGTTGTTTCTGTCTTGCTTTCTTCTCGGCTTTCTTGTTATTGTCTTTTTTCCCGCTTTGATTACCTTCGATAAATTCTAACAATTCTTCTAAATCTCGCTGATCTCGTTGATCATGCTGGATCGTAGAAGTCGTCGAAATTGGAGTATTCGATCTAAGAACCGAACTCGTCAGGTTTTTGGATTCGAAATTGATATTGGAAATTGACGATTCCGATGGACTTTTTGGTGGACTACAGCCAGCTGCTACACCTTTGCACTTTTTCGCTTTCTTTTTTGTCAAGAGTTGTCGCAATCGTTCTCGCATTTCCTTATAATTTCGACTTACTGGTGCAACTGCCGGCTATAAAAAATGACATAGTTATATCCCATATAGCTATGTCCAAAAGATATTAACAGGACATCCTGAAGATGTCTAATCGTCCAAAGATCTTCTGGATATATTCTGGACATCTTTTGGATATGCACGCTATGTGGGTATATAATCTTCTTAAGAATTTCTATTATAATCTCAAATCGAATATATACTTACATAACTTTCTTTTTTTTTGTTTAAATAAAAAATTGTATTGAGATATATAGACTTACCATCCCATGGCCAAAGACTTCACAGTAGCAACAATCACAATGTCTCATATTGGTATCCCTTTGTGCAGAACTACTAGTGGAACACGAGTCCTCCTGACTGCTCCCTGAATCCGAACAGTCTCCATCTCCGGAACTCACTAAAATGCCAGATTAATATATAATGAAGTGCGCAAATGATCGGCACAATTTTGAGAGAAAATATATATTATATACATATACTAACAATCATTACACGACACTCTCTTGATGTGCTCGACATTGGCTTGCTTGTGACATGCGTGCGGTGTATGATTGAGTGAATGAAGTCTGGGGTGAGATGGACCCATCAGATTTTTCGTCAAATCTGGTAGTGGCCCATGAGCATGCGGATTACCTATTTTTGTATAAAAAAAAAAAGATGTGTAAATAGCATAAATAGATAAAGCATGCATAAATAGAAAAAGGATAACGACATAAAGAATAAATGTAATAAATTAATAAGATTAATAAGGCTCTGAATATGAAATACATAAATTCAAATATCGGGGGCTAATATAAGCAGATAGTCATGTATCAGTTGTAAAGAAAAATTAATTTTCTGTGAAACAGATGCACAACCATCCGTGTTTGGCTCTTATTAACTCGTGATATTTAAAAATGTAATAAAGTTGGAACAAAAAGAGCAATATATGACAAGGAATATAATATGTAAATACGACTTACTACTCACACTTACCATGATGAATATTATGATTGTGAGTCGCGTTTGGCGTTTGTGTCATAGAATGCCTCGTTTGAGTCTGGGCGGATTGCGTGGAACCAGTCTTTACAGCGGGTTTTTGGCTTGGTTCTGGATTAACCTTTGTGACAGAAGTCGGCGATGTTGCTTTAGGACGACCGTTTGTTACGGGTGTTTCGGGTATAGCTGCTTTTGAAGTTGTATATTAATCAGAATTTCATTGTGGTTGGTTAAGCTAAATCATAATAAAAATACAAAAAAATTTTCTCATATTTACATGTAGGCAAGCAAGGACACATATCCCATTTGCGCCTCGAATTCAACAGACAAGGACAAGGTGGATTTTCCAGAATCTCCTTTTTTCTTTCCGCTATTTCTCGCGCGTGTTGATAAACACATGAACAAGGTTCTAATTCAGATGTCTTTGATATGGTATCTTTGCGTAGAGCACTAGGTGTAACCGATTCTTTCTTCTTCTTATCCTCATCATTTGAGTTGTCTAATTTCTTCTTAATTTGTGTTGTTGTACAATTCACGGATTCATCTAAAAACATGTTTATCCTTTCTTTATTAGAATTTTTCTACTTGTTATTAACTCATTTTAATCACTTACCCATAAATCCATTACTGGATAAGAATGAATTTGTATCATTTTTCTCAACGTTTTCGACTTTATGTTGTGTACTCTACAAGAAAAATATATCATTAATGATGAATATAAATTATTTTTGAAGGAAATTTTAATTTATTACAGATATAAAAAATGTTAAAGTTATGTAATTATATTATTATATTATATTATATAATTATATAATTATATTAATTTTTCAATATATTGTCCAATTATGACTAAAATATGTCATTTTTACTTTAATATATGTATCTGAAAATTGAATATTAAAAAGTTTAAAAGAACATTACTTTTTCACTAAAATAATATATATTTTATACATAATAAAATTTTTATTCTTTTTGAAGGTGAGACACTGGCTGTAAATACTTTTATAAAGCTTAAAATGTAATCTCTTTACCACATGGCCTACTCTTATTTCATTGCACGTATGACATTCGCATTTTTTCCCATTCTCAAATCCATTCTCATTATCACTATCATCACTGTGACTCCTAAGACAAGTTAAAATCATTATTGTATTATAAAAGTAAATAAAAATTTAATATATGATTTTTCAAATAACACACTAAAATAAAATATACCTGACTGATCTGATAGCATATTGCGCCAATCGGCATGTTGCACGCGCATAATCGTAACAGATGGAATCAGCTGGTCCAACAGCGTCCATTTCAGTAGCAGTCAATGCCTCAGCTATGTCTGCCAATTTTTGATGCTGGGCCTTGTTCCAATCATCTAACAATATTTGAACTATCTCTATACTCGATGGTATAGCTATTGAATCCGAATTAAGGTCTAATAGTGGACTTAAAGGTCGACTATCATTTCCAGATGTATGTGCAATGAGCGAAGAAAACTGCCCATGAATTTCTCGCATATCACTGAAATAATTATCATAATAAAAATTAGAACAAATTTTTCTATCAAGTTATTTTATCAAGATTTTTTTATATATGTATATCTTACTTTCCAATATCCGGTGTCTTGCTTAACATGCTGTGTTCCATAAGCTTACGTGTTGTTGTGAACAATTCCCAAGCTTCTCTAATTTGTCTAAGTCTTGTCATACGAACTGCTTGTTCTGCACTGAAACATACTTTGCTTATACAATCCTTTTTCACAATTTTCCATAATTCAATTCCATCGAATTATTCCGAATAATTGTGTAGGCAAATAATCTTTTAACTTACTTATATTTATCCATCCACGGTTCGGTCTCGGGCCATAAATTACCAATTCTCGTCATCTCGTCATCAAAAAATAAATATCTATGAACAAGATCTTGGTATTCGGAACCTTTCAATGGTAGAAGTTTCCTCAGCTGCAAATATGATGTATACACTTGAATTTTGCACATCATAGATTGTTTTCAATAAAATATATTATCTTACCTGTCCAATAAACGTAGGTAAATTATTTTGCACCAAAGCATCATTATATACATAAATTTGATATAACTTTTTAATAAAACAGTCCCATGTCAAATTAAATTTGAAGAGGTATTCTTTTAATGGTTTTACTAACTCAGAAATCAAAATTGCTGTCGCTACAAGAGCATCATAGTCATCCAAGAGACCTACATTATGAGAGAGTTATAGATTTTATATATCTATCTTTATATATATTTTTTATAAAATAAAATTTTTATTTACTTGGAAAGTTGTACTAACCAGTAAGAAAAATTTCTGCTAAATTGTTTACACTATGATCGTGTAGAAGAACAAACAAACGAACTTTTACTTCTATCACAAATTCTTGCGCCTGGCTTACTAACCTCATGAATAGTTGGTGAGGATCTCTTTTGCATAATCTTTAGCAGAAAAGAAAAAATCATAATATTATATAATCAAATCAATGATAATGATGCAAAGTGATATTTTAAATAAATGAGTCTCTTACTGAATAACAGTATCGTGCATGTCAATTGGAGGTAGTCTGCTGCACTGAGACTGTGAAGAGTCGGACACACGAGCCGTTTCCAGAGCGATGTTAAATACAGCATGTATATATTGCTGCAATTCAGTCCATAGGTTCTGGAACTTCATAGCCTTTTGTAGCTCCTCCCTAAACATATCTCTATATATAACAAATTAAATTCTAATTAATATATCTTGGTTTTTTCTCTTTGAGACTTGTAATTGTTGCCTTTATCCTTACCGTTTAGCTTTATAAGAATCACAAGAGCAGGACTCTTTCCCATGATGGGATGAGCTATCGACAGTTGCTGCAGAGGAGTACAATTTGGCAAGCGCGTCAGTGTTTACTCTAGATGAATTACGCCGATCTTCTTCAGCCGCTCTCGCACCCCTGATAAACGCGTCTATCACACCCTGATCCGTTGTTCTGAATGCGTCTCTATGCATACAAAATATTTCTAATTAATATTGCATTTCTATTTTTTAAGCTTGAGAGATACATAATTATTGTCCTTACTGTTTAGCTTTATAAGAATTACAAGAGCAAGATTCTTTCCCATAATGTGATGAACTATCTACAGCTGCTGCAGAGGAGTACATTTTAGTGAGTGTGTCAGTGTTCATTCTAGGCGAATTACGTCGATCTTCTTCAGACACTCTCACTTTCTTAATAACTGCGTCGATTAAGCTTTGATCACCCGTATCATACTATAAGAATCAAAATATTTATTTTAATAAGTTCATCTATATGTTATATTGAATGTATTAAATTTGCATTCATTAATATATAGAGCTGACACAAGAGTTAATTGTTTAATTTAAGGAATTGCTCTTTGTTTCTAATAACATGAATTTTGCAGATTAGTAGTTTTTTTAACTTGAAGACTATTGAATAAATTGAGTCTATAAGTCATTTGAAAATAATATCATAATAGTTATATAAAATTTTTATCACTTAAAAAAAATAACTTTAGTTAAACTTATCGCTATAAGTGTCATTCATCTTTTATCCCTCTTCAATTATTCCTGAGGCACTTAAATCTTATCTAATATAACAAATAATAATATAGTAGAGTCTGTCATGTTATTTTCAAAATAGTCATACAATGTGATAAATAGCTCCATATACATCTCTACAATACAAATAAATATAATCGCGTGTTTTAAAAGAAAAACACTATAATAGTATCTATTAGTACAAGATTCATAATCTCGTTATAAATTTTCACAGTATAATATAGGTAAATTATTATAGACATTATGTTTAATCTAGAATTGAACTCCTAGCTTATAGAGAATTAACAGCGATTTAGAAGAATCAATTTGCTCCTTTTTACAGAATTGCAGAAATCTCATGCCACAGAGAAAACCCTTTTCAACCCTTCATTGCAGTGATTATTTCATTATAATTTGAAACGATCAGCCGCGTCGTCGATGAGCAACAGACGAAAAAAACGTACTTTGGCGAGGTCGAGGTCTTTGACGCGCGTTTTCCCGGGAAACACGCGCGTTTTCTCGGCTTCGTGGTCGTTGGTGTCGCAGAGCGTCCGCGCGGTATCATCCCGTCTCCCGTCATCGTGCTTGCGGCGGTTGACGGAGCGCGGGAAACGCGCGTCGTCGACGCGTTGCTTCACCGCTGTTGCCGCCAACGCACCGTCGTCGTCCATCACAACCGTGTCCTTTTCCCCGGTGACGGTGGCGGTAGCGGTGATGCTGGTGATGATGGTATTCCTCTCGCGTCGACCCTCTTCGCCGTCGCTACCACTCATGTCAGCACTAAGCGTCAAATATCATACACGTGTCACCGTTCGCGCCGCTAGGTAACAATTGTAGGATCGACGATTTGCAGTCACGGTTTTTGCCACGGAACCGTGTAAACACCTACTAGGCCGCGCATTCGATCACACTCGCAACCTCCTCTCTCTCAACACCTCAATATGGCGTCTCGCGTAATCGTTCCGTCCGACCACGGCTCGACGCAGTTGGCGTAACTGCAGCTGGCTATAAAATCGCGTCGTCGATCAGCAAAGCCGGTTGGTGGTAAGTCTGTTCTTTTTAGCTACACCCGGAGAGTTACGTTCCGAAACTTACTCCTTGGTGTAGAATAATTGACCAATCAGAAAAGAGAGATTTTTCGTTTCTATTGGCCGTATTCAGCGGACTCAACAGTTGGGCAACATTACTAGATTTTCCGATGTAATTCCTCGCTGATTGGTCGGATCTGAAAATAGGAACCAATCATGTTCGAATGCTACTTAGCGGTTGAGTCCATTGAATGCGGCGACTGGTATAAAAGGGTGACACCCGATTGATCACGTCGCCAATTGGCCAATTCAAAATAGGACTCTCTGATTGGTCAATCGTTGCTGATTACCCTAGGCACAGGTCGATATAATTGGCTGTGGTCAATCGCGACGTGGTCAAACGAGGCACTCCCGGTATAAAATATACATGTCTCTTTCTAGCTTCAATTTTCTATAGGATAATGTAGGGAAAACCATAGACGTATATAACTAGACTGCGCATGCTGTGCTAGTCATTGAAGCAAACATTTAAAAAGAGAAAGCAATATCGGAGGATCTCTGTCTCACTCTAAATCACACCGTGGAGGGGGAAGTGAACTCTTTTCCCCTCAAGACTTTTCCCCTGCAACTCTCATTCTGCTTCCCCCACTTTTCTTACTGTGCGAGAGAGAAAGAGATCCTCCGAGCCATTTTCTATCTCACTTCATTGCTTCAACGGCCAGCATAGCATGCGCAGTCTATGTATATATGTCTATGGGGAAAACTCGCTCCAATATATTCCAATATAGAGCTCAATTGCTAGGTTAGGTTAGGTTAGGATAATTCTTCCATCTGACATTACTGTTTGTACTCAATTAAACGCGAAGGTACAAATGACGCCGAGTACATAATGGTGATGGTGTATATAAATTACGTTTATATTCGCAGGTGAAGAGTACGAGAGCGCGGTGAGTCGACATTGGCGAGATCAGTCGGGATATTATTTATGCATTATCATTTTATATAATAATGAAAATCAGTCATGAAGACGAGATGATAGCGAGGCAAGGTCTGATGGCAGAGTGCAACTTGTGGTAGTTTAGAAAGACTCGTTTGTGTTTTTGACAGTTATCAGCTGGGACCTGATCGTTGGCAAGAATGTTCAAGTATATCTGGACTCTGGTATACTGGTACTTTAGGCCTTTTGTAAAATGGTTTCTACGTCATACCACGCAAATGTGCGAACTCCAGAGAATTTGTTACGGGCAGCCGTCCGGGGCGCCGCGTGCATTTGCCATCGAAGAGTCCCTGAAGCAGTCGCGTAACGCGAATATTAGGACTCTTGTTGCATATCTGAATGACATCGCCGATCAACGAAGAATAACCACGAAAACGGAACGTAAGATCCTGGAGGATGCTATCAAGACTGTGCTAGTGACCAAGAACATCAATCCCACTGCGCATCCAACCTTCGCCAAATCTTTTGGCAAGTGTGTGGAGTTGATCTGGGGTTATCGTCAGCTGTGCGTCGAATGCGAGGAGCTCAGGAAGACTTCGTACAGCCCGGAGAATCCGGATCATGAACAGTTGCTGCTAAAATTATGGAGTCTATTAATGCCATATGAATCTCTGGAGGCGAGAGTGACTAAACAATGGCAAAAGATTGGCTTTCAAGGAGATGATCCAAAGACGGATTTTCGAGGGATGGGGATCTTGGGATTGGAGAATCTCGTTTACTTTGCTCAAGAATATCCCAGCACAGCCACACATGTGTTGTCTCATTCTAATCATCCACGTTACGGTTACGCATTTGCTATTGTTGGTATAAATCTCACGAGCATGGCTCTTAAATTATTAAGAGATGGTAGCGCTAAGACTCATATATATAATTCTTCGAAAACCCTGCCGATGATTCGTGCCTTTCATCAATTTTACTGTTATTTATTTTATCAATTTGATGGATTTTGGATTGAGTCTAAGCCTAGTAATATGATGGAATTCTCGTCAATACAAGAGAAATTCGAAAATAGCATCAGAATGGCATTAGCTAACCCATCAACTGTTTTTAGGATAAATGTGGCAGTTGACAATATTTAATGCAAATACAAATGCCTTTTACATGTAAGACAAGACCAAAACAGGTACATGAATGATAAGTACAATTTTTTTTGGCTAGCATATATGAAATTTATTTTTTATTATATATCTTCACAATATCTCAGCTTTGTTGTGATATTAAAATGGCATTTAAGTGAATAGATAGATTTCTGTATTATAAATCTCTTTCCCTTTATTAGTATAATTAGTATAATCGAGTTAAAACGTCTTGATGTCATATGTGTTTTCTTCTAATTGTATTTTTTGCAAATAATTACAGATTTACTTTTTTCCTCAAATTTATGTAATTTTATACATAGATGTATAAGAAAGAGTTTTTATTTGTGAAAACAAATAGTAGATTCCAACACTTCTGTTTAATTTAACTGCATATCATAGATTAGAGACTATATATATAAACATAGTTTATATTGATTTAAATAATTTTTGTTAAAATTAAATTCAACATATGTATATTTATATTAATTATATGTATATTTATATTAATTTTTTAATTGGTGGTTGCATCATGTAATATTGAAGCTTAAGCTTTGGCCTTGATATCAAGAAGTTCCATGTACATATATATAGAATTATGTGCTGTGAATATATATATATATATATATATATATATATATATATATATATATATATATATATCATTTCTCGAACTAAAAATACTTTTCGTTTATTTTAATATTTATTATTTTTTTAAATAATCATGTCAATTAAAATAATTGAAAATCTGTTAAATAATCTCTTTATGTGCCATTAATGCATACATATATTTATTTTAAATATTTGTTTTTTTATTTTTATCTCTTATTCACACATAAATAAATATTTGTTAAATATATTTGAAAATTAAATTGTAGAGAAAAATTTTGCAGAAATATTAGCTTTAAAGCCGAAAATAGAGACTTGCCACTAAATATCTTGATAATTTTGTGGGCATTATCAACATGTGCCTCATATTTTATTCGCTAATAATCCGAAGCATATTTATATTCAGAGTATTATATATATATATATCTAAAGAAAACATATTGAACTAAACAGATCATTATAAAAGAAACGATGTCGATTTATATGCATTTAATTATTAGATTTTACAAATCTAATAATTAAATGCATATAAAACATATACATGCATCAGGCAATGTAACATGTAACGTTTAAAGAAAATATAATCTTTTGGATAATTTTGAGAGGGCAAACGGTTGTCAAATATTTTGATATAAAAGTGTCTTCTTATAAAATACAACTTATTTATTAATGTTACATAAGAAATTGAATTTGGTTAAATTGTTTATATTTAAATTTAAAGGCTAAAATCTTATTGACATCAGATTCCATACATCAAATATATTTCTGTAAAAAATTTATACATATAACACATTGCACTTGCTAGTATTACAATTTTATGTTTTTTTCGTATTGATCTTCTTAATGAAATATAATTATTTACAAATTTTGCTCATACAAGAAACTGAATAAAAAGTAACAATAATATCTGAAGTGTAGAAGTATATATCATATAAACAAATGATGGAATGTAATTGTGTGTAATAGCTTGACAATAAAAATTTTTCTTGACAAAGCAGATAATTTATGCATTATTAAGTAACTTTTTAATACTGCTTTGTCTTTTTGTCTTTTTTTTGCTATATACATATTCAATACTATTTAATATGTATTTGCTTGAATATAGTTTGAGTAAAAAATATATCTATTTTCTTGTGCTAGAATTAGTACAAATATTTGTACATTAGATTGTTATACACATTGTTATTCGTTTTTCATTATTAATCAATAATATTTAGAGAAATGTTAAATGTGTACTTAATTTTATATTAATATAATATTAATTAATATTATAATATTATATTATTATTTATAATATATTAATTAATATAATTAATATAATTAATATAATATTAATTATATGTATTTTAAGATAAAATTATAAGTATATTTAGATAAAATAATTGAATTTCTCAATTATTTTGATCAAATTTCTTGCAATTTAGAAACAAACTCTTGTAGAAATTTGTAAAAATATACATATTATTAAATTTAAAATTATACATATTTTATTATGTAATATTTGTAATAACATCTAATGTACAATCAAAAACTATTTTTAAAGTTCTAGATGATAGTTGGAAATAGAGAAATATCCATATTACATCTTTGGCAAATCAAATTCAGTAGATTTATTTTTCCTTTTTCTGTGGAGTTTCAGGTTTATGTTTAAATTTAGACACTGCTGTAATAACAACTAGTATTCCAATACAAATGCTGGTTAATTTCAGTATCCACGGATTATCATGAAGCAAATTTGCAATCATTTGTGTAAAATTATCGCTGAAAAAATATACAAAATCATACACATTAATGTATAAACTTATGATATTATAATAAGTTATAAATCTTAAAATAGCCGCACATATATCTTCAAACTTACAAGGGACTTTGAGGTACAGGTACTTTCTCTGCTCTTACATTTTTGTACCATTCTTTGGCAAATGATACAAGGGAATTAATATCATATCTTCCTGTATCATAACGATACATTTTGCCATGTCTGAAGCTGTATAAATTAATATGTGTTAATATCAGGGTATTTCTTTTAATTTTGCTTCTATCTCTTTTACACACATGTTCACAAATGCTCACATATATATTTATAATATCACAAATATTATTTATAACATACTGATTTTTATATCTAAACTTACAATATAAATTGCGGAGTATCGTAAACATTGAATCTCCTGGCTGTGGAAACCCCAGTTGTGGATTTATTAATAAGTGCTACATTTACTCTCTGCTTGAGCTTTGCACCGACTGTTTCCCATCTTGCGACCATACGCAAGCATTGCACACAGTCTGTACTGTAACTGATATTGGATACAATTATAATGGATTGTCATTATTTATAAGAGAATTATTAAATCACAAGTAGAATTAAGACTTACAACATAACAAACCAATCACCAGTTGTAGCACCGCTACTTGCTTGTGTTAAATGCTCAAATGTATCATCTGTAAGTTCCTTTACTGCAGGTACTTTATTTTCCGTGAACATATTTAAAATTTCTTCATCGTTTAAAGGTCCTAGAAAAGCAAAATATAATATAAATCCATAGTACAACTATAAATTTATAAGCACACATTTAAAATAGAAATATATTTAGTGATATCAATGTATATCAAATGATGGAACAATGTATTGTCATGAAACAATTAAAAATAATCAAAATATGTTATATGTATAATTTATTCCTTGTCAAATCCATACCATCATACAGTAGAGGAAGCCCATGTCGGAAAAACAATATGACTGGTTCTTTATCAGTACTATACAATTGAAGTAATTGACTATCCACAGCTTTAAAAATCCATGCAGACAAAGAATCAACTAAATCCTCGCGCAATTGAATCAGTTCATTCTCATAGTTTTCACATTTGGGGCAATCTTTTCTTGCTACATGATTAGAAATGAAACCATTAATAATTATATGATATTATATAATAATATAAAGAATAAGAATTACTTTCTGCTATTTTGTATTATTAAAAATTTATTGAAAGAAAAATGAAAACATGAAATTTATGACTAATATGTATCTATAAAAATAGTCAAAATAACATTACATATCTTATTGGGAAATTAATTATTGCAAAATTCTAGAATTATTGCCTAAAATAAACTGTACCAAAATTAAAGAAAGAATAAAATCATTAAAGAATCTCAAATTAATTTTTAATATAAAAAATATATATATGTAAATAATAAATTACATATAATTAATATGTAATATCTCCCAACGTATGTTTATTGATTTATAATATAATTCGCTTTTATTCTTTCGTTCTTCTCTGAAAAATACTCTACATAACTAAAGAAAAAAAAACAAACTTACTAAATAGAACTACCACATATTTTTCAGTCTTTATGAGATTCAGGAGTTCGTCGTCGTGAACTGTCTCCAGATTCGCAGCGTGTACGGTGGAAAAAATACATATCGCGATTAATAGTATTAACATTGTTAATTCGCGTAATAAAAAGATTGATACATGAAAAACGTTCATGCACCGGCAATCTGTGACCACTGTAACCTGTACACGTCAAACTTGGCTCATGAAACAAACGGGAGCGATGTAGAGAGGAAACTCTCACCTGTCATCGTATGACAGTTGGCCATATCGTAAATAAATAACTAGTCCGATATCTAGTTGCTTTTATTTTTCTCGCGTTTGCATGATTGAAATATTTACGTGGCGCAGTTGGTAGCTCTGCGATTCAATTATTAATGTATGCAGCCGGAAATTTATTGTTCTTTTTCGTTCCATACGCGAATCGGTAAGCATTATTTTATATTTAGTCCTCTTATAATATATATTTTAATCATGTCAAGATAAAATTGTGTGTATATAAAAATAAAATTACTTTAGTTTACCTATACATAATTTTATAACAAATTTCTGACAATACAACGCGACTTATTAATATCGTTCGACTTAGTAATATTGTTCAGAGGTTAAATAAAAGTTGATAGAATCGGAAAGATACGCGCGCGCATTTGATACAATAACATATTTACGTTTTGTATATTGATGAATCAATAGTCCACTAAACTGTCGGTACGAAAAAGCATATCAATGATTTGTAGTCAATAGATCTTGATAACTATCTTGCTCGTGTAGAATTTTGTAGATCGCTTGGAATATAAAAATATAAAAAATAGCTTGTCCATAGCAGAGCAATTTTTTATCTTTTCAATATAACATTTTATTTTTATAAGTCATGAAATTTTTTCTTTTTTTGGACTATAATTTAAATGAATAATTATTATCTTAATAATTTATTATTTGAATAATAAATGTACACATGTGCTCAAATAAGTTGCATTTATATATACTGATTCAAGGATTTTTAATTTTTTAAATATTTTATAACTGACTTTTCTGGAGGTATATATATTGCTGATGTGATAAATGCAAGATCAGATAATCCGCTATTCGTTGGAATTTTCATACTATGTTATTTTCGAGTAACGAGATCGATAATGTTATCTCGAGTCATTCATGTAAATATATTACATAATTTGTCTAGAATATCACTACGTTTGATATAAATTCTCAAAATCAGCAAAATACAATATTTCGTAAAAATAGGAATAGAAAAAAAATTTATTTTTAATCAAAGTTTAACCAAAATTTATCAATATATTCATAATTAATTCTGCGCTAAATTTATAAAACGCATTCAAATGTAAAAATGTCCTGGACAATTCAGGCAAGCACATTGTTTATCTATCCTACAACAATCTCGATGATTACAGCTTCGCAACTTCCCTTTACGCATCGAACAACACTTCCGGTAATCCACGAGCATCGCGTCGATTGTTCGGGGGCAATCTGGCGGCTATTACGTTCCTGATTGAAGGTCGGAAGTCGAAGGTTGAAAGGCATATAACGGTATAGATAATACCCGCATACATATACATCACACACACAGGTCATACAGGTACGTGGCTGTTCGTAGCCCGAAAATCGTGCGCCGGTATGTCAGCGAACGCCGGGACGTCGGCGACTACCGCAACCCCCGTGAAACCCCCGACGAAGGCACGGAGGCTTCACGAGGGTCGGCAGTCGCGTGCTCCAGCCGCCGAAGAAGAGAAGCACTGTAGGAACGTAATCGCGGCTCGCGCAAAGTATTTATCAGCTCGCACGATAGCTCTGCATCGTCCTGTCGCGATGACGGCACGCGAGAAATCCTAACGTCGTGAGTACATATACGAGCTTACGAGGTAGACGCACGTGCAAGTACAGAGTACGTCTCTATTTTAGCCGGCTTCAGTTTTACGATGGCAGGACGACGGCATGCCGATCGACCGGTACCACTATAAAAACGAATCGATTCTTTCACGCCGCATTACGGTTCGATTGTTGGTCAGTTTCGCTCGTTATTGACCGTAAGACAAGGTATTGATCGGCTTCTTCGTCGAGTGACACGCATCATATGTATATCGAATCCCGGTTGGCAGCGAAACAAAATCTCTCTCTCTCACGATCCGTCTCTTCCAATTTCGTCTCTTGCGAGCCGATATAAAATTTATACTCGATCGCTACGTGACATTTGGTGACGAATGCTCTCGAATCTCCATTTTGCTTGCCCGATTAAATTTTATTATTGCGCAGCTTGCCGAGTTTAAATTGAATAACAGGACATTTTATTTGAGAAAAAGAACATATTTTGATGCCAATAATGCATACGACCTGAAAAGCCGTTTTATATATCATTTTAGCATTTTCCTTATAGTTCACTTGGTATCTTGCATTTTTTTATCATGTACTTTTTCGCAAGGATACCTATAAACGGAATAGCAAAAAATACACAGCTACAATTATATTTAATTAAATATATATTTAATTAAATATAATGTAGCGATATTGTGTGTGTGTGTGTGTGTGTGTTTTGTAGCAGTGAAGAAAAAAAATGAAATCTAAGTATAGTGTTCTATAAATAAAAACTAGATCAATTTTAAAATAAAAAAGTTGCAATTGTATTAAATTGTATTTAATTAAATACCATTGCAGCTTTTTTATTTTAAAATTTGATCTAGTTTTTATTTATAGAACACAATACTTAGATTTCACTTTTTTTTCTTCACTGCTACAAAATAATATCGCTACATTATAAAAAATAGAAGTCTAAAAACAAAAGGCTGATAAATAATAAAACAAGTCAAAAGGTCGCAAGATCGCTCGTGTGAATCAAGACATTGAATTAACTAGGCATTAACCAGGACACAATACAGAGATTGTGCTGTATTGTCGGTATAATAGTGCTATTTGCAAAGAGAAACAATCCATGTTTTCTCTAAAAATCCTGTAACTTTTTTTTTGTATGGCAATCTCGAATGCAACCAATGGTACTCAGAGGTTCGCATGTACAAGTCGGCTTTACGGTCAATTGTACCACTGAGTGCATTTTCGCTTATTTATGAGTCACGGGAAGTGTTGTAGCGCATCGCGCTTGTGTACGTGAATTTATAGATCACGATCTAAATGCACGGATTACAAAACAAAGCTTTATTATTCTGTTCTACAGTCTAGTAGTCCGTAATACGAGTCTTCCACCCCGATAGATCATTGAAGGTATTAAATTTGGACTATATAATAACATAGTCCAAGTTGAATTTAGCCTGTACATCGTCTACAAATTTTTAAATTTATCTCTCTATTTATATTGATATTTTATTTTAATAATGCAAACTTTTTATTTTATTTAAAATTAATTCCTCTATAGATTTTATAACAGTCTTCTCTCTCTCTCTCTTTCTCTTTATAAATTAATTCATTTATAAAAGCTCTAAAATAAAATTTCTTTTTAATTTATTAATGTTAAATGTTAATACGATTGTAGCTTCAGTAATTATGTAATGGCAAAATGCATCTCTTTTCGAAATATATTGCTTTAATAACATGATGACTTTTATTGATAATTTTTCAATATTGAAATAAACTTTTCGTACAAATCATGCATAAATTTTCCAATAGCAAATCGAGATTGCTCTTTTTTATTATTATTTGTACGACAGTTTAGAAACAAATAATTGCTAATTCAACAATCTAAATTATTAATTATAAATTGGTTCGTTTAATAAAAACATGAATATTATAAGTCACACAGTAAATTTTGCGACTTTTGACATTTTGATAATTTTATTTTTACGTACGTTTTGTTGTATAATTTATATATTCAATTCTAATTAAAATATAATTATACGATCTAAACACTCATTCGGCATATTAAATAATTTGACATTCTACAGTTGAAAAATAGTACCTCATTTAAGAAATGCAAGCAAAATAAGGAAATACGTTTTATGGTTATTACGGTTAGATATCAATCTGATGTGCACGATGAAGCAATAAAATATACAATAAAAGTTATATAACGGTTGTATTCGTGTGACAGATAAAAGTGATTTATCAAACGCGATCTGAATATAAAGTTCAGTGAATGTTATTTATAACAGTCGAATTCAATAAGCTTGTGTTTTCAATTGCATATTCTGCATCTTCTTTTTTACTCTTTTCCCTTTAAATAATAAAAGTTTTAATATATATATATATATATATATATATATATATATTAAATCTTGTGTTTTTTTAATATTCTTTTTTATTCATCAATATGCCGAAAAATTATACTATATATATATATATATATATATATATATAGTATAATTTTGCAGCATATACGTGAATAAAAAAGAATATTTAAAAAACACAAGATTTAATACAACTCATAATTTAAATCTCGGTATTCTAATCTGTTATTAAATTTATTTCTTGCTTCTTTCTATGATTATATTTATGTGCCGCTTTGCAACAAAATACATGAAATTAAATCATAAGTTCAGGATAAACGGACAAAGCACGAGGCAGACAAAACGGAGTTGGAGGTGAGTTCGCGATTTGTTTCTATATCGGGAAACGATATATAAAACCGAATGTCTCGCGATTACAACATCGGTGTCCCAGCATTGGCACTTCTATTACATCGTCGACTACGTGCAACGACGGCGTGTCTCTCGAGAGAGAAGAGCAATATCCTGTTAAATCGATAACGAATGATGACAGAACCCACGTGCTGCGGCATGCGACTTGTACCAAGTCGCTGTCGTCCTTATTTTAGCATTCGATATTCAAAGCTGACATGTTTTTAAGGAGTTCGCGTCGAATCGCTATTGTGATCGTACACAGCCACGTCTTTGTTCCATTCTTCTTTTTCTTTTCTCCCGTCAGGCTGGTGGGCACGGTACGTAAATGGCGCAGGAAATTCCTGAGACGACGTACGAGCCGGAAGTCGAAGAGGACGCGAGGAGAAAGCGCGAACGCCGGGTCGTTCAGGAGGGTACGGCGTTGTGGAGGCGACGGAAGGAGGAGCTGCAACGTCAAAAGCATCGTGAACAACGTGAGGTATGTGTCATAAATGGGCGTTCTCTGACTTGGTCACATTGCTGCCGTTTATGTCACTTGCCCTAGAGGCAACCGTACCTTAACATCATTGTCTCGCACTTGCTATTGTTACCGATTGGATAAAGGTCAACCGTGAGAGAGATACGACCCCAATGCGTATTCGCTGAACCGGAACGTCAATTAAGGTAAGGATACCCAGATTTTGAAAATGATTCTTTTACTGGAAAAGCTGAATTATTCAAATTTAATGTTACATTTGATCCCGGAAAGGTTCGTTAAACCCAGAATTTTATTTTTACATCTCAAAGCTTTTATTTCCGATATCAAACGCAATAATAATAAACGACAATTGTAGTTCAGGTATATTTAATTAAAGGCTGGAAACCACACTTTCAAGTGTTGTCAAAAGTAAATAAATGTATATAATGTAGTCAATAATACTTAATAGAAAAGATTACTTTAAAATGATATTTTTAAATGAAAGAGAACATTGAATCATGATAGAATACAGATGATCTTCATGTTTATCCCTGTTATAGAGGTGTTTTGAAGATAGCGCTTTCATTCGACTACGTGACTGACCTAGTTGTGCTTATTTCAGTGTTTTACGCGGCGTGTCGTTGAATTTAGAACGAGAAAACGTGCAAGCAAACAGTAATAAAGCTACGAGTATCCCATTAAAGTGGATTTGCATAATCTCCTGCCTAACTACCCTAAGAAACAAGCCGCAAAAGATAACCCAATAATCTATCACGGTCTCTATCGTTGCGCTTTACATAAACTTCACGCTCTCATCTCCTTGTGCTCGTTATAAACTTGTTATAACAAACATTGTACAATCCGTTAAGATGTGTATTGAGGTCGCGTTTTGATAGAGATTTCTAGAAGTGATTGTGAATATAAATGGTTAATGAAAATAAGATTGACGTTTATCTCGAATTGTTACAAAAATATCTGTACAAACATCGCTAAAATGATTTGAATTGTGCAAATTTTTTTTCATATCATCTCAATGTTAGCCTTGTTAGAGTTCTTTAACAAACACGGAAAACAAATTTTTAAAAATTGTTTTTATAATTTTCTTTTTTAACATAGCTTCACGCCAATTTTATTCGGCATTTAAAATTTCCCTATCCAATCTTCGTTCTCTATTTTACTTTGATATTGACGCAACATAACGATGATGCGCAATCATCACCGCCGGCTGTGGTCCTAAATATTTGCAGAACGCACGCTCGTTACATTCATTATCGTCCTTTGTGAAAATAACAATTCGCATGGAATGTAATGTAAAAATATACAAGATTCAATTCGGCGTAACGCACGTTACACACATGTATTTTATTCACCGCCCCTCAATCACTCAAAATACACGTCGAAATTATGCCGATGAAAATCCCGGCGTAATTATTGCTTCGGTGATTATTTCGTATCGCGTTAATATACACACATCGACCGCATTTAAATTGTATTTACTGCATGTGGATAGGGAGATTTACTGGCGTTACCGGCATGCTAATAATGACAGGCGTGGGATTATTCGCGGTCCTATCCTCTCTTATTACACGGGAATCTGGTGTAGTCGCGGTCTGCTGCAAGTGCATGCGGTCGAATGTAAGTGCGTTAGCAATGTTATCAAGGAGGACCGATATGTTCAGAGCTAATCCCATCTCTACCCGCAGAGTTCACGCTATATAACCACACCAATGCAAGCTTTAAACATTCCCTAATTAGGAAAAGGAGTAAGTTATTTTTTTTAAGAACCATTTGTAGAATGTTATTATATATTAGATCTTGTTAAATATTTCGGACAAAGTCGTACTTTTCTTAATTCCTTTTTATACAGGGTGAATCATAATGGTTGTAACAACCTTTTACCATTAGAAATCAATTATCGACTGCAACTGTAATCAATCGAATAATTCATAGATGACAGCTGCTTGGATCGACCGTGTCTGCAGTAACGTACAAGCGAGTTAAATACTGTGAATCAAATAATATACATATTCTATGCATACTTTTCTAATATATTTAACTCTTTTATGTACATATTTTTCTTTCTACACGGTTTTTTTCTAATAACGCGATTTCTTATTATTGTGAAATGTATCTGCCACATAAAAAGAGATATCTTTTGCATTCGTGTATTTTTTAATACGATTTTTTTTAAATAATGGTATTTTAATACATAGAATTTGACGGCGATTTTTTCCATTCTTACACAAATCATTTTAACGTGTAAAAAGAGTTGGATTGGTAAACGATACAAAAGTATTCTTTTTTTATAAAAAAAAAATGCGTAATTCTACTTTCTACAAGAAATATTCTGCTGTAGATATTAAGAATGTAAAAGTTATAACTTAGAAAATTAATAATAAGCAGAATAATTCTTGTAGAAAGCAGAATTACGCATTTTTTTAATAAAAAAAGAATACTTTTGTATCTTTACCAATCCAACTCTTTTTACGCGTTAAAATGATTTGTGTAAGAATGAAAAAAATCGCCGTCAAATTCTATGTATTAAAAAGTCATTATTTAAAAAAAAATCGTATTAAAAAATACACGAATGCAAAAGATATCTCTTTTTATGTGGCAGATACGTTTCACAATAATAAGAAATCGCGTTATTAGAAAAAAACCGTGTAGAAAGAAAAATATGTACATAAAAAAGTTAAATATATTAGAAAAGTATGCATAGAATATGTATATTATTTAATTCACAGTATTTAACACGCTTGTACGTTACTGCAGACACGGTCGATCCAAGCAGCTATCATCTATGAATCATTCAATTGATTACAGTTGCAGTCGGTAATTGATCTCTAATGGTAAAAGGTTGTTACAACCATTATGATTCACCCTGTATATACAAGTTACGCAATGACCCTGTGTATGAAGTTTCTGAAAATTTTAGTCGAAACTTAAGTGAAAAGAAAAAAAATTATTAGTCGAAACTTAAGTGAAAAGGAATTTGACATTTTATTACGATATTGTTTCTCAGCGATGAAAACTTTAAAAAAAGAATTGGAATCATATGACTCACATGAGAGGGACGGCAGTCTGGATCAGCTGCGGCTGATGTAGCTCAACTTATACGCAACGACTTTATATCCTTAATTTTTTTTCTTGCAGTTGCAGAAAATTCTGGCCAGTTACTCGCCGTGGGGTAAACCAGGTGGCGGCGCGCCCTGCGCGGCGACTTTAAGGAAGAAAAACGTACCTCTGGAGCCGCCTGAGCTGCCGAGATGTCACAGTTACGGTCAGGTAAAACCACTCGGGACAGACTGTTGCGTCTGCAGCCGTTCATTTTTTTTCCCATCTAAACTATCGGCGCATCTTGCTGCGAAAACTTTACCCCATAAAAAGTCCGACCCGGCCGTAAGCGACGATCGCATGCACGTTAGTGAAAACTTTCAGGTTTATTGCTTACGCACGTCGCGCTGATGCATGCGAAAACGGCGTTACACGTGTGGTAAGATTTGTTGCCGCGTTTTTAATGCTTTGGCTCTATGCATCAGTTTCTGAGTCGACAATTTCCTGGAAGTAAAATGGGAGTTAAATAGTTTGAGAGAACTCAGAATTTTAGCTGGTCGTGTCGCGCAAGCGAACAGATCTATTTGTCTTCATGGATCTTTTCAATATACGAATTAAAATAAGAGAGAGAAAAGGATAGAGATTATACTATAATTTTATAATGCAAAATTTTTTTGATATCTAATTAATTAAATCCTCGTCGTGGAAAAAAACTTTAAATAAATGAATCTATTTTCTGTAGAAAAATTATTATAAAAATTACATGCGATCAGAGGAAGACTATGTATCTTTAATTACAATGCTCCTCGGTTGCGAAGCATAGTCGAGGTTACGTACAAATCGAGTTATTAAATCCGTGCACGTGTATAAACATGTGTGACCATGTACGAAAGCATACAAGCACTAGGAAATAATATCACGCAACACTGTGTACCGCACAAAATTTTCAAGCACAGGTGCTTGTGATACAACATTGCGTTGGAATACATATTAGAATATTCTCTATCTGACATTAGCTTTAGAGAGTAGCTACAGTTTTAAGTAGCAGCATTTTCACTTTATCCGATTAATTTCCGTCATAAATATATTAATAATTTTTTATTCTTCTCTTTCCTTTTTATTAAAAGTTAATATTTATATTAATTTTTATTAATAACAAATATATATTGCATATATGATGCGAGGCAAATATATTGATCGACACATTATCATTTTAGTAATATTATTAAAAGGTATAAATTTTGTCAGTTTCTAAACTTTTAATTCATTAAAATATAAAGTTCAGTGATTCTTTTAGACATTTTACCAATATTTCAATAATAATTATTTAAATTGAATTTTCCATTTTGAAAATTATTTAGCTACGCATCTGTAAATGATTTAGTAAATATTTGCTGAATCTCGAAGCTCTTTTAAAGCATAATTATAATTCATCTGTATTATTATATATCTCGAATGTAAGTAACGATTATTATTGCAACATTTTCTAAAAGCACGGCGAGATTTTCTATCAACTCGATATTTTCAGTGTTCATATCCATCATCGGAATAAAAGCTTAATACAATTACACTCAGAATGATTATTCTTAATGCATCAAATGATGAATTTTGTGCAAATTATGTTATAAATTTATTTATTCTCTTAACTGGAGACAAATGATAATACATTTTCTAAAATTAAACGTTACATACTTACTAATATATAATATTAGCTTAAAAGATATTAATATTTGCTTAAAAGATTCCAGTGAATTTTAAATATTTTGCTAAATATTTTTACATGTTTACAATTTGATATTTTTATATTGCAAATTTTTTCAGCGTGTTCAAATTGATATCCTTTTTTGCTTTCATTGTTTAAAGTTATATAATATTTATACATGTTTGATACAGTAATTACAAAGAGAAATAAATTCAGACATTCATAATAAAGTTATTATTATAACTAAAACAACCCATTATAAATTAAAACAACCCAAATTGCAAAATGAATTTCTTTATAAATTGAATGAATCTCGTTTTAGTTTTGATGTGAAATACAGATTGGAATTTTTATTTTGACAAAGAGATAGAATTACGAGAGATGTAATTTTTGTTTCAAATTAAAAAATTTTTGTAATTTTCCCAATTTAGATTTTAATTTAGCGAACAACAATTCAAAAAGTGCGAATTAACTGCCGTTTTTTGTTTTAAATAAACATAAAGATGACCGAATAATGAGAATAAAAACAAGAAAAATTCGTGATAAAACGATACACTATTTTTAAGATAGTAGTAGTAGTTTAGTTAGTGTAGTTAGCAGTGTAGTTTATTTTGTTTTAAAGAAACGGCGAATCGTACAATCAGTTCGAAATATTAAGGAAAAAAATCTTATTTTATACAGTGTTATCTTAATGCTTAAGAAAATTATTATAAAGTATAAAAGAGAAAGAGATCTCACACATACACACACACATATACACACACAGAATCATTATGTTAGGTCGATAACCATTATCAGCCATTTTTTCAATGTATATATGTGTGATAATTTGATTTTTGCTTATTGCGAATTAGTTTTAAAATTATCATATTTTAACAATTGTCGCAATTTTTCTGATATTTATCAATTGTTCTCAATAGATTCATAAAATCATTTCTAATCGCTATATAAAATATTTTTTTCGTTCTTACATTAGAAAGAATTTAAAAAATTTTTTATAATGAAACTGTTCGCTATGAATAAAAAGTGCAGTTATATATCCTGTAATTATATTCAAACTATTTTTAAACTCATATCTTAAAAGGTAACAACACTCATTTACGTATTACGTTCGTATATTACATAGATGGACAATATAGATATAGATAGAATTAATCTCTGACAGAACAAAGCAAAAATGGAATTTCATGGAATTCACCTCGCTTGTTGTTTTGATTAAACGAGCTTCGTATTTCCATGCAAATTTCCATACCTTTTCTTTACCGCGACATGAATGTACGACCGTATACAATTTTTTTGCTTGGTATATACATTTATCAAAGGATGAAAGACATTTATATTTCCTTGATTTCTTAAGCATATGTTAAATAAGAACAAGCACACAAGTACACAAAATATATTTTCATACTTTTCTAATAAATTTAATTGTCTTGTATATGTAATATTTTCTCGATCTCTCCTAAGTTTAGAGATTTGGAAAATTATTAGTAGATAATACAATTTGCATTTACATTTGCATATACATGCATGCATGTGTAAACTTACTTGTCACCAATTTTAAAAATTGTCGTTATATTTAAAACTGAATCACGAATTGAGTTGAATTATTATTATTGAGATATTTTTGTTTTGACAGACAATGAAATGCACTTTTGTTATTCATAAGGATTTACTGCAATGGTTTCAATTTTGAAATTACTTTAAACGACCCATAATTCAAGACAGAAATTCTAATAATAATCTTATACGTCATACAATACAGAAAACATTTGACAAAGTAAGACATACACACATATAAAAATACGTATAAAAATACATATCAGAATACATACTCATATAAAGTCGTTCGTTTATATTTTCGTTTTCTTATTAATCATGGATCACCTAAAGTGAATTTAAGTGAGCGCATTAATATTCCAATGCACATATCTCGAGACATTCTTCTCGACGGATAAAAGCAAGAAAATTTGCTTCATTTTAAAAATATAATTGGAAATAGAAGGCGGCAGTCTCTATCGTCTGTTAGTTTTGCTTTTCTAGAACTCGCCTTAAACGTTTTCTTCCACGTAACTGAAGAGAGCTTTCGCTTGCCTGTGTATGCATCGCCAATTAGATCTACATCTTTATACGCTTACGATCATTATAACCGTATAATATCGTTAGTATGCAAATTTATCGCTACAAGATGCATACTTCCATAAAATTTCATACAAAGGCAAATTACTTACATACGACAACTCCTGATTCTCGACACAATCCACCTCGTAGACACGTTGCTTTGAGAATAGGATAATGGCTCCGGAAGTCACCTGTATTATTCCTTTGAATATTGCAAAAGCGGCACGTATGGGGTTTTCGACATCTACGTCGGAGAAATGCATGAAGAAGCGAAGAACGCCCGATGTTAAGTCGACATTAAAGATCTAAGTTGGATCGAGAAATGGCGATAAAGATTCCGACAAGATTTACTTTATATAGTTGAGGATTAAATTTACTTCCTTTGTCTATATTCTAAATAGAGCTATAATCTGAAAGATGACAGTTGAATGATAATTCAATTTAATTAATTTGAATTGCAATTAAAAGAGTCATCACGGGAGTGTCTGTAAAAAAATTGCAAAAGATTTATAATAAATAGAAATAAATTTATATATATATATATATATATATATATATATATATATATAATAGAAGGATCGCATATATATTTATTTATATGGGGTTTAATAGAGTCCGGATAATTTAATTATAGATGCGCTTGCGATCATATTTTCTGAATTTTTCGAAAAATTATAGATTAATTTACAAAATTTACAATTAATGCATACATTTACATTGATTAGCGTACTGATGAAAAATTAACTAGGACTGCAAGTCCGCATAATCGATAGCGATTTACGCGATTTTCATCCGCAAGCGGACCTATAATTTTGTCGTTCTTGACGCGTGTCAGACCAAAGTGACGATATCGCTGCCAGAAGTTTCCATTAATATCTCATCTTTGACCTCGTACACACGATACCTTTCCGATACCACAGACACGAAGTTTGTATTGCAATGTCATCGCGTGAACACGCGATGATGCGTGTAATACTTAGCATGTCTTGTTTTATACACATACATTGGAACCACCTTGGAGACTGTTAATCCATAAGATGTGTCAAAAATTATTATCTCGAATGTGATATTGTTATTTTAAATATCTTTCATAAATTTAATTAAGATATTATTTCTTTGGCATTTCATAAATTAATGTAGGAAAAATAACTTTTTTTTAAATCTAAATAAATTCTTAGTTTTTAATGGCTCTTGATTTAATTAATAAAGGTACTTTAATTAAATTTTTTTATATACTCTACAAATAATCCATAAGCTTTTTTAAGCTTTTTAGTCTAAAAAAATTATAAAATATTTGGAAAGGATAATTACAGAAAGGATTTACAGAAAAGGATACACGACGATTCTTTTATTGGGAATCAATGTTATATTCAAATGAGTTAAGCTTTATTGTTGGACACGGTATCGACTCGTCATGCCAGCAAATACGAGAAATCTCGTAATGGACTTTCCTTGTATGTTGGACACGAGGCATTTTTCTCATGGCAATAATTTCGAGAAAGCGGCTGTGCCGCCGGGGCCGAACACGTCGTATCCGTTCGAACTCTCGAGACGTATAGTCGATTTCTCCAATCACGTAGAACTAGAAACGTTACTTCCACAAAGTCGATTCTCCTATAGCGCCTACAGATCCGCCGCCGCGAAATTTTTGACGCTTTATATAGTTGGGAACGGAACCGTTTTAACGATGTCATCCAGCATCGTGTACAAAAATGCATTTAAATGACAAATTAAAATGCAAGTTTTTTAATGTTATTATAGATAGAAGATAGATTTGAATATTTTTCTTTTTCAATAGATTGTCAAAATACGTTTATCGAGAGATGAAATTTAATCCGCGTTTTATAATATTATAGCAAACATTAATTATATATTATATATTAAGTATAAAATTGATTATGATAATAAATTATATATTAAGTATAGAATTGGTTAATTTGATTTTTAAAATTAATTATATATTAGGTATAAAATTGATTAATTTAACACTATTAACATATGCTGTAGTCCGTATCGGAAACGTAATTTGAAACAGATAATTCGAGAAGACGCAAATTTACGAAATATTTATTCGCATTATTATTTTATCCGAATTGACCGGGCGGAGAGAAAATCAATCTTATGCTCGTTTCAAAATTAGTTCGCGAGATTGGCGCAATAGCTACCATGTGTACAAACGTGCAAACACACCGTGTGCTGCCGCTTTTCGTCGCGGTGTAATTTTCAAGATTACGTGCCGGAGATGTAGAAATTAGACTACACCGCTAATCGGATGCATATGAGATTCCAACGCGAAATTCCACGAGCGTCTTAGAATCCCTGTTGAATCCCGCGTATGATGACAGCGCAGGGATACGGTATAAGGGATAAGCGAGCGCGAGTGGGCACGTGTTCGGATACGACGCGACGAGCCCGCGTTATACGTAGATCAAGGAAACAAGCCCTGGAAACTGCTTAATATGCGACGACGCCGTGTGCTTAGCTGGTGCATCCTACGCCGTGGGGACGTCCTGGTCCTGGCGGAGCTCCTTGGAGGGATCCCAAGTTACTGGGCGCGCGCTTCCTCGAATCTATGGTACGCATATCTATCTAGCCGCGTTAATCGTATACACGAAGATACTTAGATAGCGGGTGTCTCGTGTTGCGCATCCGCTAATTACAGAAAGGGAATCCTTAATCATCGGTGATGGGGGGGGGGAGAGGGGGAGAGCTTCTCAAAGCGACTGGTTCTTTGTGCACGCGATACTTCAGAAACTGCTTGCTAGGAGTGTCATCAAGTCAGTTTAATTATACAGCAACGGCGCGAAACATTAATTTAAGCTATCGAAAAATCAATTCGTACTCCTTTTGAATGAACTCCTTTTCCAATCTTGCAGTCGACAAAAGAATACTGTAGCTAAAAATATTTTCTGTATTTTTTATAGTATAAGAAAGGATAAAAGGATATGTAAGCGCGTTATATTGTGAAAATATTTTAGTTTTTCGAATCGATTATCATCGTGATTATAATATATAATTATTCTTTGCGATTACATTTATATATGTTATATATTAATAAGATTTCATTGCATTCGTCTTCTAATTGGATTAATAAGATCTATTAATTCCGTGAAAATTTCATGTCAGGTACATGCGATAATGTGGCGTGACAGGGATACATTTCAATGTTAATAGTACATTATATTGCGATGTATGTTAGCAATGTATAATTCAGCACATCATTAGCGCATCGTCGTGCAACGTGCTGAACATATTCATGATGCTTCAAATATTATTAAATTAATCATTATTTGTATTAACTTTCTATCGACAAAATTGCTTTATAAAGAACTGGTTCATTTATTCGTAAAAATTATGTTAATAAATGCGATAATTAATATAGGGATAAAACATAAAAGCAACATGTCATGATTAACCTGACTGTAAAGTTTGGCGAATAAGAAGAGAAGAGTATCCACATACAATGATATTTGAGAAAATTAATATCATAAAGACAAAATACTAATAATCACCACATTGTGTATATATTACTTTTTTTTAGCGTAATTGAGGGAGTGCAAGACTGTAGTCTCATGTCTTTTTTGATAAAATTTTCGAGACAAGATAGAGGAGAGATGGGTGTACTTTGTTCCGTAAGAATATTATTAAATTCATCATTATGTATTAACTTTCTATCGACAAAATTGCTTTATAAAGAACTGGTTCATTTATTCGTAAAATTATGTTAATAAATGCGATAATTAATGTAGGGATGAAACATAAGAGCAACATGTCATGATTAATCTGATTAAGTTTGACGAATGAAGAGAGAAAAGTATCCACACGTATACAATGATATTTGAGACAATATTAATATCGTAAAAACAAAATACTAATAATCATCATGTTGCATATATATTTCTTTTTTTAGCATAATTAATTGATATTAATTGATTTTTAGCATAATTAATTTATTTAATTGAGGGTGTGCGAGACTATAAGTCTCATGTCTTTTTTGATAAAATTTTCGAGACGAGAAAGAGGAAAGATGGGTGTACTTTGTTGTAGTTCCGTGAGAACTGATTCCTACGTAATTGCACGTTTAAGCAACTAGCTTGTGCTGAGAAACCAATTGGAACGATAACGAAATTACATTGTCACAGCGAATGGGAGTAGTCTCGCGTCAGCCTCTGTACTGGCAACTTTGCATCAAAACTTTCCACCGCTCTACTCGAGTAACCCTGTTAGATTGACGAACATTGGTCCCGAGGGATCGCAAACTATAGACATCGTGGTAATTGAAGGGTTCACTGCAAAAGAAAAAGAGACAGAGTTAGAGAGAAATAAGTCTATTTTGGTACACTTTTCAAAGAAGTTAATCTAAAAAAATCTCTTTATTATGTTAAACAGGCAAATTTAAATCACCTATCTCAGTTTCCAATAGATATAATATATATTTGCACAATTATATTTGGAACAAGTGCATTTTGAGACGATATCATATCATAGATTGAAATGCTATTTGAATGCTATTTCCATTACCAAAGTTTAATTAGATTGAATTATTTTTTTGCGAGAAGTTTCTGTATTAATATAAAAAATATTTTAATCTCTCGAATTGAGATCCTATTAAAGTTCATCTAAAAGTAGTCAAAAGAGAAGATTTTATCCATTTATTTGCAGAGCGTTGCAGCTTAATTCGTTAGCTTAAGTCTAAAATTACTTTTTCTTATGATTCTAAAATTATTCATGTCATGACGCACATTTGCCTGAAAAGAATAATTATTTCAATTGTCGGTCGCAGTCACGTACATCGGATATTTATCATGTCAAATTTATATAATCGTATATATTTTTTTATGATTATACGAAAAAAAAAACCATTTATGGACTAAAAATTTAGTGCTGTTGCAGAAAATTCTTTAATAATTTTTCTCATTCGTGATCTATTTTCATTGCTGGGTCATGTCGGCAAATGATTTTACTTGCGACAGGAAAATTATTGATTCTTTATGTCGTAAAAAATAAAAAAGTATCAATCGAATGGGCAAACTGAATAATGGGAGAAAGGTGATATGAGGCACGAAAACTATGAACGAGTGCGCGATATAAATTTATGTGAGAGAACAAAGCGGCGCGATACTCGTTGTTCGATATATGCTCTCGTTAAAACGGAAAAGTTATCTGCCTTCACGCTGAATTGCTGCACAATTAATCCAGAGGCGGAACGCGCAGGTAAATCGCGGTAGGTAATTTTTTTTGCCCGCTGTAATTTAACCACGTAAAGAGATATCGCGGAGGAAGATACGTAAAATGAAGGGAGATGCGCTTTTGCGCTAAGAAATTAAATTGTGTCCAAATCTCTCGCGGGGAGATGTGCCGCCGAATCGCGCAGTTGATGGAATTTTTTGCACGCATGTGGCGGTAAATGCAATAAATTGGCCGACGGGGAAGAGTCACGTATTTATTTATATATCGCATGACGGATGCAGCTACGTGAAGCTCGGCATGGATGAAGAGGAACAAGTTTTACGCCGGTATAAAATTCATGGGAGATTATTCTACCGTTTCGCGCTCCTCGGCTTCTATTTTCTAAAGAGCACCGAGTAGAAACGTTACGCTGTATCTTTCAATTATTTGACAGACCGCACATGATATTTCGGAATATCAGTACTGGTTCTAATCACTGATGTAACGTTAATTATTTCCTCGAATAATTATAATATAAACAGCATTTCTGATATGTGGAAGCTTTTGGAATTACCAGTCGGTTTTGGGCATCGACAATTCCGCTTGAATATAAATTTATCAATGTGATTGGCATTTGATATCGCATATAATTCTCGCAATCATTTGTCGAAATGTTACCAATGTCGTTCGTGATATTATCGATGAATTTCAATCTCATGTAAGTTTAATTAACTATCTTAGCGCGCGTGATGACGTGTGAAACGGAAATTATGATCGCGCCCGACATAACATAAGATCGAGTAAGTTAATCGAAACTGCGCCGGGATAAACTGCACGCCGAAATTGATATACAATTTCGAGGATCTTTGTAGGAAACTATTTGGCGCCAAGCAGCCAAATACTCCCACTGCATATAATATACACGCATAAATCTAAAGTTTCCTCGCTCATAGGACTCTAGCGGGTGATTTGCAGAAATCGTTACAAGTTTTTGCAATAATGATGTTGCATAGTCAAAGTTGTGTAATTCGTGGAAATTGTGCAAGCGCCGCGACGGGACGCAATCGATAACTGCAACGACTTTTCCAAGCGTGGATTTATTTCGCGAAGCGGAACATGATTGTGCTCCACTTGATGCGAAAGCGTGGCGTTATCAATTAAATGCAATCGGCTGTGCGATAATTCATTCGTTTCGCAAATATAAATCTGCCTTCGAAAGTGCACGATATACCAGAAGTCGGTCATTCATGGCGGGATAATTTTATCGTTTTAATGAAACTGTTTTTCTTTTTTTAGATGTTCTCCCTTTCGGCTCTCTCCGAGTTCCTGACGCGTTCTCTCTAGATATCTTCTCCAGAGGAGTATGCGACTCTTAACTTTTAATTAACTGCTTCTCCACACGTAACCGCGACGCGTTACCAGTTAATTGAACGATCCTCCGGGCGCCTTCCTAAGCGCACGACCGGAAAGTTTAAACTGAAATTTATTAGCGCATGCACTTCGACCAAGTTACCTTCTTATTACGCACAAGCTTCTTCACACGCTATGTTTATCCCGAGGGATTAAACAGGGTCAGGTCTCTACATTCGTACTTTTCTCTCGATGTCCGTTTATTTTCTTTTTCTGTCTCGTTGTCACGTATCTGTCCGCAGGTATGGATTTATGGCGGGCGAATTTATAGCATGATTCTTTTTTTTCTTATAATAAGCCGAGGGGTTTTATTGTAACTAGTCGGCTAACGAGATCGACATTGATGAATGCACGACTTGACTCACGTCGAATCAAACTGTTGGTATACTACTAATTACGAAGCACCGGATCTGTCGGCGAATAGATCTTTCGGTGTTTTCATTCGATTTTATATTTTTCCTGCGTATTTCTGCATCCCCTGTATTGTATTACGTTGAAACGGCATGCCAATTATATTTTGCCAAAAGTATTTTAAGATCGTAAAAGTTTTTATAGAGTATAAGTGGTTACCCCCAAAAGAGAGATTTTCGAAGAACAAAAATGAGTCTAGAAAGAAAAAAAGTTATCTCGAGTAAGAATAGAATAAAATTTTAAACCGCTATTTTGCCTCCCAAAAGATATTTAGAAAAAACTTGTTCGTGCCATATAATTTTATAAAATGCTATTAATGTTTTACTCATGCAAGAGATATTTAATATGCATATTAAATTTCACAAAATTTATTATATATAAAACAATATTTTATAATACTTTTAATTCAATAAAATGGAACATACACACAAATTTATCTGAATAATTGCCAAAGGATATAATCGTTAAAATATAGAAGGTAAATATTCAATTTGTTGAATATAATTAAACATAATCAACAATAAAAAAGAAAGAGAGAGAGAGAGAGAAAAACATTTAAAATTAGTAGCTTTAACTTGCTTCAGGGTTGGACGAGCAATTCGATAATCGACAGACTATACAAGAGGAACACGAACCCTCTGACTGTTGCGGACATGAATAAATTCTACGATGACAGGGCGACGCCAGGTAAGTAGTAGAGATTGCTACTTGCTTCTCTTCGGTGCTGATGCTAGAATCTCGTTTCCGGGTCGGTCTTTTGCTTGACAGGTATTGCATCGGAAACACAGCCGTTGCAAGACTCGAGGAATCTCTACAATGAAGAGGTTCAAATGTACGAGCTCACGGGCGGTGTCGAATTGGTACCTTTGTTAAGCAGCAGACGTTATCAATCGCATCCGCAGACCACACGCTACCTTGCTACGGATGCCACTCGTCCGGGATACATGATAGAATCGTAAGTACGAACATTTGCAACGATTGTTTGATTATTATTTAATAGCGTTTATTCAGAATAATTGATCGCTGATTGATGAGAGTAATATTTGCATAAAAATTCAGATTTTAATATCTTTGTATAGTCTCGCTTGAGATTCAAATACAATTATAGTATATTAATTATAGTATATTAATTAAAATTAAAAATGTACTATTTATATACGCTTTTATATTAATACATTCCTGTATAATATGTTACATAACATGCTTCAAGCGCGTTTATATCGAACAAACATGAAACTGTAAACGTTGAAGATGCATTGAGATGAGAATAATCGATAAATGGTACGGTGCAGATAAGTAGTTGTAATCACATACATTTACTCATTACTGTAATTTATATTAAAAGCACTTACTGTTGCCCCATAATTTCCTCCATGAAAACATGTTATTGATCACTCATTTAGCTGAAACAACTAAAGTATTTAATATTTCATGTCCCTTCAATATAAACGTGTTTATACTAGAATATTAAAACTGCAATTATATAATTTCCCTACATATTGTTGCAAACGCATATACATACACACAAACATATATTTTTTGTATATTATTATATGTATACTGATACATGTATATATATGTTGTTATAAATATATATATATTGTGTTATATTTTAAATATTATTATTTTAAATATTAATATTATCATATTTTTTATACATATACTATGTGTGGTCTAGATTTTCTATTTTATATCTCAAAATACACATATTTTTATGATTGTATAATATTTCTCCTGATATTTCTTTGTCGCTTTTCATTTACTCTCTTTTTTTAGATTCTTGACCTATTTATCTCCTTTTAATTTTGATAATTTAACATAAAAGTTTGACAGGTTTATATAAAAACATACAAAAAATATTTTCATAACTCATCTCTTGTTGATGTTTGATTATACTAGCGCTGCATATGTGCGTATGTGTGTGTGTTTGTTTGTGTGTATGTGTGTAATTAATTTTTCACTTGTATCTCACAAGTATGGTTAGCATGACGAAACACGACGGTAACTGTAGAATTGGTTAGTAGTGATACGACACTCGAGGGATGTAACTACATTACAGGTAATCAACCAATTGACCTGGATGCACTCGACCTCGACCATTTCACCTGTCCGTTCCTGTTCAATCTCACCCTCATTTTCCTCCCTTGTGCACTAACGTCGCTCTAAATATTCATCAGCGTAATTTTCCCTCGTCATCGTCATAAAAGAATATTTTTTTTTAACGAAGAATACATTTTCTTGTGAGAATGAAAAATATCCTTTTTAGAAAGATGCTTGATTGAGAAAGGACTCTTACATAAACCTTCTGCATAAATATAGTATTACAGGTCGACGTTTTACGAATATTCTTGTTGTAGAATTTATCATGAAAGAATCAAAATCAAAACCCTTTGTTGCTCAAAAAATTATATCATATTCATATATATATATATATATATATATATATATATATAATTTTTTAATTATGAAAAATTGGATTTTTGAATAAATCATAGTAAAAATTTTATTTATATGACTATATATTTAACTCTTTCTATTTTTTAATAAAATTCTTTGAAATTACCATTGCGTTTATATACATATATTACATCATTAAATTGCAATCATCATATAAAAACATTAAAATTTTGCCTCAACTGAAAAAATTAAATATTCATTATACATAGAAAAATGAGTATCTATCCATTTATATCTCAAAATACACATATTTATGATTGTATAATATTTCTCCTGATATTTCTTTGTCGCTTTTCATTTACTCTCTTTTTTTAGATTCTTGACCTATTTATCTCCTTTTAATTTTGACAATTTAACATAAATAATAATCTATCTATTTTCATACATCCAATGTAGCGCAGTTTTAATTTAGATACACGATATAATTAAATGCTATGATTTTAAATAATTACCCTTTTTTCTAAAAGTATTTTTGTTTAAAGCTTGTCATTAAGTTGACAAAATAATTGCTACAACTCTTCTTTGACTTTGCATTCGATAGCATAATATCGATTAATCGTTCGATAATTTCCTGCATATAAACGATCGCAACATTGGATGCGGACAGAAGCACCAATCTATCATGTAACGAGATACTTTGGTAACGTTTAATGGAATAGTGTATGAAAGTTGCGAAGGAGATGTCGTTGTTTATAACATAGTCGGTCAGCATCCAAACGCTGCACGATGCCTGGTGTAATTAATCACCTCGATTGCTGTGCAATAATAACCCACGGTGGAAAAAAACACTGCGATATTAGCTTGGAGTACATTATTCACCTTTCTTGCAATTTTATTTTAATTAATTTTTTTTTACGATGAAGAAGAACGTAGAATGCCCGAATAAATATTTAATTTAGTGAGGTACAAAGATCGATGTAGAGGGATTGATTGGTACGCTTTTTTCAAACGTGGAAAATTGCAGTTATTAGCACAGAATCGTTAAAGATTATTCAGAATGGCATCGAAAATATCGATAACTACTCGGAGAAAATATCGGATCTATTCGGGCGAAAAACTCTTTCTTTTACACTTTCTGCTAACGAGATAAACGAGAGACTTAATTTAGCATTTTTTTATTGAAATATACAGAGTCAAATATTTTATTCTCGTCGTTTTAATCATTTGCAATATTTACAGTTTACTTGATGAGGATATTTATGTCAAAATTATCTACTTATTTTATTTATATCGTTTCTAACACATTACTGGGGAATGAAATAAAAAATTAAATGAATTCTTCCAAAAAAAAAAAAAGAATGAATAAATGATACAAGCTATACAAGGTAATTAGTAAAAATAATAGAATTTAAACGGTGTTGCACATACATATATAAAAATATTTCTAAAAATATATAATTTTATGTAACTATTTATATGTGATTTTTATGGAATTGTTGCAAATTTTACACACTTTTTTTTTAACCATGAATTACAAAAGTGTTTCTAATTAACTAATAACTAATAAAGTTTCTAATAAACTAATATTTTTGTGTGTATATGCAAATAAACAAATTTAATATTAGAAATATTCGGTGTTCAATATTAAATTTGTTTATTCACATATATCCACAAATACATCCGTGAATTATTCACTTTGTTATTCTATCTTTTGCAATATTAAATAGTTTGCTTAAGAAAATACGATTCAATGGATCAAAATACTATGATTACATGGGAAAATAAAAATTTGCTCGTGTTATTCCTCTCGAATTTTTATTTTGCCATGTAATCATAGTATTTTGATGCATGTGGCTTCGTCATTTCCGCAGAGGCGTTACGTCTATCAAAGAAAGGATATGAAAGTTGACGAGAGCCCTCCCTTTCTTTTATAGGCTTCGCGCACTCAACGTCGCCAATCGAGAGCACATCGCGGATCTCGCCGAGCAGATACGACGTAAACGGGACAGGGCGCTGGTAAGTGCCGTATGATCGATGATGATTGCACAACGTCGAAACGCTAATTCAGAACAGGATTAATTGTGTCGATCTCTCGCCAATCTCGCCGAGCCGTCTGTTATTGAATCGAATTGGCTACGCGAGCGCGTACGAATGAAATGAAATCAAACGATCCATAAGGATCAAATTTACTAATTCCGAAGTGAACCAAAAATAAAAGCGAAACTAAATCGATCCAAAAGCTTTTTGCTCTTCTTCTAAATTGATCCTATTTCGCGGGAGAGATTCGTTATAGTGGCAGATAAAATATGCCAATCAATAAGAAGAGCGTAGAAGAAAACGGAAGATATACATGAAAAACGATTTCTTCAAATAACAATCAATTTATAAATATTTCAATAAACATTTAAGCAAATAAAATATATAGATTATGGAACGAAATAATATTGAAATAATAGTTTAAAAAGTCATGAAAAAGTAAAGGTTAAACTGAATAAATTATTATAATAAAAATAGTATTTATAATAAATCATCTTACTGTATATAAATACTTTTTAGTATATCAATTTTTCGTACGCGATATTTGAAATAGTTTATATATTTCTAGTTTATTAAAAAATTTCTCTGATTCACTAATTCGCTACAAAATAAGACATTATTCTTATCGTTCAATTATATTTGACTATTTTTGCACACATGGAATATTTTTCTTTCCCATTCAGTCTCATCTAATGTTACAAATCATTTCGCAGCTCGATCTCATTTCAGGAGGAACGGCGGATCGAACAAGAGGGTTGTCGCAGGCACTTCGATACTTGGAAAAGGCTATGGGGTAGACCGGGTCACGGTGCTCCCATAGATCACGCCCAACGGAACAATCTTTATAACATCCTCCATCGTTCGGCTATCTATTGAATTTTCTCGTAAAACGTTTTGCCTTCAGTGCAAAGCGGAGGAGCCCTCGTTGCTATAATGTTGCATTTTATTATACGAAACGAATAAGAAGATGGCTATTAGATATCGATGACGCGAACATAAGATTATAAGTCGTTTTCGCAAAGAATAGCTAAGTATAAATAGTTTTTCATTCTCTCTCAAACAAATAACATATGCATAATAACATTATTATCGTATTCAAGTCTCTTTTGAAGTCATCAAATCAATCAAATACTGTAACACATAATGCATTTAAAATATAAATGCATTTGCTTTATTAAACTCTTAACAAGATTTCAGCGAACATAAAATTATATTATTCCCGGAATAAGCCATTTATGGATGAGTGATGTCATAAAACATTGTGAATATTATATTCTTAAATTAAATGAAACGCATTACATACGCTTGAAAGTCAACTATAATTGGGAGTATTTGTCAAAATAATTAAAATCAATCAAAAATTAATCAAAATAATTAAAATCAAGTTACTAAAATACTGAATAAAATTAAATGATAAAGCGAACGATTCTTTTCATATGAGAATGGAGCGAAGAATTAGGATAAAAGTATGTCAGCATCAGCGTTCTTTGTTTCTCATGAACTGACTTGACATAAAAAAAATGAAGAGTATATCGGATAACCCATTAAATTTCATGAAAGCCTCGCAAGAGAGAGTGAAGGGCAGCTTGATAAACCAGGACCATGAGTGACGCCGCGATTGACCAGGCCTCAAAGGAGCAATCTCGTGAGAACCTAGTTGCTATACGGGTCGATAGGTTTTAAATTTCATGAACATCAAGGAAGGGTCATTTGAATATATATATGTATAGATGCATGTGATATAATCGAGTCGTGAAAAGAAACGTTTCTCATCAGTCATCGTCTCGATTCATTTTGTGCTTCACTTTTTTGTGCTTCTCTAAAGATAACATTTATGTGTAATTTAAACTTTATTTTGGATGCTTTTGAATCAATAATCAAAATAATGAAAATAATTTTTTAATTTCTAATAAAGCTAATAGGGTTAATTAATAAATGGCTAAATATATATTATATTCTTTATGTAAAGGGTATTAAATGTTTTATTATACTGCTTGGATCTATTTGGAGTCTGTCTTTGGCAATTTAAAATAACATATTTAAAGAGTTTCTAAAATTGAAATTACATATGCAAGCAATTAATGATATTTAATTATTTATTGTTTGATCACGTACGTTCTTGTTTAATTATTTTACCATTATTAAATGCATCACTTATTATGAAACAATGTAAATCATATTTTGCGTTGCGAATTTAATATGACATATGCAAAGTATTGATTTTATATATTAGTAAGCTTTTTGGAATCAAGCTTATAATATATCTTATATATTGAAATAAGTAATGTGATCAAATCAATCAAATTTCGAGAATATCTCATTTTTTATCTTTCAGCATTTCAATGTTTAGCATTAATATTTTTCCCCTCTAAGTACAATTGCATTAAATCTTTTTAGAACGGAAATGTGAATTCACAAAAAAATTAACGGTAAAAATATCTTTCCCAACATGTACGAATTATCTGAGAATTGTCGGGGAACAAATCTAATTTACCATTCGGAAAAGCGATTAACTTTCTTCATTGCTCCGAATGAAATCTCCGCTTTTCAGCTTAGAATAGAACTGCGCGCGCGTTTTCGGACGCGAATCGTAAATTATCAAAGTGCGCGACGCGTTCCCCGCGGTTATATCAGCCGATTTGCCTAACACGTTAATTAGACATTAAGTGCTCGGTAACAGGGTACAAAGCCGGAAGAGTAACGGCAACGCCTTTAATGGATGTGGGTTATTTAATTTGCGCGGCTGCTGTTTGGCGGTGCGCCTCGGCGCGGTTTGTACGCGGAAAGGCGCACCTTCATCCTGTTTCCGTCTGGAGAGCGTAGTTTCAGTTTTCCCATCCTTCCTTCGTCCCCGGGAGTCCCTTCTCTCCCTTCGTCACCTATCCACTTTCGTGGTACGGAGAGAGAAACGACCCACGAAATCTCCTATCTTCGTCGTGCGCGCATCTCTCGATCCATCCCCTCCGTCCACCCCTTCCTCCGCTCGCTTCCTCTCCCCTTCGCCCTCTCCCCCTCGCCACCCTCTTTGTCCTGTATCCATCCCTTTTCGCTAGCTACCAACCACTCGCGCTTTTGCTATTGTCTGACTATTGTGCCGCTGTTACCGCGGTGTGTCGGTCCGCTTGTATAAGGGTGATTCATTTTCTGGGAAATATCAGTTCCTGCGCGCCGCATGAATTTCGACTCACGCGAGCGCGTAAAACCGCGCGTTCTGTACCGGCACCCCCTCATTCCCCTTCCCGTCTCTCGCTCTTCTCTCCGACCCCTCTTCTCGTTCCCGTCCGTCGTCGTCGGGAGCGAATTAAGTGGACCTTCCTAGGCAAACATAAATGCATATTCACCTCCCGGAGACGCTGTTTCACTTGGAAGCAGTGCTTTATTTTCGGGCGAGCATATTCCCGCGAGAGTAGTTTCGTAAATTAAAATCACGTCGTTGGTACTTTATTATCTCTCGTAATTTTCTGCGGCTTTTTCGGACGAGATAGATCGATTGAAGGGGCGCTGGTATTTTGATAGACGAAACGCAAACAAGGGGCGGGAGGAATCATAATCGATAGGTAAAACTCGCGAGCGAGATGGTCGCGATTTTCCTTCGCATTTAACGTGTAGATATAAATAACCGGTGGCGCTCATAAATGTACCCCACTAAATTGCGGAACTCCCTTCCTCCCCCAGTATTCGCATCTACTGCAGCTCGGCGATAAAATGCCAGCCCGCCTCCTCCATCTCCATTTTCTCAACCCGGCCCGTGTGTTTGTTTGCGTCTCGCTCGTGTACGCCGGTAGGATGCATTGTTACGAAATTAGGTCATCCGCTTATGAGATATCGCGACTCGTCCCGGTGTCGCGTGCTATGAAAATTGGTCGCTCCTCTCGTTCCCTCGTATCTCATCATGAAAGAAGTCCTCGGGCAAGTTACGAGGAAATATCGAGTAATCCTATAGCGCCGAGGGTGCTGAAGAAAGTTTTGGTTAGAGATACCGGGGAGATATCGAAAAATGATGACGAATACTCTGTTGGAAATGTAATAATCATTTATAAAAGTATGACATTAAGGAAAACATATTTTTCGTGTAACAATCGTCAAATAAAATTGCAAAAGTATTTTTTAGCTCGCGCGAAAAGTGTTTTGCAATTAGAAATCTATTTTGAGTGTATGTTGAAGCATGAATGAAGTTGGCGCTTATTATGACTATATTGTACTACTGAGCTCACATCTTTTGCGTATTAAAAAACACTCTATATAATTGCTTTTCGTAATATCGTAGATTGTTATTGTCAGTCATAATTGATCAGTCGCAATTATTACAATATTACAATTATTGCAATATTGTAGATTGCAATCGATCGGATAATATTCATAAAATATTTATTGCGACCAGAACGCATTTTGGGCTTTGTTTCGCGAAATTCTATACGCGCTCAATATAATAATCTATTAATATTAGATATTATTTATTTAATGAATAATTTATGAAAATAAACTAGATCGATGTGTCTCAAGGAATCGATATTTTTTTAATCGATATTCAACTATATCCCTGCGTAATATTTAATTTGACGCGGCCGATCGTTAATATTCATCTGTACGTTATTTCTACTCAGAGTTAATTATAATAAATTGCGTATATTTGATTGTACGGAGAAGCGAAAATTATATTTTATGTAAATGAGATATATGTGCACGGTTGAGCAATTGCACGAACGAAATAGATCCATGCGAAGAATGTCACTTATATGCAAGGGGTTGATTAACGAGCCAACTCTAATAGGTACTTGAGTTGTACTTAATTAGAAATCGCGTAATTTATTCGGCAAACGTGCGGAATATGAGTTGAGATCGTCTCTTCGCTACAACGCGTCCCTTTATATAACTCACATAGAGAGAAACACACGCACACACATTTTATATTTTTACGCATTAATTCCTTTTGCTAGTCGCATTTGCAATTTCAACTTTATTCAAATCAATTCTTCTCAATGAAAAAATCACGACGTATGTACTACAAAAGGTATAACAAATAATTTTCTTACAAAGATCTTCGTTATAATCAAGATTTAGTGTCTCCAATTATTCTAATCAAATCTCTCCGTCAATTATTTTCAACGATACGAGATGATGAATGAAAATCTTTCCTGCATATATCGGTTCGAGGTAAACTCGAGACGTTCCGTCTGATAGATCTCGTCTTAAACGAAATAAATAGCATCATTTTTCACGATTTCCACGATCACGGTAAAAGCCCGTAGACTAAGATTAATTCGATGAAGCGTCGTGAGTACAGTGTTAGGATTTTAGCTATACCGCGATGAATCCATTGTGTACACTTTACTTACGTTGAAGCGCCCTTCGCTGCGATTCAGTGAGTAATTCCTATAAAAGCTGCTGTAGTGACTTTACTCGATAAAGTGGCCCCCAGCAGCGGCAGTCGGCGCTCTGTTTTCGTGCTTTAATAATATCAAATGTAAATCGTGCGTATATCGCGTACAAAGTATGGAATTTTATTTAATGGAACAAATTGTAGAATGCTGTGGAGCTTATCTCGATGTTTCAATGATTTTCATCCAGTGAATTTCCATTATACGTATCTTTTATCGCGCGTACAAATACATATACGACATGTACATGTAATATTTGACATTAATATATAGCGGAAAATATATCTCGTTTATGAAATAACCTTGAAAAAAATTGTCGATGAAAAATGTGATATAAAGCATTGCAATAGTCCTACGATATTGCGCGATTAAGAGAGAGTCGTCGATTTAATACTATATCTTTACTACTGTGCACAGTGATAGAAGTATCGTTATGCGCAGACAATGTTCGATTCAGGGAGAGAGAGTACAATATGATTTTTTATTGAATTTTACTATTATTTTATTCTCTCGCGTGTATACGCAAATGATTTATTTAAAAAACCACTGTTGCTTTTTTTATATCTCTATGTTTCATTGTGCTAGTTTTTGTCATGTAACTTATGCATTAAAAATAAGAAAGTAATCATGAAACAAAAAACGCTAGTACCATTAACATAATTTCATACATATATATACATATGTATATATAATTATTCCAATCTTATCTATAATTATCGTATAATTGGATATATTTTCAGCTATTTATTGGTTTTTAATAAATTTGCCTTTTATTTAAAATTCTAGTTTTATTATTTGTGTGTTAGAGTCTCT